TAGAGTTGACCTCACTGTCCTCTCAGACCCCGTGCACCAAATCTAAGGCAAACAGCTTTGAGGGACTGCTGCGGCTCAAGAGTTTTTGAAGCAGACGAATGGTCATTATCCATCATGATGATACTTGACTGCACACTGACAGACAATTAAGCACTTTACCACAGGTGCTAATGTGTAATTTGTCGTCTCTCTTACCTTGTGGTATAATCGGTTATTTTCCCACTCTAACAACTTCTGAATCGACCTCCTTGTCTGTTGGAGGGAAAAAACGTTAACACAAGCGGAAAACTTAACTTGGTCATGTTTGCACTTTAACATGTAAGAGTAAACAGCACCAGCATTAGGATTTATGGACTGAAGTCACGTTTTACCAGCTAGTAATTTCCACTTTGTTGCCAGTAATTCGGTGTGGTGGGTAACGCCACCTTTAAATGACACACACTTGAGCTGGGCAGGAGCTGTGTAGCGCAATGCATCATTTCTACACAGAGCCACTAATTGAACACGAGTTGTTATTACCCTCTACACTTAGACCAATGCGGTTGAATTGCTACAACAGCCCCTGAGTAATCACTGCTGATGTAAGGGAGAGTTAAAATGTCCGAGTCTCGTCACGGGCGGTGTGGGACTCACTCTCTTGTTGAGGCAGATGACGGGCCATAGACTGCAGCCCACTGTACAGCAACAACACAGGCAGCCGCAGAGAAGCCACTTCACATTCACAGGCAGGTTCTTCTTCAGACAAGCGTTCACCCTGCTGATACTGGTTTTAAATTCCTCTGGTGCTACCTAGAAAAAAAAGAGAATTTATGAAACTAACAGTTCCTTTTTAATCAGAGAATTTAGGCATGAAGCAAACATTTTACAACGCCGAGGGTCAGATAAGTGTTGTTGTTGTTGTTGGTGATGACATGAAAGATTCCTACTTTCTCAGTAGAAAACCTGAGCGCAAAGATCAAAGAGCCTGAGAAAGGCAACAGGTAGATATTTGCAGATGTTGTCCAGAGATGAGATGAGATCTCTGAATGCAATGGCTCTGACTGGCTAACCGAGCTCTAGTCTGTTCAAGGCAAGGAGGGATTCAAAGGAGAGATAAGCTCAGTGCCTGTGGCAGCGACGGTCAAACAACTTGAATGGATGCTCATTCCACGCTGAGTCTGTACGCCATAAAACAGGGGTCGTAATCTTTTATGACAGGATGCAAAGGTCTCTTTGCAAACAGCCCAAGACCTCAGAATAAAGCCCAGCAGGGCCTGATCTGCACCCTTCAATCATCATAATTGTGGTCTCATCCATCACGTCACCCTGGGTCACAATACTGAAGGTACTTTTTATGGGCCCACACTTCCCTCAGCCAGCTCTTACCCCTGCAGCCTTTTTGTGTTTCTGTGTCTGACCCAGGAAGCTTTCCGGCGGAGTCTTCATTTCATTATTTTATCACCTGGAGTTGGACCCTTCAAAACACTGGGGTCGCCGTCAACTGAGCCCCATAGACAGCTTACTCATTTACAGAGCTGGACAGCAGCACATTCAGGCTCTTTTCTATGCAGCTGTGGTGCGCTGCTTGAAATGCATCTCCGTCAGATCAGACCCACTTGGAGAGGTTTGAATGGGGAGGTTTGGGGAAGTTGGGGCTGTTAAAGGCCCAAAAGAACAAAAGGATCACTGTGGTTTTAATTGCTTAATTCTTCCCACTTGGAATTGAACAGAAAGCAGCCTGCGAGACCGACATGCAAGAAAACTAAAAAGCAGCAGTACCTTTCCCGTGAGAACAGAGGGAAATTCTGTGTCAAATCTGTTGCTCAGTCCAAACCTGAGAAGAAGAAAGAACAAAGGAATTCAATTAATAAATGAAATAAATTCAAATGCAGAAAATGTGCTTTTACTATAAATGTAATGAGAACTAAAGTAATCCCCAGCAAGAGCAGCAATATATTGTTTGATTGCATGATGAGACACATCATGCTGTTGGGTGCATCAAATCACACAAAATAATGGCACAGAAAAGGCTTATTTCTACTGTGGTTCTTCATGTGAACACATTAAATCAGTCAAGGTAAGTAAGTGTGATCATAATACCAACAAAGCAGTTAAATAATTAATCATCTTCAAACATTAAAATCACTTCAAACATCAATTATTCACATCCCAACCATAAATAGGACGATAGAGAGCGATGCAGATGTGATTACAATCAATTAACTTATAATCCTCACATTTAAATCATCATTTATTCATTTCACATTTGACATGTGGTGTCATCAGTTTATTTGCAGTACTGTGTAAAAGCTTAAGACGCTTTAGATTCCTATTTCAACATCTCCTCGTACAATGTCAGTGTCTGATTGCTCCCAAATTCATTCAGCAGCATGACAACAAGCCCAGACACACAGACAGAGCCATTTGAAACGACAGTATCATCAGAGCCAAGAACAAGGAGTTCAGTGACAGATGGTCTGGCCATCACAGAGCCCTGATCCCAACGTTGTGGAGTCAGTCTGGGATCATATGACGAAGCAGAAAATTCTCCAAGATGCTTTAACAAACTTCCTGCAAAGCACCTTGACAAAAAAATCCCCTTAACTTTAGAAAACTGGTTCCATTTTAAAGGCAAATGGTGGATACATCAAATAATGGTTAGGTTTACTTTTTTTAATTTTTTTAATCTTTTAATTAACAGTTTGCAAAATATTCTACATCTGCAGATGTGTTAACATCATCATGTGAACCTGAGGAACCATTTCTTTGGGTTAAATGGAAAGTTGAAGAATTGGAAACAAGACAGAAGTTCTCATTGGACACATCTGTTATGTTGAATTCACCCTCTAATAATAATTTCCCTTGTATTTAACTTCACTAAAAACTGTTTATTTTAACATGACTTGATTAGACAAAGCTCAATAATAACAAAACCCATGAGAGCGGCCACGAATAAAACATCCACATGCAAGACTGGCAAAGACGGCAGAGACCTAGAGTTGAATTGAGTTAATGTTATTATGAAAGTGAAGAGAGATCTGACAATGTTGACATCAACCTTTACACATTTTCCCAGAGGTTTCAAAGGTCAATTGATGGACGTCCTACCAATTCATATCTCTGACTTTTAACTTCTGAGACCATCAGTTGCAACTGAAAACTATATAATTTACCAATTAACTAATGGTTGGTTTCTCTATTGCTGTTATTTAGACAATGTCACTCACAACTTTGCAGAGTCAAACATGACGTATTCAGATCTCCAGCTGTGTTTGACTCAAAGTCCACAATTTTAATATATCTGACAAACGAGCGTCCACTATTTAATGTGAATTCACACATGAAAAACAAAAGAGAGACTGGAATCAAAGCGAATCTGACAATCCGATCAGTGAATCCACTCACTGACTGGTCAGCTGTCAACAGTGAGATGAGAGGAGCAGAAAGTTTCTCTGTGAAATAAAATGTAAAGTAGCGTTAAACAGAAGTGAAAACAAAACCTGAAGAACAATCAGAAGCGGTGAATACAGATGTAAACCTAGTGACACTCTGCTCGGTGACAACATGTCAGTCAGACTTCGGGCTGTCGCTGCATCACATGTAAACTTGCCTACCAACGACTACCGGTTGCTAGACTACCATGGTATCGTGGTTGCCATGGGGACACAGCTCTGCTGGCCTTAGTTTATCTCGTCACATTATTCGGCAGCGGGACTGTTCCTCTCGGTGTCCCAGCAACAAATGGAGAAACCCGTCAGCTGTTGTGATTTGCGTTAGCTCGCAGGCTAGCAGCGGGCTAACCAGCGGCTAACGGTGACAAAGCGACCCCCGGGGACAGACAGAAACGCGGCCCCGCTTACACTGTGATGTGTCCGGCCCCTCGCATCACCACGGGCTCCGGACAGTATCTGGGCAGCAGCTCCTCGCTCGCTACGCGCTCATCCTCGTCGTCTTCCAACTCGTAAATGGTATCAAAGTCCGCCATGTTGGGGAGTGATGCGCTCATGACGTCTGGGGTGGGGGTGGGGGGTGGGGGGGCGCGCACGGTCGCTGGAGCGGGAGCGCGGAGCGGGAGTTGGAGGAGAGCGAGCGTCGCCCGTGTTGCGTTCACGTGAAGCCGAGCAGAGAATTATATTAAAAGTTCATCAATTAGAGGAATCAGGAGGAAACGTGACACATTTACCTTCAACATGATATTTATAAAGATAAATGCTCCACTGACGACTTGTTTTAAATGATCAGGTTATGGATTCAACCAGAAGAAGCTGCTGACAACATGTCACAGATGACACTGACCTCAAAACACGAGCTTTCATTCATTTATTTACCTGAATTCTGCATCTGCTCTTATGAAGTCATGGGCCTAACTAAAACAAACATTAGATCACTGCTTGTGCTATTAGTCTTCATGTGGTTTCTTTAAAACTATTGAATCTAATGAGTTAAATTAGCTTGAATACAACTTCATCTATGGACTGCTTTACGGTTTATTGGTTTTAAAGTGTACAAAGTCTGGCAACCTCAGACAGAGCTGGCAACAATCCACTGAGTGTGAACTATAGCCACAGTGTGCTTCTTGTTTGAGATTTGGATGAGAACTTTGAATATTTCCAATCAGAAAAGTAGATGCATTGGATTAATAAGAAGGCCTCTTGTATGTCCTTTGGAAAATAATTTAGCTGCAGATCCAGATTTTTTCCCAAACACAAAGGTTATGTTTAAATTCTATTTCTTCAGGTGTATATCAATATGAAAATCCAATTGACCAATGTGGCTACCTTGAGATGATGCCTTATAATCCTGAGGTGCTTTACTTGTCTTACATTTGTAAACAATTCTCTGGTCACAACAGTTGCATGTGTATTGTTTTCAGCATCAACCGATGAAAATGATTGATTTTAAGCTCTGTGTGTTTGGTATTAAATCCCTTATTGATCGGATATATACAAATAACCCTTTACGTAAATGTGACCAAGAAAATATCCCCCAAATGTAAAAAAAAATGACAGGTGTAGACCCACTGCAAAAAAGAAAAGCATTTTATTTACATTTTGAAAGTTGCCATGAAACGTTCACCTGCTGTTCTCTGTACATGTGGATACAGCTGTGCTGAGAAACATGTGAATGATTTGTCAGGTCAGAGCAGTTTGTCCAGTGACATGAGCTCCACACAATCCACTTTAAATCTTCCTTTGAAAGGTCCCTCAACTCTCAACTCTTTTATTCACAAACACTTCGTCACATACAAAAGAAAAATCATATCTTATATTTTAATAACTCACAAAACAATTTAAAGCTTTTAAGTTTAAAACACGTCGGTTTTTTTACGTTTTTTTTTCAAATCCCCACATTATTAGAACTATTCTATAAAAAGCCATATTTGAAGAGCCTCCAGCATTTGTTGCTATAAATCACGTGTGTTTTCATCCACAGCTTTGTGCGTCAGGAGTTCAGATCAAGTGTCCTGTCAGCGTGTCGGAGTGCTCAGTTTGGTATCATGGTCCAGAGGGTGAACTCTTCACTGAGTCACAGTCACTTGCTGTATATTCCTGATCGATGGCAAGGTGTTCATCTGAGGAGGGTACAGGGAGCTCATGTCCGTGGGGCTGAGGGATCCCGGCACCGGCAGAGGGCTCACCGAGCCCGGGTCACTGTGCACGGACCCCCCGCTGCCGTCAGACTGACCCAACTTCTTCTTGATCATCTTCCTCTCCTTGGCTCTGCGGTTCTGGAACCAGATTTTCACCTGGAAACACACAACGAAACAAAATTCAATTATTTTAATCAAATAAAATAAAAACCTCTTATACATGTAATACTCTTGGTAAAAAAAAAGATAAACAACAGTGAACATTACAGTCTTTAAAGCTAGGACTATATTTTAAATTCTAAAACTATATTGTTTGTTATCCATGCAAGTCAAAAGCACCAATAAGATTGAAATTGTAATTCAAACTATTTATAATTAACACAAAGTAGACATTACATTAATGTGAGCAACCTTGCTGAATTCTTTTCTACGAAAATGAAGTAGATAAAAAACCTATAAATTACTAAATAGAGGAAAGAAATAAACAAGCTAACTGATATCAACACTGAACATTAAATATACATTTTAGCTTAGCAATCTTATTCTCAGAAAACTGAGAATGATTTATTAAATTAGAATAACATCACTATCTTAATGTTAACAGGAGAAACTACCCACTAACAATAATGACAAAACATATAGCATACTGAATATAGTTCCCCATTTTCTATCAGCTATTAAATAGAGTGGTTAAGAAATAATTGAAAATATAAAGCCACAATTATTTAATACAATTTTTTAAATTTCAGAAAACCTGTAATTATATATTTGTTTGTGGTGATTTAATAATCAAACATATCATTTATATATTTGTTCAATAACTTAAGACACTATACCAGTGGTTAAGATTAAGGTAAAATGTATTTACGTCAACATATAAACGAAATAGCTGGGTGATAATATTGATGTGTGTTTTTAGGCTCCACTTTTATAAAGTTACACGTGTGAAAAGAAGCCTTCGTTTTAATATGGTGTCTCTAAATGAACGCACATATCATGGGCTGTATAGCCAATAATTGGATATATATTTAAATATTTATCACATCTTTCTGGAATGAAAACGAAGTATTTAAACAGTTGGTCAGAAGTATTTAGACATACCTGTCTTTCCGACAGGCCGAGGTTGACAGCCAGTTCAGATTTCCTCCTGATGGTGATGTATCTGTTGAAATGAAACTCCTTCTCCAGCTCCAGCCTCTGGTGGTCTGTGTACACCACCCTGTACTTCTCCTTCGTTCTTGTTTTACCTGAAAGAAACAAAACACAGAATTAAAAAGACAACATGGGAAGGGTTTTCTAAAGGAAGGCAGCCGAGGATTTCAACTGGAAGATTTACACACAGGAGGCTGCATGCCAGGACCGGCCTATCTGCGCAATGCATCTTTATTGGCTGCGTCTCTTGCTCCACATCTCTGCTTTATCTGCAGATACGCAAATGGAGCTTTCTGATGTCTCTTTGATGACAGTTGTAGAAGACTGAATTTCAAACAGCCACGAGTCAGACCCACTGACAAGTTAGAAAGAAACAAGAGATGCAGCAGATAAGAGAAGAGGCTTTCATTCTGCGTAAAACACCTCCAGACAACACCTTGGTTATATTGCAACAGTTTGACCTGTTTTACTATTTAATAGACTTGTGTGAAAGTGTGTGTCTAGTTTCTATGTTTGCATGTCAGAAAACAAATCTTTGACTGTGACTCATCTTACCAAAACATTGATGAAACGTGTTTTTCTACCATGAACTGCAGAGCCGGAATTATTATTAATGAATTCATGTTGGGGTAAATTAGGGCTGTTTTATTCTAGGGCCTCTAATTTGATATTATTCGTTTTGAAACTGTTTTTATTATTTCTGGCACAATGTCTGTGATGTTGCACTGTGAAGACCTCCAGTAATTTATTACTCCGCGTTTGAGGCCGTGTAGCTGTGAAAACCGTCACTCTTTCCGGCAGTATAACACCTCACAGAGGAAGAGAGGTTGGTGCATATCAAAGTGAAGAGGTGTTGAAAGCAAAGGCCGCCGCCTGGATATGACGGATATGATAGAATATAATCCTGTTAACACTTTATAAACCTAAATGGAACCAGTGCGATCAGACACATACTCCTGTTCTTTGAGTTTGCAACGAATTCTTCACCTCTTTCAACTTTTGACATTTTACCAACATTTAATTTATCCCACTGACGCTCACCTCGTATCTGTAATTGAATTAATTGGATAGTAATTTTCTTTTTAAGTGACAAGGAACTATTAAAATGATGGGGGCAATAATTATCAACAAGAACTGTGCGTAAAACCAATTGGGAACCGAGGAGACACATAACTTTTACGCACAAAAACCCAAAGCTCTTCATGCGAGACTGAGCCAAGTGCACCACCCTCATTAAATAACATTATTTTAACACAATTGTCTATGATGTTGAACTCACCTGTAGAAGAAGATTGCGCAGTTTTACTCATCCACTGGTACGAATTGCGTCTTTCTCTATCAGGAGACAGTTGTGCAACATTAACGTCCGGCGGCGGCGGTAACACCGCAGATCCTGGAGGATGCATGTGACTGTACTCAGAGGAGCAGTAAGGGACCGGTCCGGGAGAGGAGTTGTTCATGGGTGTAGGAATTGTATTAGGTGGTCCTAGACTATACGCGCCCCAGTCCTCTCTCGGGGCCCCATAAGTAGGTCCCCAACTCCCCGCGGACTGTGCGTGCGTATCCATGTTTGGCACATGATGATATCCGGTAAAGTCGGGATATTGTGGAGTGGAAACAAAGTTCTGTGGAGGCAGATTGATGCTGGATCTTCTCACTGGGCCTTGGTGATACATGCCGGTTTCTTTATCCAGTAGGTATCCCACATACATGTTTTGAACAAAAAACTATTAAATGAGTGAAAGCAGCAGAGGGGGGGGGGGATGAGGCCTGTTTTAAGGCGACATTATTGCCCAAAAACTGTAAAAAAAAAAAAAAATCAATCCTGTGTTTCTTTTATAGTCCAAAGAGGTTCCTCAAGAGAAATGCGGCGAATAGTTCCAGTCTGTCCTCAGTCTGACATGATGTGTCTCTGTTGACAAGATGGTAAAGGTATACTCGGACCAGCCTGACGTCAGCTCGCTCCTCAACTCTTCGAGCTTTGCATTCAAATGAGAGTGACCGGTGCGGCCGGCCCAGCTGTCCCCTTCGCCTGTCCTGTGGCGAGTCATCAGTCGACAGTGGGCCTATCCTGAACACGAGCTCGGTTTCACCATGAATAAATTAACACCACAGCCAATCAGCTGCACAAGCTTCAGGGCCCGGCAGAAAGCCCGAGGACACGCGTGCACTAATGCATCCAGCAAAAAGGCCTGTGCGTAATTGTGCACAGATACTTTTATTATCTAGGGCTTCATTCACTTTCTTTGGACAATAAATTCTGTTTGAGCTTAATAACAGATTATAGCTGGACAGTTGCCGCGTACATCCAGTGAGTCACAGACCTGTCACTGTGAGAATTTCCAACCACACTTCACACTGAATCGCGGTTTGATTTAAGATATTCACTTGCAAACGAGGTGCAAAGTATGAGCGACTTTCTTTCTGGGAGCGAGCCGCAGCTTTAGTATTCCGTGTTCACACCTCAAGGTCGCACTTCACAGCTAATTCCGGTTACAAGGAAACTCCAACGACCCCCTCTGTGACAAACAGCGGCCTGCGACACATCAGTCACTGCTGTCTCCTGCAATTACACCCAACTTATTTTTCTTTTTCGTCTCTGCTGTTTTTTTTTCATGTCCAACATGTGTCTCACGTCTCAGGGAAATTAGCACTCGATTTTAAAAGTACATCCCCACTCAGTGTTTTAGTCCATTGGGTGTTTAGTCAGCCTGTTCTCACATTGAATCCAACAAGTTAAAGAAGAATGAACAAAGATTTGTATTTTAGGAACATTTTTTCAACGCTTTAGTTTTTTAAAATCTAAACTTAATATAAGGTCTCACACTGAGCTGTGGTCGTGTTTCTCAGAATCATCATTATATCCACCACCCTGAGGAGCACATGCTTATTATTCTTTTATCTCTATCTGCCATTATTCTCATATTGGTTCATGTCATTTCCTGATATTCTCCTGGAGAACATTTAGCAGAGCTGTCACAATAACTCGACTAAAAGTCCAATAAAAAAGTCATAAATGTTGATGGGCGTCTCTGAAGAATCTGTTTATTGGCCACAAAATATTTATGAGACAATCTGTGACAGTCCACGGTCAGCCACTGATCTGGTGGTGTGTACAGACTGACAGCTCGTTCATTTATTTATCTGTTAATCAATCAATCAGATTTTATTTTTATAGCCGATATTCACAAATCACAATTTGTTTAATAAGGTGCAACATCCTCTGCCCTTTAAATTCTGACATGTTTCATGTATTTACTTGTTCTTGCAGGCCTAAGCGGATACTTTATACACTGTGAAATAGTGTCAAGCCTTCATAGTAAATGTGTCTAAGCTTTAGTTTAAATGATCCATGTTTGTATGCCTGCGTCAAGGGGATTATTTTTTACTGAGGAATATAAAGTCTCCAGCAGCACATGTCAGTGAGGACACAGGTCAGATCAGGCCTTTTGAGAACTGTCTCCCCGAATCACCTCTGTAGGAGCTGCACGGCTAGAAATACATTTTACAATATTTCCTAAAATTATTTTCTCTTCAAAGTTCCCAGTCAGATACCATTGCACTTTATTTTTATTTTCTTTATACATACACACATATTTGATCCTTTTTTACTATCTTTTAATCTCTTGACCTCTTTTATTCTACTCTTTACAATCTCTTTTTATTTTGTTGAGAATTGTTTCAAATGGTTTGAATTGTGTGTCTGTGTTGTTTTAATGTCCCTGTACGGCAGCTTGAATCTGAACTCTGTAATGAAATGTGTTTCATACATGTTCACATCACTTCACTGTATTTAAATTGAGGGCACTTGGTTTCTCCTGTGATTCCATGTAGAGTGATGATCCACACTCGCTGCTGCCTCCTTGCGGACATCTACACACCTACAGCTGGTGTGATTAAAGTGGTGACTGGTTAAATCTCTGCGTCCACACGCCAGATGATTCACCTCAAGAGGGCAGCCTCCACCCACAAACAATATGTAGAACATGTTCTACAGCAGCATTTCAACATGCATCACACAGACTGATAAGTTTCAGATGACAGGAAGTTACTGAAACAATCCCACAAACCACAAAGATTATAAATAGTGTTGAAATTTGATGAGACAACAATGAGTTGAATGTTGTGTCATTAGTGAACATCCTTGTACACATCATGTTTTTCCTCAACTGCGCTTAAAGCTTCAGGGTGTAAGATTTAGGTGAAAGGGATCTTTTGGCTGAAATGGAACAATCTTAGTGATGTTTTCACAAATGCTTGTTTTCATCTATATTGTATGATTTGTTGTTTTCTTTACCCTAGAATGGGTCCTTCATATTTAAATTCTTTATATTAACTTCAGGAGCAGGTCCTCTCTACGGGGGCCACCATGTTTTTTTACAGTAGCCCAGACTGGACAAGTTAAACACCTTTTGAGTTTTTATGACAACTGAAGGTTTCCACAGCTTCTCTGTCATGTTTGTGTGACCTCTGTGATCTGTCTTCTCTCGTTCATCAACACAAGGCAGTCGCGTGCTCGCTCATGGTGTTCCTCGATATCTTTTAAGAATACCCACAATCCCTTTTCCCTGGGCTCGCCGCTCCCTGCAGGTACATATTCACAACACTAGGTGGCACTGTTATCCAATTTAGCAGGATTTAATATGAACCTTTTTAAATATGTTACATTTGAAAGTGGGGGGTTTGAGGGGGTATTCAGCTGCAACATGCAACTTCACCAATAGATGTCACTAAACTCTACACACTGAACCTTTAAAGACACCTCTTATTGAACATAGCATTAATATACAGAGCATCAAAATGAAATTGAGGCAAAATAAGTTATCATTCTCATCATTAATAATTGTTACATAACATGTCTCTGATTTTGAACTCTGTGTTCTTGTGACACCCTCATGAGAAACATGTTCAGGAAAATATTTTGTGTGCTTCTAATCTCATTCATCTGATTTGAATCACTTGTAAGTCATCATGTGATCATGTGTCATCACAGCTGCTGTCGTACAATATCTTGCTTATTCTTATTCAGTCTGTTATTGAACAAAAATAGAATTTAAAGATTAAATTGATGAGACTGTCACAGGAATAAAATGTGAAGAGTTAAAAGTTTCATGAGGTTTAATCTGCTGGTTTGGTGACGTCAGTGTGGCCGAACTCTGCTGGAATACCATCGACACACTTGAACCACCATGTTTACAAAGTTACAGCCAGTTCGAGGGCAAAGGTCATTTTGCTGGACAGTTAACATCCTCTTCACCCAGAGGTTAGTCTCCTGTCATCAGGATGAACACATTTAACATACTTTTTTAAAAAATATTTCATTCCAATTCAATCCATCTATCCATCCATCTATCCATCCCAGTGGTGAGGTCATACTATATTTTTGATAAAGTCTTTACTGTAATATTCAACTCATCCCCACTCAGTTTTTAATTGTGTTTCTGTTTCTTCTTCAGTGTAAATCTTTTTTAATTTGTCCAAAGTATCAAAGTCCATTTTCACTTCTCAGTCACCAGCTGATTAAATCTTGTTGCTCCAACACAAAGTCTTGGTGTAAAGTTTTACAGTGTTTCAGGTGCCTCTCACTGAAACAGTTGTGGATTCACTAGATGGCGCAGTTGAGTTAGTTATAAACTATGTTGCAGTCTTCTAACAGATGTGCAGAAATAAATTCATTAGATCATTGAAAGACTGTATTAAATGTAAATATGATGTATATTATAATAAATTCACTGAGATTAGATCTATGTAAAGACAGATTGTTAGATTAATATAAGAATGACAGGGTGACAGATACTTTCCAGGCTGATTTGCTCACTCTGAGTCACTCTGTGCTCAGGCTCAAGTGTAACATCAGTATGACTGAAAAACTTTAGACAAATTGCACCATCTCTCATAAAGTTCAGTCATGCATTGCAGCAAATCAATTAGCAACCACGTAAATACTGTGGTTCTCTGGAGGATCAAGGTCCCGAGGTCATTGACGGATCTTATCATGGTAACATTTTTTTTACACAATCTGTGAGTCTGGTCACGTATTCGGTTGCTCTCTATAAGTTTGGTCCGACATATTACAGCTTCTCTGATTGGTTTGAGAGAGTCACACTGACAATGAGAGGGATCAGAGTTAAGGTTCACCATATTGAAATTTAAAGTCCAGCTACTTCCCTCTAGTTTCATCAGCATTCTATATCTTATGAAATTAGCTGCCTCTGGTTTCTTGCTATTTCACAAATGTGTCAATAAAATGACAGAATTACTAAAATTTTCCAAAGTGACAAGGGTCACGTCTTTCCCTCAGCACAGTGTCCATGTAGTAAATACATAAGTGACAGTTGGTGGTGAAGCAGCCCAAGAATTCAGTTTGTTGCATAACTGCACTGATGTTATTGAAGTGGCTGCAGCGCTCTGCAGGACCAGGACCATCTGCTACTATTTTTAGAGGAAGTGCCGACATTGCTGTCCCACAGGCTGCGATCCTTGGTTTGTCGTCTGTAATGTCAAACACATGTAGAGTGATGCAGCAGCCATGTTCCAGTATTTTGGGTCAGAAATAGATTTTGTCGAGGTTGTGAGAAATGTTTATGTTCACAAGCTGTTATTGTTTTGCAGAAGAGTGAAGATATTTTACATCCAGGCGGTGTCGATGAATGAATGAAACATTTACGCAGGAAGCTCACTTTTTAATTTTACCTAAAAAATCAGGCAAGTGCAATTTTGTGCTTCAAAAGATTTTAACGAAAAACAAACAAACTATCCACAGCTCTGAATGATAGAGTGATGAAAAGATGCTATTAAATGATAAGAAATAATGCTGTTGACAATCGAGCATCAGTCTTTTATTCTAATAATTACAAACACTACAGTGCTTGAGCTCAGTAAATTCAGGGTTATCATCTGAAAGTTTATTGTCTCAGCAAAATCCAAAAAGTCACTGGTACATTTATAACATATAGCCTTTTATCAGCTGGTGCCCGAATTCCTGTGCAGCTATAGCCTGAGGCCCGGTGCACAAGGCGTCTACCTCAGCCTGAGCTACTTGAATAATGTCACATAGTGTGGTTGTAGTGCAGCAAAGATCAGACGAGTGGCGAAGGTCCTGATGTTCTGATGTCCCACGTTTGGACTCAGCAGCACTGAAACCAGATGGAAATTTCACTGGACGGCCACAACACAAAACAGTGCATCTGAACTCCAACATAACCCCACCATGTCCACGTTAATTACATCGCTGTGGTCGCTGCATTTTTCCCAGGCCCTCCTGGTGTATGAGCCTTCAATACATCCCTTACCCCCCACCAGAGAGGTAAACAATGGGGGCAAGTGGGTGAGCTGGTTTCACTGCACTTTTGCCTTTGAATGGGCATTGATGAATCTGAAGGCTCCCGAGGGTTCAGGGCTGTCAGAGGTTTGTTGACATTCTCCAGAAAGTATTTAAAGTCGATAAATTCACACGTACACAGACTCTGTGCTGCTCGTCAACCCTGAACCTCACAGAAGACGATCAGAAGCACCGAGCTTATCTGATAGAAGTCTGATCTCTGTTTGTGATTCATAAACAAACTGGGAGTGAGAGGACGGGTCGGGGATAGGCTATGAATAAAGTGAATGAATTTATACTTTCTTCTGCTGTTATACTTTCACACTCAGATCAGACTGATACAAACACTTTCAGTTAATATTTTTGCACATGAGTTATTCATTTTAGTGGAGAATAATTAACAGTAGAAGAACTAACAAAAGATGCTGTACTGTGCAGGTACTGACAAACTGAACAATGCAAATCAAACTGCACCAAATTGCAGATGTTCATAGATCCGCTCCCCAGATGTAATAGATTTTTTTCATCATTTTTCATGAATTATTCCGGGTGAAATTGGAGAAAATGTCAGAAAGCTGCATTTTTCTGAACGATAAAAATGTGATAAAAAAATGGGGTCTTCACAGACACTGGCCCCACCCCTCCACCAAGTCTGGTTTTTCATAATCCTGCCATCAAATAACACTTAAAGGGCACTTGGAGAGCAACCACCCAACAAACCAACCTACCAACCCACCAACCAACCAAACAACCAAACAACCCACCAACCCACCAACCCACCAACCAACCCACCTACCAACCAACCAAACAACCAAMCAACCAACCAACCAACCAACCAAACAACCAAACAACCCACCAACCAACAAACCAACAAACCAACCTACCAACCCACCAACCAACAAACCAACAAACCGACCAACCATCCCACCTACTAACCAACCAACCAACCAGGTGCAGAGCCTCAGTGAGAACCGAATATTACAGTTACTCATGTCTACTCTTACTCTCTTATCTGTTATGTTGTTGACTTGACCCTTCACTCTGCTTGTTAACGGTGGCCTGACGTGAGGAATTCTGCAGGGACAGTATCCGGCTCATTGTTCTGTAATGAGAGGCTTGGCAGTGGCTCACGAGTCACCTTCATGGGCAGGGGTCTGGGAACAGCATTGTGAGGCTGTTTATATGAGGAGAGGGGAACATTTGTGCTGCTTTGTCCTCAAATCAGTCTATGATAGGACTTCAAGCTACTCATATTAAGTTGAAATCTGGATGACAGACATTCCTTGAATTCATGAACGACTCATCTTAAGTGACTAATGGAGTAAAGTGCAGCTCTGGGGAGAGGCCGTGGAGATGGTGAAGAAAGGGGGTTTTCATAAATGCAACTGTAACTGTAAATAAGGGAAACAAGCAGACAGCACAGTGGGTGTGGTGCTGAATACAAACTGGACAGTAATGAATCATATATATATTTTTAAATAAACAAAAAATGTACCACCACAATATAAGGCTCCAGTCAGACAGAATGCAGTGTTTGATGAATTGATTGATTAGGAATAAAAAGAATAAAAGGAAAAAGAACATTTAAAGCACTGTCGGACTGGTTGTTATAACAACAAATAATAAAGACATTTATAGATGTAATTATATTACTAATTGTAATGGGTAGCAATGATAACAGCACGAATAATAATATTAAATAAATGCACTGTACTTATGTTTAATATGCATTACTCTTTTTTGAATGTTAAAAAATATGGTTAATATATAATTTATTCTTTGCCTGCACTGTCGTTGAAAATAGTATTTCATACAGATCTTGAACTCGCTTTTAATTTTGATCATAATTTATTAATTATTCTTTTGACACAGTTTCTCTGCAGAGGTGAAGTATCAGGGTTGTCATAGTGCAGGCACTCGTCATAGGTCAAACCTCTGGCTGAATGGAAAAATACTGTGAGTAGGTGTAGATTCACAAGAATGTTTGTTACCGGGAAAAAGAAAAACATGACAGTGAAGAATACTCTTCCTCTCCAACATCCTTCCCTTTTTTGTTTGTGTCTCACAACCTCCGATGAGGAAACAGTCCACATCAGAGGTTGTTGATATGTGTTTGTGTGTAATATCAGGCCCCCATCTGCCGGTAAACACAATAAATCTTGTGAGGACACATGGAGACAGTCAAGGGCCCAACCTGTCTCATGGCGTGCGGACCACACCCAAGGCTGGTAAGCAGAGGCCATACGCTCCCATAGGAAGCCCTGTGTGTGGCGTCCTGCAGTCGTGACTAGGATGATTAAAAGTTCTTTCCTTCCCCACTGGTTGGACGGGCTTTGTCCTGGTGAACAGACATGCTGCTGACACCGTGTCCTGGCAGGGAAGTGAGTCTCCCAGCGTCCAAGGACCAGAAGAGGCGCCAAACACTGATGGCACAGTCCAATCTAAACAGACCTGTTTATTTAGGAGCATTTGATTCTGTGAATTTAGTTAGTCATTGCCTGAAACCTCTGCTCATGCTGGAGTGAGTGGTTCCCAGCATGCGGGTTGGGACCCTCAGAGAGATAAAGATAAATCCGAAGGGTCGAGATGATTTGAAAAATAAGAGGGATAAAAAACACATTTTCTTAATTATTACAAATTATTTAAATATTCCCACTTTTCTTTAATTAGCAAGAAGGTTATATTTACATTTGCATTATTCTAGTTTGTTATTTAGCAGGATTGTGGAAAAACTGCTGAAGGGATTACCATGAAACAAGTTTAAAAAAACTAACCAAGATTTGGCACAGATTAGGATCAGGCGGGGATCCAGGGTTTCTTTTTCACTTTCTTTATCATTGAGAGATTTTCAACACTCGAGTTGATTTCTCAGAGAATAATTCATGGACCTTGATGAAAACAATCTGACATTTTGTGGGACTGATATTTATGAGTGGTTGTAATTTGGTGCAGATCCAAATAAAAATCTGGATCTACTGAATTTAAATGTTTGAACGAGGGGACTGTTGGGCCATGGCTGAGGTATTTGTTCCCTGAGTGCCGCTCTAGTTTTTATTGTGAACAACTGGAATTTTTCACAACCTAAAACCTGTAATAAGAGACTGTAAATTGACCCTGGTGTTCTTTTACAGTTTTACTTTCAAAAATGAATTGGCTATACTTATGTGTTTTTCACTCTAAGCACACTTTCATACAGCACCTTCTCTACCATATACGGCCGGCAGAGACATCATACATTTTGGAATGTGAATTGGAGGAGCCCAAGGATCAAACCACCGACCTTTTAGTTAGTGGATGACCCTTTGTCCATCCTGAGCCACAGTGACTCCACAAAGAACAAAGAATCACTAACCAGGAACATTGGGGATCATTGGTGTGCATCACAGTTCACTGATTTCAAGTTTGTCATCAGTCACACTATGAGTTTTATTTTATTGGCAACACAATGTATTATAGAAGCAGGTTTTTTAATCACTTGAAACTTGGAATCTTTGCTGGTTGAAGAATATAAGGATGTACACACGACTATTCACTTGATTAAAAAAAAACAACACTGTAATACAATAATTAGAGTCAGCTTTGTGAGGCTGTAGTGATCATTGCAAAAAAAACTAAACTGTTAAACAGTTAAACAAAGTATTGGAGAAGTTTAATCTTTGGCCTGATGATGGAGCTGTACAATCAGGGAGTAAATGTAAGTTCAAAAATACCATTAATCTCTGCATTAAATTGCTACTTAATCATTCTAATGACTTTCAAGACTTTTCACAAAAAATGTGATCCCCAGGGTGGCGCTAGAGAAAAAGGAAGGGGATCATCAAGGACATTTGGTCACTCAGAGCAGCGAGTGCCTTAAAACAATATGTATGTTTTACCTTGTGTATGTATTTCACACAATTATGCACCAAGACTTCTGGGTAATGTATAAATATATAAATCTTTATTCATTTATTTACTTCATATGCTCAGTTAACAGTGTCAGGGAACATCACTTTCACTCAAACTAACTTGTTACGCTACACGAACAAAACAGAAAAAGCTACGTTGATGTTTGAGCTGCTGCAGGAATCATTACTCATTGTGATATATGAAAAAAAAAAGGAACAAAATCCAAATACTAATAATTTATCTTTGCATTAAGGTTGTTATTGTGAGAGGAGTAACTAAAATAAAAAAGACTGGGTTATAATAAGTGAACATGACGATGTTAGGCAGAGAAATAATACAAGTACAGTGAACATTAATTTCCTACTAAGCACTAGAGTTAAGAGTTAAATAAAAATGCAAAATAAAAATCCGACATCTTTATAAAATGTGACCCTCAACACTGTTTCATAATAATATACCTTTAGAATACAAAAAAACATTATACTTGATATAAAGTATCAGTGCATCATCACTTCCTCTCCACACAAACTGAACAAATTGGTCCACAAATAAAACAGCTCTCTGGATTCAAAATATCACCGACAAATACAGTTTTCTCTTTAGTCAGAGAAGGCCCTGTTCAGACCTGGTATTAACATTTGTCCTGAGCGAAATTATCACAAGCACTAAGTTAAATTAAAAAACTTCCTGAATATGTCTTGTGCATGTGATCGAATCTTACTCAGCCACTCAATATGCAATAATCACATGTGACATTTGTGTCTACAGAAAGATTTGACCCATTTGATAAAAAATTGAAGTCATTTTGTGGTGGTCAGTGGTTATATTGTGGTTACAAACAAATCAGCGTATAGTAAGTGAGGGGCGTTAAAATGTGTTTGATTCATTATGAAACTATTAGAGGTCAGCTGAGTAGGCAAAGAAATCATCTGCGTTCACACAGAGAGAAGAATGTGGACAAATGAGTCCCAGACCACGTCTGATTGTGGGTTGAGTGATCGGATGTCAGGATGCATTCAGGACTTATCTGGGTGTGTTCACACCTAAACTAAGTGATTGGATCACTCAGAGCAGACGTGAATACCAGGTTGGAACGGGGTCAATAAGTACGAGCTAACCGCTTCTCTACAGGGTGTGTGTACAGAGACTCATGAGCTCAAATGAAGGTTCGGTCCAGTTTACACACAGTACATCGTGTATCACAAGTAATCTGCCTGAAATGTTGTTCAAACATGGAGATTAACAGGAAATCAAACTGTGGGGAAGAACAAAACTTCACACACATGCAGAGTTTTTGTAGCCTGCCCTGCAAGCTTTAACTAACACTCAGCACAAGATGAAGGACAGACAATACTGACACATTTTCTGTTTCCTACAGAAGCAGATTCCCTCAGCTTTAATATCAGTTTATACAGCAGCACAAACAGCATGTATGTGTGGAGTTAAAGTTACATGTTGATATCAGGAAGACTGATGTTATATCTTAATCTAGGTGAACACCAAGTGACAGTGTTTACTAAATAAATACACAGTTTATTTTACTAATACTTTCTAAAGAAACAGTTTCTATTACGTTTTGTTCTGTTTTTGTTTTTCCAACTGAGTTTATACAAAAGAAAATAAACACATCTGGTTTCCTTCGCTCTTTTTTAGTTTAACCAAACAAAAAAGCTTGAGTTTCTTCAACACTAGATCTGGGGCAGGAGGAATCTGAACATGACTCGTCACTGAAATGCTATCGTGGTCGAGCTGTATTGTGAAATCTCAGCTTTACCCTGTTTCCTCCATTAACCTGGGATTTCCCATAACTTAGAGAGCTTAAGAAACTATCCACCACCTCATGACAGAGCAGTCCTCTCCTCTGTCACTCTGGGCCAACCTGAGTTCATTCAGCTGATATATTTGTATACAGGATTGTATTTGTTATTTATGCGTCAAATAACATTTTTCTCAATTCATCATCAACATTATTTATCTGCTTTTTACTTTTTAGCAAAACTGAACTTTAGCCAAGATCCTATGGAAAAAGAAGCTGCACCTCATAAAGAGCCTCTTGATCTTTACTTAACAGATTTTCCAGTATGAATTATAAAACAATATATAAAATAGTCTCAATATAAATTTGACAAATGTAATTTCTCCTTTCTTTTCTGGGACTTATTGTTTGATGCAGTTTGTATAGATCTGTGGTGAAGGTGGAATCATCGCGGTTTGTTTTCACAGTAGATGAAAGAAATACCTGAGCCTGTTTTCAGCTGTTTGACAAATCACAGTGAGTGTGGAACGGACCAGTAGCTTTAGGGTCGAGCTAATGTCTGATAACTGGTGAGGAATCAACAGTCTACAGTGGACGCTCCGGAATTTGGAAGATGCAGAAGTAACAGTGGAGTAGATTCACGAGCGGTTTCAGAGCGTAAGTTCTAAGAGGGAACCTTGTAGGTTTTCCTCTCAAATGCTGCCACAGTTCGGAGATAAGAGTCAACACAAAGGAGAACAAAGTGAAGGCCTTTAGGCTGCCAAGGGGCAGAGCGGGAGTTAGACCGGTGGGGTGGAGTAGCGCACCACATAGTTGTAGTCGGGCGGCGGGCTGTGACACTCCAGGCCGACTTCCAGAGCTGAGTCGTCCAGCACAGAGTCGTTCAGGCTGAAGTCCAGAGAGGGAACAGTGGGGGGGTACTTCTCCTTCTCTGGGTCACACAGCACAGATTCTTTACTCTTACTCACTGCCTTCATCCTGAAAACACAGACAGATACAAATACATATAACTAATTCAAATATATAAAAACATAACAACCAATTCATCTCCATGCTTCAAAAATCATCAGTCAAACTATTAATAAGAAAAAAAGCCAAATATTCTCTGGTTTCAGCTTCTTCACACAAAATATAATAGACAAGAAAAAATGAGTCTCTCTATGAGTCTTAAATGAAAATAACAAAGTGGTTGATAGACAAATCATCAGACCAGGGCAAGCTGTTAGGAGCTGATTGCAAAAACACTGAAAATCAAATATGACACAACAGAAACTAGTGGGAGTAAAATCCTGAGAAATGATGCTGCATTAAAATCTGCCTCAGAGCTTTTTTAAGAAACATTTTTCAAAATTTCTAATGCTTAGAGTTTTAAACATTATTGCAGCATCTTTGAAATGATTCTGATGTAAAAACATTTCATTAGAAACACTGGTGCAGTCTGAGTGGATGGGGGCACTACGAGCTGTGACTTACTGTGAATAAAATCAAGCTTCTCTTTGTTTTCTTCACGATAACTTGACTTGACTCCTCTCACAATAGAGGCCTGCTCGATATTTGTGATTTAAGAAGTGGGCCCTTGTGAAGCTGTACAATCGGACAAACCTTTCCTCATTCATGTATGATGTAATCAATCATCCCGAGTTTTTCTGCTTCATTGAATGCTCAGAATATGAGTAATTGCCTCTTATTGTCTATGGAGGTTGCCAAGGACTTCCAGAGCTTCTCTCTGGAGGCCAAAGGGTCAGAGCCCAGCAGGCGGAAGCGAAGCCGCTGAACTGGAATGCCGTCCTGATGACTAAACTACCTGGCAAACTAGGCATCGAAAACTAAACAATAGTCTGGTGTTGTTTCGCCAATGCCAAGCTCAACGTGGGGCTACGATTGGGAAATGAGCATCAGGAAACAAAATGAGTCAGAGTGAAAATCCCTTCTACTCAGTCAAAGTCAAATGTGACTTTTAGCTGTTTTTATTTCTCCTCGTTGAATGTCGCTGGGGTTTTCCTACAAATTTCTGGAAATTTTGCATTTAGGGTTAAACAATCTACATCCTTGTTGGGGAAACTTCCTCAGCAATAATGTTCAATCAATTCTAACTGAAGTTGTGTGTGTGCTATACTAAAAAAAGGAGGGCAGGTTAGAGGAGTGGTGAAGCCAGAGGGAGCAACAGGTGGACTTGAGCTGCACAAAAGATCCATAGCTAACAGGGGAGGCCCTCGTAAACTCTCCTAAGTTCAAAGGTGGCAGTGATTGAGTGGTTGCCCAGTGAGGAAGTCCTCCCCTCGATCATTCTCCGCATGCCTGGGTTGATTCTTTCTGCCACGCTGAAGCCCTCATGCCACAAGCGGACCTATGATGCGTCTTGGACACCTCAACTTCAAGTATTGATCCAAAAGACAGTGAGGGTGGGAGTTTTTACATGTGGGGGCTGCTGCTCTTTAGAGTGCAGTATATTAATACTAGAAGGTTTGAAGTGTAATTGCTGTGTACATGTGTTTGACCGTGTAAATTAACCCTGCCACTGAGCTGCTTTGAACTCAATGTGTGGTAAGTTTTAGAAACAGAAAAAGAGTTAAAGACATTTGATTCAGATTTGACTTAATCCTTGAATAACACCTTAAGTGAAAACATATTGTCTAAGTGTTTTTTTTTTTCACTTTTACAGTTTTATATTCTCACCCCAAATGATCCACATCTTAAAGCCATCAAATGCTCCGCAGGGTTTTGGAGAACATACCGTCTGCGTCGTTTTGAGATTATGTGTGTTTGTAACCTAGTATTGGATTGAAAAGCCATGAGTCATAAGTTAAGTCAGACTGGGAGGTATCTTATTCAGGGCTCTTCTGGTGAAAACAAAGAGGTTTTAGTGTGCACTTTTAAAACAGCCAAGCCCTCCAGTGATGCAGCCGCTCTGCTTTTGTGCTCAGTCCTTCAGTTTGTCACCTTCAAGCCTTCTCCCTCCCACTTCCCCTTTGTGCATCTGTCCCTCACGCACGGTTTCTTTAGACAAAGGGGAAAACTGGCCGCTGACTTCTTTTTAAGACAGAAGAAACTTGAGTGTGTGTTGTATGACAGTTATAGCATCTACATTCCAGCTCAGCGGGGCGGTTTCCATGCAGGTATTTTGCAGTCTCTTTCAGTGCTTTTTGTTTGTGGTGACCTGCAGGGAATGTGGTGTGTAGCTCTGCACGGTGTGGTCTACGTACGCGAGAGCCATAATGCTCAGTGGTCGACCAGCCAACGATTCGAGGCGCTTCAGTGTCTTCATGTTGTCAGATGAGAGGCCCATCCCGCTGTCTGACTGGCCGCCCTGATGATGATGATGGACAGAGAAGGGATAGTTAAAAAGAAACACCGCCTCTTTTATTTTTTATTATCAGAAGTGAATGAATAACAAATATATGAATGTCGGTAAGTTTGTTGTCTTTATTTTTCAAGAACTTCTCAGAACCAGTTACAAAATGCTTCACTGGTGCATGTAAATTAAAACAGCATTTAAAATATTGAGCAAAACATAAAGTATAACATAAAACCATCAAAGAAATACGTTTTGAAAATGTCTATTATTATCTATGTCTATTCTCTTCTGAGTCAAACTTGACCCAGACTCAGCTGCTCTGATAGTGAGCTGGACTGTTTCACTGTGTCGGAGCTAGAACAGTGAAAAGAATGATCGAGTTCTCACAAAATGTAGTAATCAGACCTTCAAGGTCTTTATGCACAATAAGAATTCAAAGGGATCTTTAAAAGCATTCAACAAGATCAAATTCAGATGTAAAATGTGTAGAAATGAAAGAATCTATAAATAAAAATAAATAATTTCATGAAGACTCATGAAAAGAACTTGAGTTTTATGAGGACTCAGTCGCAGAAAGGTAAAGTAACAGCCACTTTTTGACAGTTGCTGGGCAGCAGTGCAGGGATTAGGATTTTAGGACTGTAACAAACTGCTGTGAGTTTTTGGTGTAACACTGGTAGTAACAACGTTGAGGTTCCAAATAACACGGCCAAGAGAAAGCAGATAAAACTGAATAAAATGGAGCCAAGTATTAAGCCTTGTGGGACTCCATGTGACATGACAGCTATGAAATTACTTTACTAATAAACAGCGAATAGGAAAACTTTAACTCTGATGTCATCTCATAAAATTGAGCCAAATATATGATTTATGATCTGACATGGAGTTTTAAATCATATGTCTATGACCTAACTCGCTTGTTTTAGGAACAGTGGAGGTGAATATTGTGTGTCTGTCTCAGGTGTATTAACTCACCTCGTGGTTCTCATTTGTCCCGTCCTCCATGGTAACCTCGTCAAACGTTTTCACACTAGCAGGACGGATCTTGATGTTCCTGGAAAAAATATATTTCCAGTGTTAAATGTCTAAAATATCTTAAAATGATCTGTTTCTGTTCAGAGAATCATTCGATTATGCTGGAGCAAAACGGCAAAGTTCAACAAAAAAAAAGAAACCACAGGAACTTAATCACTTAGATCAACAATGTGAAGAGACTGTGACATTCTACTTTTAAAACACGTTTTGTTTACTTTGCATTTCAACACTCGGAGGCTAAAACCACTGCTTAATTTAGCTTAAGAGGTAACTGTCATTACTGCTTTTCAACACTTCCTCAATAAACACGAGGAGGACTCGTGAACACCCAAAGCTTTAAAAAATATTGTTATAAGCGGACACAAATCTTTTCTGTGGTTTTTGGGGAAATTCCTCAAAGGAGCCACAATACTGAATGTGCTGTGACCATGGAGCCACCCCGAGTATATTTCTTATCATGTGCCAATCAGGTCGCCCATTGTGCTCAGGTCAGGACTACATGTTCTTATAGAGCTCAGCCTGAGTGCTGCAGGAACAATAATTGTTTTGGATATTATTCAGTAAAAAAGTGGAAAGACAATTTAGGGCATATCCTTTGCAAAACAGACTCAGAGCTGTAGCTGCAGAGGTTTTCATGTCTTTCAAATAAGGTGATTTATTTGGAATTGAAATATCTTGAACTCAGCTGCACATTTGAACCAACAAGATTGTGGGTCCACAGCCATGCTAGCTGCTTGCTGGTGCTGTACTTAGATACAGATGTGCTTTGAGCTACATGCTAACATTTTAACTAAATACTAACATGCTCATACTTACATATAACAATTTTGAGCTGCCTGTGGTTATAGTTGAAAAGTTATAGGATGGCCAAAGTGATTGGAAAGGTGGAACATGAATAGTTTCAAATAAACCTCACAGAGATGCAAGAGAACTCTGCATCATCGACACGTCTCAGCTTCCTCCAATTGTACAAAAATGAAGCTAAGACATCCTGGACTTCAGTGCTGCCAGCTTGCATTTTGATTAGTCTGTGCAGTAGTCATGGTGGTAGGGAGCCGCAGTACCAACATTCTGCTTATACTTGTGCTTGATCAATAGTCTAAGCTGTAAATCATGATGTTTCACAGCATTAAAAACCAAACTAACCACAAAAAAACTTGAAACACACCAGTTTGATAAGAACAAATTCAAATGACTTAGAGAAAATGTATTATGCATGTTCCTTGACTTTTTGGTTTCTTCTTTCCCATCCAACATGCAGGCAGGGTTTATGACCTCTACTGTATTCAGCCACTAGGGGGTGGTTCAGATAATTTGGCTTCACTTTTCGGGAGCTGTCATGTCATCCATCATTATGTACAGTCTGTGATCTGTATGAAATCCAACTAGTGGATGTTGATATTTCACAGGATCAGTGAAAAGTCTGACCTGCTAGTGATGTAACAGGAGAATCACCAAGTCATTAGGATTCATTATCTGGGAACCTCTGGCATCTGGAGCAAATGCCATGACAATCAACAGCTGGTTGTCAGATAATTTCAGTTTGGAGCAGAGTGGCAGATTAACACACACAACTGACATTTACATCCTGTGAGCCCCATCGCTATGTTGGCTGAAAACATGACTCAGCCCTGGAAGAGGAGACAAAATATCATCATCTCTTCGAGTTCACAGGAGTTTCAGGCATCTGTTATGTAAACCACAGAACAAGAAGTCATGTTCTCACCAGCTGCTCCCTGAGTCACAGTGGGAGATGGGTCGCGTGGGTGTCTCTTCTGATGGCGCTGTGATGGAGGGGTCTCCCACCTTATCCAGCAGGGCTGTGTTGATAGGTATATAGTGCTTTCCCTCCTAAATCAACCAAACACAGACAGAACAACTCAGATTACAGCCTTATACTCACATGATGCATATTAAAATGAGACAGGTTTAATTTAAGTAGAATGATGCTGTGTGCGTGATATGTAATCACACACATCCACAGGTTGTGGCGAGCAGCCAAAGAAACTAAGGTCATGCAGAGTAAACTTATGGTGATGGCCTTCCTGCACTGTAACATTAGCCTCAGTAATGAGTCAAACCCCTCAACTGTTCCAGTCTGAAGTTTTTTCTTATGAAGGAAACTGTTACAGACTCATTTGTAAAGCGGCATGTGTTGCTTTAATAGTCAGTCCCTTGTTAAGTTACACTGTACTGAGCCATTTATTATTTTCAGAACAATTTTGAAGGTTCGACTTGATTCAAAATAGGCAATCAAAAACCTAACAAAACCTTTGTGCGTCCATTCATTACAAAGAAGATATTAAGAGATTTAATTGCAGGAATAGAAACTAATATTACTAAAACTGTAGTACTAGTGAGGATTTAAAGTAAACATTTTGTTTCAATATTTTTTTGTTACTGAGAAAATGTTTCCAACATGAACCTGTTTGATTTCACTCCAGAGTTCAACAGCTGGTGATAATAAACTCTTCATTCCTGCAATTTTTGACATAAAAGATGCCGATGGATCATTCAGACAATGAATGTTAAATAATGCATAGTATTTGAGCAATAACATTTTATCGTACCTGCTGCACACTGGCCTGAAGCAGGTCTCCCAGCCTTTCTACCAGCTCAATGAAGGTGGGTCGCCCCTGTGGCTCCCCGTGCCAGCAGTCCAACATGGTCTGATATCTACAGGTAGAGAAGACACCACTGAGCAATCGCTTTGATACAAACATAGCACACTGTAAGATCACACACTTGCCAATGCCAAGAACAACAATTTGTACATTTGGGTTGTTGTATTGCAAAATATGAACAAACAGAGAAGTGGAAACTCAGTAAACAAACCCCTATGAATTGAGCAACCAATGAATGTGTCACCTCTAACTCCAGTGTCATGTAAAGCGTTTGCTCATAGTCTGTTCTCTGTTTTTAGGTTTGTCCTGAGACTCTGGGTTTGTATCTCATTCTCACCTGGTCTTGGGTGTGAGGACCAGTGAGAGCTAGCAGCCTCCCTCAGGTCTTTGACAGGCTGTCAGCGTCTCTGCCCATGTGGGAAGACTCAGAGCCTTTATGGGAGTTTCCATCCCAGTGGTCTGTCTCATTTTGTGGAGGAATTTGGGAATTTAGCAACAGAGCACAGAGGCTGCTGTTTGAGTTATGTTCACAGCACTTCACAGACTGGCATCAGTGGTGATGGATCCCTGTCCTGTTTCTGTTGCAGCAGCCGCCTCTCTACCCACAGATATCTCAAGTTTTATGTACGTATAGTTCGAGGACTTGCAAAAGCAGATGGTCTGTGGCTTCTATACTGACCCCCACCCTCCTCTCCATCTGAAAGAAGCTGCGATTCTCATGATAATGAGTGTAGAGTACAGTTGCCCAGGTGCTAGCCCTCCTATCTGTGACAGGATATGGAGAGTATGGTCACAGCCTTTATGGATATCATTCAGGGGGGAAGTAGACACATTGTATGATGTACAATTTAAACCACATTTCCTGCTGGGCCCGTAATGAGAATAAATAGCCTGCCTCCGCATGTTTTGGGTCTTGAGGGAGTGTGGTGTTTTTGAGGGGGGGTGAGGATCTGTAGAACTGAGCTACTTTTGTCCAGTTAGGCAAGTGTGGTAGGATGGGAAATGAGCATCCTTTTTTATTGTCCTCCCACTCTCTGGGCAGCATCCGCTAAATTCCTCTGCAATTCATCAGGACGGGAGGCACTATTAACAGGCCATAGACAACATTCCTGACGCATCTGTGCTGCGGTGCCACAAATTAATTGCTCAACACCGCCTGCAGCCTCACATGCTTTTAATCATTCATATATAATAACTTTGTGGTTGGGGTCAATGTGTCAAAACTTGAGCTTAAAGACGCTCGTGATCAACTGCAGACCTCTCGAGGGGCTCAGCAGATTTCACCCCACTGACTCTGAGTGCATTACAGTGCATCCCCTTTAAACTGATATCAGCAGGTTTTATCTGGGCTTTAAATTAGAGGCAGCCCTCACAGTCCTCAGCAAAATATCATTTCTGGCAGTTCTGTTTTCATCAATGGACCGTCTGAACTAAGATGGAAAGTACGAAAGATTCTTGGCACCATCGAGTCTGCATCTACAGATCTTATGCACCAACTGAAACGTAAAGTCTGGATTGGATTTTGTGCATCATTTCCAATCAGCGTCTCCTTCACAGAGCTGATAAATTCATTCAGTTAGCTTAACTTGGCACACGTTGCTGTAAAACCCTCAACCTTTTTGTTGCCACATCATTATTAGGCAGAAGAGCGGAATTAGGCTTTCAAAACAAATAAGATTTGTGAAGTTTGACTATATGATTCATTTTAAATTAAAACCAGACACAACATATGCACATATGCTAGAGTGAGACTCGGAGAGTGCAGACTGTGATTGCCGGATCTGGATCGGCTGCACACATTACAGAAGAGCCAATGTATTCTTATGGCAAAAAAAAAAAAATTGTGTCCCTGCATCAGTTACTGACAGCACTGACACAAAAAGAAGAGGACTCTCTGTTCTCCTGCAGATATTGTCTTACTCCAACCACCAGCTTAAAAACATCTCCAGTCTGTGACTCTTCTCTTTGAGGAAACTTATACTGACATTGCTTTTTGCTTACATCTGTGCCGTTGTCCATCACAAAATGCTCCTGAGCTTAAAGTTTGCCTCTGCTGAGCTAAACAGTGCCTACTGTTTCTTCTTGCAACGTTTTAGAGTAGGGTTACCCATGATTCTTATCAGCCACCCCTGACCTTCTGATTCTACAGAAGAGAAACAATGCCCTCTCTCAGATGTGTATCGACAGGGGAGGTTTGTACTCGCTGTCTTTACTTTCTTGGCCTTCATAAGGAGAACATGCAACTGAAGCTGGAACTGGCTGAGAAAAACAAAACCTCTCTCTCTCTATAGAACAATCCCATTAAATGATAGTTCAGTGGAATATGACTGAATATCTGGCACGCATTTTTTGCTATCCTTAATTTTACATGTTAGGACAAAATTTAAATAAATTGCTCTAAAGTTCACTTCACTATACAGAGGTTGGTGCTTTTTAATACTAGTTGTTGTTGATAGAAGTATCTTGAATGTAATTGCTCACATTTCAGAGGAGGAGTATTCTGGCGCCCTCATCCTTGTCCCGTCTTTCAGTCTGCAGCAAAATTCTTCATCAATTTGCACGCCAGGGTACGGGGACGCACCTGGTAGAGGAAAAAGGGTGGAAGTTTATCACAAAGTTGTCTCATTAATGGTGTGTGTGTCGTACATGGAAAAGGTGACGGTTCCTGAGTAAACACGAATGAGCGAATGCAAACTCCACACATTAAAGATTTGAACGAAGAGCCTTCTTGCTGTGAGACTGCTAACCACTGCACCACCATGCCATGAGGTACTGTATGAAGTAAGTATAATGAACATGCGACTTTAAAACTTGTCACTTCCTGTAGTTTAGTTTTACTAGTTTATTCTAATAGGCTCCAAAAAAATGTCAAATGGTGCCATTATTTATAAAGCTGGGTTCATATAATTTTTAAAACTGTTTACACAAATTGTACAAACAGTTTTTTCAGAATGATTAAAGCTAAAAAATGAAGGAGACTGTGGATAATTTGATGATGACATTAGGTGATAATACGTTGGAATACAAAGTCAGGAAGAGAAATAAGAGAAGCCGAGTTTGTTAGACGAAACATCAACACCATGTTATTACTGAGTTTCTCTGAGCGAATCGACAAACAGGAAACACTACATTACACACAATTTACATCTGGAATGTGAATACTGACACATTCAACTCAACATGCCCCAACCCAACACCCTTTGAAAAAATCTGTAGCATGAGTGATTTTTGGTTCACTCATGATATATAGTAAATGTGTAATATTGTTATAGTTGGACTGCTGCATTGATAATCTGTCAGATGTGTCACTCGTCGACCAAAAGGGAACCACCGCTAATTTTATTTACTTTGAACTAATGTTGGTTCTGAAATTTGAATATTGAGCCAAAACCCACTTCATGCTCGGCTTCCTGTGAAAACACACATTCTCTCACTGAACCAACTCAGATCCAATATCCAGTTTTGTTATTTTTTGGAAAATACATCCAAATTTTATATAATCAACACACTTTTCAAATAATATTTTTGGGTTAATGGTTGAGTTCCCTCACACAATATCAAATATCGTCTTTGTGGTCACGCTAATCCGTCAGGAAACCACAGATTTAGCTTAGTAGTGACCATGAAAAACTCTCAAGAGATAAAGAGAACTAAATAACTAAATCTATGGCAGCGATCTTTTAACTAAAGCTTTGATTTGTGTGCAACCTTCTCACTCTAATGACAAAATACTCCTTATCCAAACACTGTATCACTTATATCAAAATACCCATATGCATTTAGGTTGCAGTCGATGCAGACACTACCACAATGATAGCTGGTGAATGCACAAGCTTTGCTCCAACTGTGGACTCATGATTCTTGATACCCAAGATTTTTAACGTCCTTAAAACTTAGGAAACACCTTACAGCCAACAATAATTTACCTTTTTACTTTATTTATCTTTATACACCTCATTATAGCGTAATTCTAATGTTATCATTTGTGTTTTATGATAAGATCAAATATTCATTACATTTTCTATATCATGATAAGACAAATATTATCTGAAATATGTAGAGATAATAAACTATATGTATTGTGACAGACACCACAGGGACCTGTTTCACTTTTGGCATCAACACTTCGCTAACAAGATTTGGATATTTAAACCCACAGACTGGAACTGACACACTTTTGGTTCACGGAGAGTGATCTGAAAAACAGTCTTTGGTTTTACTTAAAACATCTGACCTCTGAACGGTATCAGATTGCAAAGCTCATTTCTTTGTGATCTTTCTTGGTCATTCTGTATCTTTGTCTCCAGATTTATTTTCTGAGACGCGGCCAACACCACCAGATGTGTAAGTGTTTCTTAAAACAAAAAATGTGGTGAGAGTATGTTGGGAGTGAAGAGGAGGGTGCAGAGAGAGCAAGAAAAATAATGACGTCAGTGTGCTTTACATTTAAAAGCGTATGCGATTTGACACAGCTTTCTCTCAAACGCAGAGGGGAACAGCACTGTATGGCGGTGGTTCAAAAGCAAAAAGTACAGCATAGAAATACATCCAGCTTTGCTCCTCTTATGTCCTCCCTGCTTCCCATGGTGACATTTCAACATACAATATTTCATGTTGAGTCTCGCTTTAGAAACGTGTGGTGAGCGCTGTGCCACGGTGCACAGGCAATCATGGACCCACACACAATGCTGACTTAAAGGCTGCAGTGGTTTCACAGCAGGGGCACACTTTAACAATGACCTGGCTGCTTGGTTACACTGTGTTTGTGTTGCCAGCTGCAAAGAAACGGATTGCTTAAATAGGAGGTGTTTTCTCATTTTAATGTCCCAAGCCTGTACTTAAAAAAACACAGTCAAACTTTACTAATGCATTGTGCACGAGTGGCATGGAAATTATTTCCTCAGGCTGACAATGTAAGGCCCGGGCCCTTTGTCCCAAAGGCACAATTACACAGTGGTGGAAGACAGTTAGAACACAGTGCATCTGGTGAGGCTGTAGAACTGGGGGCACGTAGAGTGCACCCGAGAAACAGCACTCTTCACACTCAGCATCTCAGAGACCAGCGTCCGACTCACCTGCATGAATAAACTACAAAAAAATACTCGCAAATATGAAGTGAATATCCATTAATTTAATTACAATATTTTGCCCAATAAAGTATACTATTATTATATTATATATCCTATGAATTTCAACTTGTGCCTAATATTTGTGAGGTAGTGTTTTGCACTGAGCCATGACACTTACCCAGAGCGAAGATTTCCCACATGAGAACACCAAAGGACCAAACATCACTCTGGGTTGTGTAGATCTTGTCAAAAATGGCCTCTGGTGCCATCCACTTGAGTGGCAGTCGGGCCTGTCAACACAGATTTAGGTAAGAGATCATTTATCTCACCAATATACAGTATCTCAGTTATTAATCATCTCTAATTATAATGTCAAATTGGTTTAAACTATGTGAGCTGGTCCTGCTTTTAATTCAGCTAAATTTAATTTGGTCTTCACGTTCACAAGCTATCACTCAGCTTTGTTTTACATGGAATGTATTGATGAAAACACTTTTTGGGCATTTTCTCTGCTCAGCTGATAACACAGTCTGTGAGATGCAGTGGATTTAAATAAACTTACATCTCCTTTGCGCACGTAATCAGGGTCTTTGTAGATGTCTCTGGCAAGTCCAAAATCACAAATCTTCACAACATTGTTCTCTGAAAGCAGAATGTTTCGTGCAGCCAGATCCCGATGGATGCACTAATGGAAAAAAGGAAGAAACAAAATCTCATTCAATGAAAAGTTTACATAAATGAGTTCAAATCTTCTGCATGGAGGTGACTTCACAAAGGTATGCTGTTTGCTGAAGCATGGCTGCTTGCAGGATCAACACATGGTCAAGTCATCAGGGATATTACAATAGAAGATGATGTGTTCCATATCCAGGCTAAGAAATGGTCTATAAGAGGTTATTTACAACAATGGCTTCATTCTCTAATCAGTCCCATCCGGTCTCCCCGAAATTATGAATGACTTTATTTGAACGAGATCTAGAATTCGAAAACACGGGAAGTCAAAGACCATACAAGTCAGAACAACAAGCAAATCAGTGGTTGGGTTTTTTATGAGACGGAAAATCTATTAAGTTGTTATTTGTTCACAATTCATAAACTTTCAACATGCATGATAACAGTTAAAACATTTGACCACTCATATAGTACACAAGCGGACAGACATCAGTTGTTTAAAAGCAGCAATTAAACATACACTAGCATGGTAATCCTTCACTATGTCAGGTCAAATTTAAATCAAGATAATATTATCTTTAACATTATCTAAATATTATTTACAGATTGCTTTTCATGTAGAGAGAACATGATTTGTGGGAAGAAGATAATACCTTGCGTGAGGCCAAGAACTCCATCCCCTTAGCGACTTGGAAACTGTAGCAAATTAAATCTTCCAATGTCAAGACTCTCTTATATAAATCCTCCGATTCTGCCAGAAAAAAAGAAAAGATCATAAAGCTTTCCCAGGGAAAATAATTTTTCATTGTGGACATATATATGGCCTTTAAATTTAGGAAAATAATCCTACTCATGATTTTAAATGCAATCACAGCGCTCCACACCTGTCACATCAATCAGATAAGATGAAACAGTAAGAACTCTCATGAGAAAACTGCAAATGTAAAGTACCGGACTACAACACGTCAACTTGAAAATTCATCCTGTCACGTACGTGTCTCCTCCTACGCACTGTTTTTAAAACATTCTTTACAGATCTAAGATAAAAATCAAATAATTCCCCCTGTTCTTCAGATGTCAGGTGAAACGTGTGGTTATGGACCCAGTGTGCTGGTCTGGGGTCTGAGAGAGGAACTCACAAGGAGTCCTTCCACAGGCCCACCTGAGTAAACAGCTAATCAAACCAGAAATAACACATGAGGAATGACATGGCCAACGTGCCGGTCCTGAGCTGTTGCGCGAGAGCAGAGAATCGCTCAGGTCAGGACAGGAAATAGACAGACGCCTCCCCAAGCTCAGTGGGGTGACAGTGGCTCCTGCTGTAGTGATTGTGCTGCTGAACAGGAGGAGGAAACGTCCCATCAGAGGGTGGAAAACAATCTGAGGAGGGCTTTCATTCTTTGGCTGGAGGGGTGGAGCAGAGGTGAGGGGAGGGAGACAGCAACTGGGACAAACAGAGGGGGGGAGGGGGTCGAAGGGAAGTAAGACTTGCTTGGCCTTTACCTTCTTCCTCTTCCTCTGAGTCGCAGTAGCTCTTATCTTCGATGAACCCAGAGCTGGCTGAACTTCCGGTGCTGGCCACGCTCTCCAGGCGCCGCTTCATCAGCTCACTCAGCTGGCAGGATGATCCCGAAGACACCACCTTACCGTCCTGACTCTGACCGGCACACATATATCATGGTAAATTAGATAAGTTGAAAGGGTGGTTGTAAAACAGTCCCTCCATGCTGACATTTTACTGAGCCTGTATCTAAAATCAAGAGAAAGTGAGCGTTCTAAATCACCCAGCTCGTGACTCACTTTGTAGACGAGGAAATCTTCTCTCTTGCCTCTCAAATAGTTAGACAAGTTGCCGTACTTGCAGAACTCCACGATCATCATCAGTGGTCCTGTTAAGAAGATACAGTTCTTAGGATTATTCCTGCAATGGTTCACAATAAAGAAAGACAAAAAGAAATTCTAACCCTAAACTGACACCATAATAGGAAACAACAGCAAATTTAATGTCCTTTTCTTATGTCTTCTCTTTCTTTTCTACCATAACATCAATGGCTTCATAGCATCCTCGGTAATAAAGCTCACCTCCAGGCTTCGTGCAGGCTCCCAGCAGGTTGACCACGTTCAGATGATGGCCGATGTGGATCAGGATCTTTAACTCTGACATCAGAGCTTTCCGCTCATTGGACGTCGCTCCTCCTGTTATAATGTAAACACAAGAATTGATCAGTTTGTCATTGAGAATCCTGACAAAAAAAGGATAAACATTTTCACAATGAATAAAATATTCTTTTAAGCTCTTACATTTTGTTTTAAAATTAATCCATCATTCCTCTCATTATTTTCATGACAATTATTAAACATGACAATCTATCCATCAGCTGTTCTGAAGATTAAATATAATTTGCTGTGAAACACCCAGTGGTAACTATTTATTGTTCTTTGTCTTCTGTTTCTGTTGCCAGAGGCAACATTGTTTACGGAAAACTTTAGTAAACAGTGAATTTTCGCTGCTTGAACTAGATGGGGACTCTTGTAAAAACAGAAAAATATGAGCCTCAACCCTAGAATCTAATATCTCCTTCAGTTTGACAATAACACAAGAACACAATAAAATCTGCAGTGAACATCCAGATAACGATATTTGTCATCATGTCTTAGAAGTCACCAGAAGAAATTCTTCACAGTGTTAAAGGTTGGAGAGAAAGCTAGAAAAAAAAGCCTGAACCATGGTAGCTGGATTACTGGGGAATTTAATTTTGAGAGTTCATTAAATATGATGGGAGAATAATAATATTGCTTTAGGCCCAGTGATATGAGGCAGAGTTTGATGGAGGAAATCCTAAAGATAAACGCCGATAAAATTAGAGAAATACAACGCGAAGTGCTCACATTACATACCTGATTTTAAGATGTTTGAACTATAATATAATGGCTTCAACCTGAACTAAGAAAGTCAAGATTTTTTTAGATAGTTTTATGTTGTTCCGACCAATCCGATATTTATGAGCTAGAAGCTAAAGCAGCCAGGGAGTCTCCAGCTAAACCACGGTCAATTTGAGGAGACCTGCTGCTTTCCATTAAGTTTGACCTACGACTAACAACAGCCAAAGTCTGTTACTCTCAGAAATCTTGTGATTTATGCTGAGACAAGATTAATGTCATGACAGTGACCAATACATCGAACTAACAGCCATATATTTCATCTTCACCAATCAGTGTTCGGTATTCAGTTTGTTTCTCTAGTAATACACACAAAAAAAAGAAAAACATTCACATTGCCACCTGGCAGTTGTTTGCCTCCATAAACCAGTCGAGTTCCAGATTACATCCCTGTCTGTCAAGGCTCATATAATATATGTAGGGAGGACTGTGAAGAAATTCAATAAAAGGCATCAAGTCTAAGTTGTCATAATTAGCGTATAAATTGATGAGTTATGGGCTGTTTCCTGTTTTCAATTTGACCCGACTTTCATGGTTTGTTGTGAATATTTGGAAACACGCAAAGACGATTATAAATTCCTCAGTCAAGACTGAAGCTAGGCAATTGTTTCAAAATGTTAGAGCCTCTCAAATGTGTCAAATATAAACATGTTTTTTATTTGCTCATTGTGTTTCCTATCTTACACTTTTGAACTCGTCCTCACCTGCAGATCTTGGACACTGGTTCGAACTGCGAGCTCTGCATATACTCAATCTCTTCATCAAGAACAGGGTTAGAGGTTGCACCCTTTACCTCTAACTGCACTTTGCAAAGAACACTCATTGCACAATTTACTTTGACCTAATACACCATACAAACATTAATTGCAGGCACATGTGGTGCAGCAGCTTATGAGTCTGTAACTTGCACGAGAAATACACCCCTACAGTAAATGATGTGACATTACTGCTGGCCTGTCTGTCGTGTGATGAAACAAAGAGGGTTAGGGGTTAGACAAACTAACGTTTTATCTAAGTATTAAAGTTTACTATTGGTTTCCAACAACATGTTTGACATCTTACCTTTCAGCATTTTGACAGCAACAGTCTTGCAGGTCGAGAGCTTATCGATGCCGAAGGCAGAAGCCTCCACCACTTTCCCAAAAGCTCCATGGCCGAGAGTTTTGCCTAGTGAAGGAAGAAAAGTATTTGATATGTGGGTTGTCATTAGAGCTTCCTGTCCCTAGGTAGAAAAATCAAACTGGACTCTTTGTCTGTTGGGTTATGGGTCTGTAATTAAAACAACATGCTGGGGCTGTGATCACCAGGCAGTTTTTCTGGAGAATTTATGGTTCACTTACGACTGGATGACAGCGCAGGTCACTGATAAGTAATGACCCTACACAGCAGCTGCAGAGACGGGTGACACCTATTCCATGTACCTTCATGTGGCTATTTATGTCCTCACCATCAAACATTTTAAAGATGAACTTTTAACCTTATCATTACTTTTTTATCTTACTGTCTTTCTACTACTCTTTGCTCTTTTTTTCCAGATTCATATGTTTCTGGTAATTTGCGCTATTTAAATATGTTCAAACAAGAACTATGAAACACATTGATACAACTGGAACTTAGTTTAGAGTAACTTTAATGCAAAATCTACATTTACCAAGAAAGCTGAGTACATTTTTTGCATGCACACAACATTGTGAGATCATTTCTCAGCATGACTCTCGATTTATAAAAAAAAAATTACTTCAATAAGTACATCCATAAAGTGAACGTTTTCATCGATAAGACAAATGCATGAGGAAATAAATAAAAAGCTAACCTAGGCGAAGACGGTCACGGGGAAACTCCCATTTGTTGCTGTCATACTGGAGAAGATCGCTCTGCTCCTCGAGTGGACACTCATCAGGGTCAATGATGATCGATGGACCCATCTTGTAGTGAGCTGGTTGCTGAAGGTGTGAGAGGAAATTTCATGTTAAAGTTTTTGACAATTAAAAAAAACAAGCAACAACTCAGAGTTTCTCATTTTAAATTCAGTACATATTGTAAACATTGGAATTTTAGCTCTACACACACACTTGGTAACAACCTCACACAGACTGCACAGACATTCGTGTTTGTACGTGACAACAATGAGGCCACAAAAAAATGATTCCTCACTCTTTTTGTGGCACAAGCACATCGTGTTCTCCTTAGAGGTTACACGCTACATACAAGCACTTCCCAGTTGTCAGGAAATCATAAACACTTTGTAAATTTGTCCTTTCATTAAACTGTATTTCACAAGAAACACTGAGTCAGTTGCTTGCATAAAGTCCCTGGAGATGAATTATTTGGCATCAAGTAAAAGAAAAAAAGATGATGTAAGGCCTTACCTTCCTTAGCTTGCGGATGAAGAGGATAAGCATGAGCCAGAGGAAGGTGGCTGCGGCTCCCGTACACACTAGAATTATTACCTCAACATTTGGCTTCCCTTCATCCCCTGGAAAGAGAAGAACTGTCGTCAACTATCAGATCTTTTTGGAAAGAAAAAACATGGCATACTATTATATCAACAATGGTTTGTGCTGTTTTGTGATCAAAGGAAAACAGTCCGTCACAACATTACAAATTGAGAGCCTGGTTATTCATGGAAGATGCCAAGACTTTTATTCCACATCATTCTTTGGTTTATTTGTCTCTTCATAAATTTTCTCTGAGAGAGTGTATACAAGATGGAAGTGGAAACACACTCCATTGTTTATTTCTGGTTTGTTTGGGACATGAATGCTACACTTTTTTCCTATAGAGTTTTCTTCCCAACACAATTTTTCCAGCCATCCATGTTGACGATCTGAAAGCTCATATCCATTGAATCTCCACAAAAGTTTTTTCCAGCTCTTATTTCATGCAAGCCATAATAAAACAGGCGAAGCGGAACATGCATACAGCTTGTTGTTGGAATATGCTTGTGGTGAGACTGGAATGATTTCAATAAACATCTAGACAAGAGATCAGCTCAATAAACATCTGCACAAAAGTGCATAGACCTGCACAAAACTGATATATCACCTACATTCAGCTTCACATGTCGACATGTAGTTCATTTAACATGTCGAAGATAGACAGGCGCGCACACACACACACACACACACTTTAAGAGGCCGGCCTTCTGCACCATTTATCTCCTGTGTGTTTCCAGTCCCTTAGCTATTGTAGCAGTCAATCTCTTTGCACTCATTAGTGGACCTCTTAACACTTCACAGAGGTCATGTCCTCGAGGCAAGGACCCACAGCCAGAGCCTTGATCATAAAACCCAGGAAGGAATTCACTTGGCATTCCTGGCAGCAACACATTTTCTGTCAGGGAACGTTCTTCAAATTGAAGTCAACCCTGAGCTATTTGTCGATGTGAGAAGATGTTTTGATTGGACATGAGCACCCACCGCTTCACACTGAGAAGCCAATCTTGTAACTGCAGCAGGTTGGAGTGTTAATCTTTTTGTAGGTGGGGTAGTTAATATCAGAGGGTGACTTACCGAGCACGGTAACGACTGCACTTGTTTTCACAACACCCCTGTCATTACTGGCTACACACTCGTACAGACCCTCATCATCTTTCTTCACCCTTTCGATGGTCAGGACCCCGTCTTCCCCTAGTGTTATACCTGCAACACACAACCTCTCAGTCAACTGGTGCAGACTACTGTAGTGAGCAATCAGGTGAAACATTATTTTATTTAGACACTTGAGCTTGTTAAAGTTGAGAATGAGAGTGAACCTACTTTGTGTTGTGTGTAAAATAGCATAGTGCACTTTTTATATCTCTACTCAGGATGTTTTTTCTATGAATACAACTTAAAACACCGTTAGCCAACATTAATGTTTTCCATGTGCATTGTCTTGCGCACCTAAATGTAAATATGGTTACATTAATGTAACCTATACTTATCAACAGATATAATGTACACAATTTATCATACTTAAAGTAATAGTAAGTTCTAAAGTAAGTTTGTGTGAGTCACTTTGCATTGATAGAAACTTTCAGCTTCAGAAGAGACATCACTAGTTTTAATGTTGTGGCTGATATGTAAATCAGGTATGTATGTTGTTCATTTCCTTTCATTTTCCTTCCTTTGCTACATCAGGATTATATGATGACAGCAGCACAATGAACAGAACTAATCTCACGTTACCTGGGCTTTCTTCCACTTGAACACCATTTTTGTACCACATGATGTAGGGTTGAGGAACTCCCAAAGCGAAGCAAGCCAGCATCAGGGTGCTGCTACTGTTCACATCCTGATTCGTCAGATTTTGACTCAGCCAGGGGCTTTTTCTCGCTGCACAGAAAAAATTTAAATTGGAGATGCTGTTGAATTTTTACTGTCTAGCTTTGACAATGGCTCATCAAGTAGTCAGTGGCATTCCCAGTTTTACCACAATGATTATTTAATCTCTTTACCATTAGCTTATTATTGATGATAGATGGAATGGTGTTGCAGTTAATTAACTGTAGAAATACAATCAGCTTCATTCACATTCTTCTCTGACTTACCTTCCACAATAAGTGCAGCTTTCTTTAGATCAACCCTCTGGTGCAGCTTGTATGCCTGGCACTTGTACCCTGCAGAGCTGTTTTTGGACACATTATGCAGATGGAGAGAAAGGGAAATGGAGTAGCGGCTGAGCTGAAGACTGGATACATTGGAAGTGACTGTTTTATTCGTGGAGTCCAACCACCGCAGATGTGTGTAAAGGTAGCGAGCTGCCCGACAGGTCAGAGTGACGTCATCGCCTTCGATGGCTTTCCGAGGCTCAGTGCTAATTTCCTCAGAGTTATCTAGTGAGACATGTAGAGAATTAGGATTACAATGTTGTTTACTCTTGTACTTGTCAATTAGTGCAATGATCTAATGGGGTCAATGAGAGTGACTAATTATGAATAATTGCATTTTCTGGGAATATGTGGAATATGTTTTGTGCAGCACATCTTCTGCTGGCAGGAAATCCTATTTTTGAATATAGTTTTGGACACAAGGCCAGGAATGTCAAATTTGCAGTTATTTCCTGTGTCATCACTGTTAATTGGAAGCACGTTGCCGGTCGACAGCGTCGCTGATGGTGCTCCTGCACTCATCCAATTGGAGAGAGGTTGAGTCTGGGCCCCAGGGGAACCAGACTGTGCTTGTTTATTCAGATTGCTGGAAAGCATTCTGTGTTCAGTAAGAGAAGACAGCTGTTATTACAATTCTGTCCTCTCTTTTTTCTGCTGTATTCTATGATTATCAGTTTTCATCACTTCTGGAAGAGAAACGACTCTTCTTGGGAATTCTATCTCACTTGGCGATAAACCTCTGGTACCTGGTATCTCCTCAGATATACTTTCACCTACATCCACCTGTCCAAAATCAATACTCCTCACTCCCCTTAATATATGATTCATTCTGTTGCAAAGTGAACAGTGCAAAGTTACCTTCTTGCATGCAGTGACACCTCATCCCCAATCTTATTACATAACTGTCTTAATGGATATAGATTTTTGGGAACATTTGGCAAAGCACAGATGCACATAAAAAGTAGAATTTCCAAGCAGAAGTCTCAGAGAGAAAGAGGAATGACCCTGCAGCAGGAATGCAGTTATTCATAGCTGTTTTTAAACATGTGTCGTTGTAGCACTCCATATGGCTCAGAACATGTTTGCCTCTCTTCCGCCCTGAAGCTATTCAGCTACAGTGGAAGATGGTTTCAATTAATGCCCCCCTCTGGTCTCTTTATTGCACAATACAATCTGCACATTCCTTCCCTGCACTTGCAATTCATTACAGCGTGCACTGTTTAGGTAGATCATCTGAAAGAATGCAGTGCACTGTATATTGCGGTTTGCAATTACAATAAAACTCAGTTAAGTATCTCTGCATGCACTTTCAACTGCAAAAATTTAAATGTTGAGGCTGCTGCTGTCATGTTATGGTGACCCACTTACCATACACATAAAAGGGGGTCGTGTGGGTGCTGAACTCATCCTCATTCTGGGCCACACAGGAGTACTTTCCCGACACCCTTGCCTCTCCAATCACCAGCGTACCCACAGTCTATGGAAATTATTACGGATTATTCAAAAGAAATGTACATATTATGACAAATAATATGACAAAACAAATGCTCATATCACAGTTTTCTCAAATGTGACTTAACTTAATTATCCTCGGGTTGTCAGTTCCTATCAGAGTAGTGAGCTGCTGTTAATGACGGCGAGTAAGAGTCTGCACTGAGCCTGGTCTGTTTTTTACCCTCCAGTGCATCACATTAATGAAAGGGTACATCTGGAGTTTTAAAACCCACTAAGTCTCCCTCAGACCTACACTATAGATCTAGTGCCTCGGCTGTATGTCCATTTCCTGGAAAGCACTTCTAATGCCACACTCAATTTTCTCATCATGCTAGTACAACATTTTAATGGCTTAAATAGATGAAATAATAAGTAAAACTTGGGTGAGGGCCAGACTGCATGGGGCTCTGTTTAGTGTTCGTACTGACATCTGTTTTTTGGGGGGGTGGTGAGCTACATCAAAGAGAATGAATGATGTGGGTGTATTGTCTGGTTGTATGCAAGCCAAAACTTCCTGGATTTGTATGTTGGGACCATTGTGTTGACTCCAATACACAGACGTAGCCATGAAATAGCTTCAGCGTCCATGTATTTACGATGGTTAGAACAAAAACAAGTAGTAAAAACATGAGTTTTAAAAGGTTATATCATATTGTCCAAATCATGCTGTTATGACATTTGTCAAAACATTGACAGAGTGGTCTTATGGTATTATGTTTCTGGTATTACTCACCACAATGTAACCCTAGCTCATAAACAGCCACTTAAATGGTTGCACACGGTCTCTGAGAGGTGACCTGACCAGACGCACTGTGACCTCTGTGCCCATGTCTTCCCCCTGTGTTTTCCTTAGATTATGACCCGGGCTGGTCTCCCTCTCTACCTGGTCTACTGGGGAGCCACTCAGAGGCCCAGCACTGGCTACGTTCTAATTCACAGGCCAACACGATTTATGTGATGTGACAGAGAGGAATTCACCTCCAACAAATCCCTATTCTTCTAAACTTCTGCTTGTTATCATTGACCCTTAGTCCTGACCCACATAAAGCAACAGCGTTTGGCCACAGGTACTTGAAAATAAGTGCTGCCTCCCTGCTTACTTCAGAGACATATTAGAACTGATGCCAATTAACAATTAATTGCAAAGCAAATAGTTGTTAAATGCATGCATAGCATGTTCTACGCTTGCACTGTATTATGTGTTTGCTGCCCTTTTAGAAAAAATGACCGACTGGTGATGCCTCCATGCTGTACACAAATGTAAATTTACTTTATGACTCTCTCTCTATGTAATCCCTATATGCACATGTAATATTTGCTGAGATGACTCATCTTCACTTAAAATGGCACAACACAGATTCTAGACAGGTTTATTCCCATCCTTCACCATCCACATGCATGCTTTAAGCCACATAGCCTCTGAACTATTTATAGAGCTCAACTCTAGAGTCAACAGAAAAGATTAACTGATGTCACAACAAAACAATGTATCGGTGGCCAAGAACGAAGCTGCAGCTGTATAATCTACAAGTGTTCTTCGTGTACTTCACTTCAGTAGGAGGAAATGAACTGTGTCTGTCAGTTATGAGCGAGCAGAAGCGGCTCAGTAAGAGATCTCGCTTATAGACAGGCATTTACCTCTTTAAATTATGTTGCACATGTATAACATTAATCAATATATCATCTTCCTTTCAAGATGCACTGCATCATTTACATAATTTCCTGTATTTTCCTGGCTGGTTTTTCCAAAAATTAATCAAGTCTTATTTAATGTGCGGCAGTGAAAGACAAAACTGATTTCTTCTAAGCCTCTACGGAGGGCCTTTTCATGGGGTTTGGTCAAAGTTACATAAGTCAAAACTAATGCAGACAAAACAAATCATTTTCAGTGAAGGGAAGTACAGCATCACTGCCAGTAGGAGGAAGATTGTGAGGATTTATGGATATCAGATGTTGAATCAGACTTTCAAGCTCTGGTCTTGGGAGAAATCGCTTGAATCTGATATTGCACTCGGACATTTTGTGGATCACTACACAGCTTCATCACATCATCTTGATTGTTCACAAGTAAATAGTTTTGATCTGCTCACTGCTATTTGTAAACCACATTCACAGTGAGCAAAGTATCCTATAAGTGTATTCACCATTTAAACAGTGAGTGGAAACAATACACAGTAAGTCAAACCACTTACCTTGTTTTTTCCATAAACCAGTTCTGACTTGGAGCTTATACTCTTAATCCAGTTGTGCGAGTAGTTTGCCTTGTCATCAGTGCTGACTGGGATTGGTTCAGTGTTAAAAATGCAACTGCAAGACAGAAAACATACAATACTTTTCATTTAGTTTTATATGTAAAACATATACACAAGTACAAGTGTTAGACTATGAACAATGCAATATAAAACTGACTTTCATGTTGTTTTACTGTAGGTGGGAACCGTGGTGTAACACTAGGAGAGAAAGAGATTGATTTGGGAAGAGTCCAGGTCTAGATCAGTTCGTCTGGGTTAAAAAACCTAAAGAAAGGATTTGACTTCCCCACCCCCGAACCCTGCGGTGGGGAACAATCAGTCTGATGAGAGGAGAGGCAGAGAAGGAAACAGCAACAGCGACAGGAAGGGTTGTGCTATGCGTCACCTCGTACAGGAACACCCCCCTCAACATTCTGGCCAGAGGAGATAAGGTTGATCGTAAGACCTTGGTGATCAACAAGGGAGAACTGATAACTTCTTAACCTGGTGGTAAAGACAACCCCATACTTCTGCTTCCTACACTATCAGCCTTATGCCACATCCAACACTGTGAGCTTCCTTCACCTCACAAAACCCAAAGATAAAGATAAGATATGATCTTGAAGGGCGACATGTTGGATTTACAGGGACTAGTACTTTGGCAGGTCAGGGCTGTATAAAATAAACATTTAGCAAAATTGGCCTCCCACCAGGCTGTAGGTGTTCCTCTGTCTCATTAACTGGCTGCCACTGCCCAGCCACTGTTCCTAGTGCCAGTCCTGATTATCTTTAGGCCGACAGGAAGAGTCGCTTTGACCCAACTAACACTCTGCTATTATTTATCAGAAATCTGCCAAGTACAAGAGGGTTTTTGAGATTATCTGTTTAATCAAATAATGGAGGCATTGGTGGTTCAACACCGTGTAAACATAATTTAGTCTCTTTCAGTCCACAGTGTTGTTTTTGTTAATGGCTTTGAAGCATGATAACACAAGGGTAATGGCCCATTGTTTCCGTCATCCTACAACTTGCAGGTTTCCCTCTGTCAATGACGAATCAGGATCTCAGGGGATCTCAAGAATGTTCATCTTGTTTGTGGGTTCACCACCGTGCATGGTCACTCAGTGTTGTAAGGCTCTGTAGCAGCTCAGGGAATCTGAGATTAATATATTTCCCCCATGTTTCCACTTCAGCCCACAGAACCACTGACCACAGACGAGAGGGCAGCTCTCAGGGGCTGCGTTTCTTTGATTAATTTGTCATATTCTGGGCTCAAGTCAATTCAGTCAATCTTGATCCGCTTTATAGTGGGATCCCTGGGCTGGAACGGTGGCTCTGGATGGTGCACTTACTACATCTGCTGTTAAGTCTGTGATGCTTGGTTGTCTGTGTTTTTGTAAATACTACTCCAGTACTGTGGTTGTAAGTTTTTGCCCTCCAACATGGATATGGGATTTGTGCAAAAACATTATATTTGCACTAAAACACAGAACTTCATATTTACAACAGTAGTTACACTTGCGTTGTTTACTGTTTCTGTTTAGCCTGACATATACATGAACAAGCATATTTCCAATAAGCAGTTGACTTCAGGAGTAAAGTGCAACCTACATCAAATCTATTTAGTGGCATATAATTGATCTGAGTGTACTGTCAGTTGGGTATTAATGACTAATATGTGGGTGCTACATGTTAAAAATGTTCACGCCTGACAGAAATTTAGGACATAGATTCCACAAAACAAAGTTTTCTGTCTATACATTTTTTTTACGATGGCATTGTGTTTAAAATTAGGAACGTTTAGCCTCTATGTTTTAAATTGTTTATGACTGAGGAAAGTTAACAGAACATGACTGCATTAAATCTAGAGTAAGCATTTCTCTGCTTGGAACATAGCAAAATGGTGACTCACTCCGTAAGAGTAGCATCCAAGAGACATGGCTGCCACAGCCATCTGATGGTTGGCAGGGGGAACCCACTAGCGGTGCAGGGTATCTGATGCTGTTTGCCAACCATGTAAGGCTGCAAGTCCACGGTGGCAAGTTCCGCCTCTAAAATTGTTGGATTCACTGTGAGAGAGAAGTGCGCACACACACACACACATACACGGACAAACAGGGAGAGAGAGAGGAAGAGAGATAGAGAGCAGGTTAGATCATCCATCTGCCATCCCAACCCAACCCAGCCCACTGCGGAATCTTATAATGTCTTTATAATGAGGAATGAAAGTCATGATGGATAACCATGAAAAGGTGCCACTGACACCAGTTGTCCTTTAGAAAGTGTGTACGAGAAGAATGACAGGATGATTGGATAGCCCGGGGCTGTAGGTCAAAGCACGACCGCACCGTGGCCCGTGCCCAGGTCAGAGAATCAACCATGTGCACCGTAATTAGTAACAGACAAAGATCCTTGTGCCACCTCTGGAGGTAGCCCACATCACACAGCCATTGTCACTGTTCTGAACAGCTAAAACCGCCAATCTACACTCAGTGACATTGCTTGACAGACCACAAAAATCTGCATCTGATCACACACACCCACACGTCATCACGTTGAACGCAGTCATGATCTGTAGCACTGTGACAGCTCTAAACAACTGATGAACAAAGTTTAAAATAGCTCCCTAATTGATACCAGCAAAGTCTATTCACTTTGTTTGTGTCTGTAAGTTTTTAATTTTTTTAATTCCAACAAATCAAGCCAAAAGGAGGCAGTTTTTTTTACTTTTTGGCACGCTATCGGGATAGCTTGACAACGTTTTAAGAATGCAATGAAAATAACTCGGCCCCCCTGGATAAGCTTCAAGTAACTGATATACACTGTTCTCATGCTAAATCATTTATAACCTTGTGTTAATAGTTACAAGCACTCTTTGCAAAGTCATCATTTAATTACATGCTCAGTCCTTGTTTTGTAATACACGTACTATTCAGAACATTGCTTATATGAGCTGCACACTGTATATTCACATAGTGAGGATGCAAATAAATGTTGGAGACTGGGGAGGTCTGAACGGCTGGAGTCTAAAAGCAGAAAAGAGCCCAGGCCATTTACACACAGCGAAAAGCCCCTTCAAAAGAGCCCCAATAATCAACAACAGCTGCCCCGGCTACGTCAATCCAGCCCTGGAATCAACAAGCCCTCAAATTCCTCTCATACTGGAGCTGCTACCTGCCGTCCAGTGAACTGCACTGAAAGCAGCCACAGCGCCAGGGAATCCACAGTCCAAAGCTGAGGCATTGCTTAATTTCCTAAGGATCCAGAGTCATTATCAGGTTTATGGCGACAGCTTACCTTCGACTAACAGAGTGTAGCTCAGATTCTTGTACAAGCCCTTTGATTGGCTGCCAAGGCTTATGGTGAAGACCCCAGCATGTTTCTGCTGCACATCCGTGATGATCAAGCTGAAGCCAGACATCTTGTAACAGGTGGAATTCTTCATGATAAGGACCCCATCCTTATACCTGAAAATTAGAACCATAGAAAGTTATTTTTATTGTGCATGAACAATTAATATTATTTTTATTTATTAGGCACTGCATAATGCTTATTAAGAAAAGGCTGGAAATGAGCTGCAGATTTCCTATAAAACTAGAATAAAATAATGTATACAAATTGTGTATGGATAAAAACAAGACACATTGAGCATATGGGCAAACAGGGCAACACAAATATGGTTAGTAAAAACACTTCATATGTAGAACAATGGAAAAGCACAAGTCACATAAACACCATGAGAGACTATAATGTCAGAGATGAGGTTGAATTACTACACATTATTGCAAGTTTGTTTTGCTTGAAGCAATTTCTCAAGTTAATACTGTACCCAAAAGTTATTAGTACTTTGTCTAAGTAAGACAGATCCTGACACTTTTAGAATTCAGCATTATAAATGGACTCAGTGTGGGAGGTGTAAGCTCATATATAACCTTAAAGATGAGGCAAGCATCAACAAAATGTTAACACCTATCAAACTTAAATACATTTTAATTTCTTATTGTATTATGATGATAGCTGTTGGCCAGAGAGTTAAATGTTTGTAGGGACAATGTTATATACATCATGTATAAACAGGTTGGATTCCTCAAGTATGGTCTGATATGACTTAAGTTAATCAGTTTTAAAAATGGGACTGCCACTTTTTCATGTTTTTCGAATGACAGATTGAATCTGATATAATTCAAACATATCTAAAATCAGACATCCCCTCGCCATCTTTTTAAAGTGTTTCAAAGTGGAGGTGCTGCCTACTATTACTATTACTCACCATGCTATGAGGTCTGATCGGGGCAGGGCGTTGACCTTGGGTTCAAACACATGCCTCTTTTTACCTTCTTTGAGGGTCACTGTACTCTGCCGCTCGTGCCTGTAGGAGACGTTGAGGAACGGATGCTCTGCAACAAAGAAAACCAGAGTGATATTTCATTTAATATTCAAATATTGCATTTGTCTGGTCATTTTGATGTATCTTAATCATTGATACCCATTTTTGAATACATTATCAGATTTTTAATCCATGCAAAGTATGCTTACCATAGATGATGACTTTTGCTGTGGCATTCTGGTGTATGGTGTGGTCAAGCACAGCTTTGCAGCGGTACGTTCCTTTATCCTCCATGGTAACGTTTGGCAACACTAAAGCACCGCTCATCACAAGGGCTGAGGCAATGTTGACATCGGATTTATTCGTATAATGGCGATTTTCCTGAAAACAAAGCAAGCACCATTAACTCCATTGCTACAGTCTGTGATGGTTCTCTTTTAAACAGTATTAACAGTAAATCCTGAACTTACTCTCATCTTTGGAAAATCCCACATAAAGCTGAGTCTTCCATTAAAGGTGGTCTCACCCGTGCAGTTGAGGATGAGGGTGTCTCCAACCAACAGTTTGACACGCTCTGGGTTGATTTTTACATTTTTAAGAACGGTAGCTGAAAAAAGACAAGAGAAGAGTGTGAAACATAAAAGGGTTTTCATCAGCAATGGTCTTAATTTTTCACTGAGCAGGTGTAAACAGAAAGACAAAACTCACTCAGTCTTTTGGGGTAGTATGGTGATTGGAACTCACTACCGTTAACCACGGTGTAACAGGTGAGGAAGTCGTACGTAGTGAGGGGACCGTAGGGAATCTTGAATCCCACCTTTGGATCCCAAACCTTCTTCTTAACAATGTCCTCTGATAATAGTGGGAACTGCAATCAAGACAAGAGAGCAAAGATGTTGTCAGAACCCACAGATATTTGGTGACCCTCGTGATATTCACTGAGGCATACAGAGCGAAATGTAATGCACTCAACTTGATTTAACATGTAATTCATGCTCTGCTGGGCTCAGCTGAGCACAGACATCTGCGAGAGTGGAGGTCTAATTAGTTTTCATTGTTTTGTGGAGTGTAACCTCTGCAATCAAGGATGCAATGGAGCACAAAACATTGCAGACTCGGAAGAGGATGTACGTGCCTTCTGCTTTTTGTTCTTATGCCAGAAGTCGGACTGTAAGAGGTAAGGGAAGGGAAGGAAGGATAGGGAGCAGGAAGTAGGAGTGTCATCGAGTCTCGAATGGCAGGAAGGTCACTCAACCACTATCTGTTCCATCTGAGTGAGATGTGTTCGTCCACATTAGTCAATGTGACACATATGAAAGAAGGTACTTTTGTCATGGCAACTTTTTCAACATGCCTGTTGCTTTGATTGAACACAATCAGGCTCTTACAGTCTGCAGAAGTGTCATGCAGTTGCTAAGGGAACTCTTCTGCCGACATCTCCCACTTAAATCTGGGATCAAATGTACTAATCCTCATAATTTACCTGTTGTTTCCTGTGACTTGACACAGTCTGTACTGTTTTGCTTCTGCATTTCCTGATGTTTGTAAGAGAAGAGTGACTAAATTTAGTCTAGAGTCTATTCTGAGAAAAACACTCTTGGAACACCTTCCTGCTCTTACAGGAAGTAGACAGGATGACTCCCTTTGCCGCCCCTGAGCTTCCCTCAGACGAGCCAGTGTCCCCGGTGATTTAATACACAAAGGGTGTGTGAACCAGTGAGACGCCTTATGCACAGAGTGGAAACACTTTTTTTGGAAGAAAACAAGAAAGGATAACCTAATAATCTTATGGAGCAATCCTGATCTTAGAAGCCTAAGATAACCTTGAGGTCCAGTTTTACTTTATTAGAAAAAATAAACATTAGCTTAAGAAATACAATGTAGAAAACATTTAGCTGTTTATCTAATTTATGAACTCTCTCTGCAGTTTCAGCAACTCCCACAGAGTGAGACATCTTAAGATGTTTTAAGACATCCACTGAACTCCGGACATTTTCCCGAAATTCTTCGGAGGGGCCGTATATGAGAATGAAGATCTTCGAGTCTGTTGCCTCTGACATTTTTCAGAACTGCCAGCCCCCAAGTAAAATGTCCACAAAAAGTCAGGGTGAGCCCATGTGAGAATATATACAGCAGGAAAATCCACAGCGAGGGTGGGGGCATGTTGATGATGTCTCTAACATGCAATGGACTAATACAAAAATCTCAGGATGAAGAAGAGCAGCCAACCTCGTAGAGTACGTTGAGGAAGATGTAATCTTGGAAAGGCTACAGGAATTGTTTGACATTTTTGAACTATGGCTTTCAGTATTTGGAACAAGAACCTAACAGCAAATCAAATGCAAAAAATACAACACTGGGCTCAAGCCTAACACATATAGTAAAATACAACATTTGTGCAGAAGGTGTGTAATGATTGTGAGGTCTTACCCCTCTAAGTGTTACTACAGCATCAGGAGAGGACGTCCTGCATGGCACAGTGAGGCTCTTCTCATGCCTGTAGACTGGCAGCATGGTAGGTGTCTGATGAATTTCCACAAAAGGTTGCTTGGAATCTGAGAAACAAACAAAAAAAAATCAGTAAGATCTAAAATACAGGTCAAACAGAAATTGCATTTCAAAGCAGATGTATATTTTGTCTCTTAGGATAACAAGCGCTGTTACGGGAGAGCAAAAAAAACACCCAATGCCAGAGCAGTGCAACTGAATCAGGGCAATGTCAGGACATCTAACACAGAGATCATATAAAGAAATCACTTAATTCAGCCTGATAAGGGAGCAGGGCACAGATAGAGCAATCAAACTATAGCAATGACTTCCTACTGGGCAGCCAGCCATCGCAAAATGGCTGTGGGAACTTCTCAGCTACACAAATAGTCTGCGATTGGTGTGAGGTCAAGCAGTAATGGTGTGATAAAAGAACTATTATTTGAAAAGAAAGCATGATCTAATAAACAGCTGAGGGGCTTTGAAAAGTAAGTGTTAGACTAAACACAGGCACAGCAGGCTGCGTGATAGTCAGGCAAAGTGGGAACCACGTTCACAGAGCAGCCAGAATTACTTTGGTCCTCATTGTCTACAACTATTTCACAACCTTTGGATATTCCATGATTGTATTCTCATCTTAACTGAAGCTGACCTGGTATCCCTATGTTGCCTTGCACCATCTCCATTTGTACGTGAATGGTTCTCAGTAGAGCTCATACCTTTGCCCCCAAAATCTGCAAATTCATGATTTTTATAACAAGATCCATAAACTATTTCCTGAAAAATTGAATAACTTCTAACCGTGGTTATAATAGTGCAACTGTAAACGGTGCCGTCTGACGTTTTTAGGGGAGACTTAGGAAAACAGTAGCAGGAGCAGGAAATCGCAGTCAATGACTAGGGCTTCCTGTGCAATCACACTTCACCCACCTCGAGAAGAAACCAATCGTACCAAAGAAACAACTTCCTCTCTCTGAGAAAAGCTACTGTGACACTTCAGCCTGAGTTAGTCAGCATCCTGAATCCAAAGTAGTCATATGAGTTGTGTTCTGTTTCATAATTTAAAAAAAGTGTATTCTATCTCTCCTTCCCTTTTTCTTTCTGTGAAAATGTATTTCCTTTTATTTTTTAATATCTTTCGCTTTCTCTTCTGTTCTTGCCTTCTTTTTTTCTTGCAGGAATGGAGGTGTCCCAGCTTTGGTATCTTACAGAAAATCTCAGGCTGCTCATTGAGCATTGTATTCTGTCAATTAAGTGCTGCTGTTTGAAAGCTCATTACAACGCTTTAGACTCCTCCACTGGCGTCAGTAGATGAGTATCACCCTGTGAAAAAAACCTTTTTTTCAAACCAGGAGTCTTATGTGACTTTCAGGAAAATCACAGTTAAATCATGGATAGAAGAAAAACAATTCATTTAAAAAAGAACGCTAATCGCTGCAACAGTTTATAGACCAGTTCTCTGTATTTCTAAACAACATTTTTTTCTCTGGAAAATCACTTACAGTCACAGGTCTGGGTGGAATGAATTAGGTGCCATAAATGTAACAAAGAGTTTTGTTCTCACTGATTCACTGACTTGTCTTTGATAGAGAAAAAGCCAATGAGCTGGGCTGGTAACTTGCACTTTGCAGGTCTCACCTTTGACATAGACGTAGGTTGAGGTGATGTGGTCTGAACCATCTTTGGAGTATTTACAGCTGTACTCCCCTGTGTCCTTGGCGCTCAAACGTGTAACTGTGAGATTGCTGCAGTGGGAATGAGAGTGATGTCTAGGATCACACGGCTCCGTCTTCACCCCTTCTAATGAAATGGATCGTGTCCAGTTCAGCGGGCCATGACCTCTAACAGAGGAAACAGTGGGACAATATTTCAGCTTCAGGTTTGATGAAAGATGGTGAAATATTTACAGTTAAATATGTTGAACTTGACACATCTTTACATTACTGTTAATCTGCTCTCTGTAAACAAACACTGCATAAACTGGATCTATTCTGAGTGAAAGCTAGTAATGACCTTTCAAGATCTTAAGTTCAGGGTGGCAGCAGCTGCTTCTCCCCTGGGGACTTTCTGGTTTAATTTTCATTTTCAGTTTATTTTCAGTTAATCTCGAGTCATCCGATAACTTGTGCTTTCACATGGGAACGTGTTTCTCCTGAATGACGTGCTCGGCCGACACATTCTTTCCACGCAGCATCTATTTAAAAACCCTCATTAAAGAGATCCCAGAGGAACATCAAACATGTTTTGCATACCACTGCCTTTGCCTGCAGAATTTTGGGTCAAGCAACCTCCTGCTCTTATCCGGTGACATGTCTTCCAAGGACTAGGAATCTTAGTGCATAGCCTTGTAGGGAATCATTACATTAGATAGACACAAGCTCCTAAACATTCCTTGCGATCCTACTACATGATGCCAGACTCTCTAAATTCAAATAAAATTAAAAAAAACACATGGGTCCCATCGCCTCTAATGGACTTCGAAATGCGGGCCACCACCAACGATCGTCCCATTTACTTTGAAGCCTGCAAGTGCCCTGAGACCGAGGCATATCCCGTTTATTTCCCCCCTGGCCATTCTGACATGTAATGAGACCAGGGTCTAAACTTTATGGCTGGAATGACAGTTCAGGAACAGATCATCTCATCCCGACTGATGTCTAATAACTGACCAGGGAAGGGCAACAAAAGCTGGAGCCAGAAACATTTTAATATTAGCAAATTTCTTTAAGACAAGATACTTAACTTTGTCACATTAATTATTCACTACCGGCTTTATTGATTTTATTATGTATTAATATGTTGGTTATTGGTTATGCGTGTTACATACCTGCAGATGAGATTTAATGAATCGCCATAATGAAGGATGAGGGGATCCTCAGAGGGAAGAATCTTAGGGGAACGCTCTTTGTCCAAATGCCCTGTTGAATGCACACACACACACACACACACACACACACACACAGCACTTAGGTCAAACAAATCTGCACATTAACAGCTTCTCTCTCTTTACACCACTGTTTGTAGATCACTATCCCAATTAACAACAGGATGGAAGTCATTGTTGGGAATTCCACTTCTGCACTGAAATGTGGATTCGCTTTATGCTGATCTGCTTCTGCCTCTTATGCAAGTGATTGTCCGCTGTGAGAGCAATGGGGGTGTTTCCGGTGTTGAGTGTGCAGGTTGCTGAACGGACAGTGTCCTGGCATGAGCGGAAAGAAAGAAGAAAGAAAGAAAGTTGAAAAGAGGGAAGAAGGGGACCAATGGGGAGCAGCTGCACCACTTTACCAGAGGGGTAAAAAACAGTCAGATTCGCCGAAACCATGATGATTACCATTGCATGCGTTTCCTATGAATTGACCTCCTTTGGTGCTCCCTTCATCTTCTTCTTTCTGTTTTTTTTTCCATTTACCATTGACCTTGCACTCTGAATGCTATTATTTAATTATCAGGGGGAAATTAAGAGGATGAGATGTTTGATTCAAAGGTGGCCTCAGTTTGGTGTGCAGCCAGCTTTATCTGTTGAGAGGTCCCTCTAACAGCATTCAACAAAGGAATCAGCATGATTTTCCCTGTTCTCCAGGGGGATGTCACGTCCCATATGTGATTTCCTTCTTTTCACTGGCATCCCTGAACAACTTGTCACTGTCGTCACAAAACAAATGTATTACTGTAAGTCAACGTGCCAAATACGACAGCCCACAGGGAAACCTTTACTTGTAAGCACAGAATCAACAAAGACAATGAGGTTACACAACTGCCTGGTGCCAGGCTGTCATGGCATGCCTACACACGCACATGGAAATCCACGCACATACATGACTACACCTGCAATTAAAATGAACAAAAGACATACACGCACAAAGAAAGAGAGAGTGAGAAAAACACACACAAAGAGTATTTGTCTTTTATTCAGAACAGCTGTTGTGCTAAGAATGAGCTGACGTTGCCTGTGTTGGCAGTGGCACTCAATATTGACTTCCTCCCTCACAAAGTATTAAAACATCATTGTTTTATCGTCCAAGGTTATGCAGCGGAGAAGGGCTGTGGTTCACACACTTGTTGTGATTCCATGTGCCCTATATTAAATTAAAACATTGCTGTATATTAAATCGAGAACAACTGAGGCTCCTGATCAAAATAAACAATCACAGTTCACAGATTAAAAACTATCCAAAATCTGTTGTTGCCTTTTTGTAGTCTAAATGATTACCTTTTTTATCTTAGAACTGACAACAACTTCATGTAATTGCATCACTGAAAATTAAGTCAATAATGACTCAAATACAATTTGACCCCTGGGACTATAGTTAAATACAAATGGCAAAAATGCATGTTTAACGTTTTGCTTTGACTTATGTGCTGATACAAATGCTGGTGTCTGCTTACACAAGTAAACATCCGAAAACATCATCCTGACCTTGAATTGACAGGGAGCTCATCTCTTAAGACTGGCCAATTTTTCTTCTATTCTTCTCAGTAATTCACTACAGATGGATAAGTCCACAGGGCCCCCAACAGCCCACTAAAAGAGGAAAATAAAACATACAAGGTCTGTCTCTTTGCACCCAAACCTTCCAAACTTCCACTTGACCCAGTGTCTGCCCAGTGCTGACCTCAGCAAGCATCCCTCCCGACACCCCTGACCCCCTGCAACAGCTGTGTGCCGCATTCCTCCAGCAGATCGCCTGAAAAATGTCAGAATTTGTGCTTATTTTGTTGGCTCAAAGGGGCCTGTAGCTGGTTCTCATTAAGAGCCATTAAAAGAAGACAGGCATGGAACAAACAGTGAGTGAGAGAGAGGAAGAGGGAGGGAGAGAGAGAGAGAAAAGGGCCGAGTGACTTCTGGTTAAATTTCTCAGTAGCTTAATGAGGGGAGCCAGTGAGACAACATTAAACTGATCATTGACACACGGCCAAAGTAACTAAGATAAGACCAGCGTCACATTTGCATGTCTTTATCCTCACTTGCCACTGATGAAGGGAAGGGGCACAGGACAACGAGCTGTAGTGCTTGGAAAACCTTTTGTGGCGCTGAAGGTTCAAAAGCAGCCAGGAAATAAAGACTAAAAACCCAAGTAGCATTGGATTCCAGGATTTATGCCTCACTCTTAACTGAAATGTTTGTGGCTCAGAAAATGCTATTCAAATATTTTGTCTAAAAGAACAGCCTAACAGACAAATGACAAAAACAGTTTTGCACTCAAAGAATTTCAGCAAAGCAACTGGAATTGTTGATCCTGCTTATCTTTCATCAACCCCTGATTTTTAAGGATGTATACTGTATAATAATGTTGTTTGAATTTGGTGTATTGTGATGTAACAGGGTGAGAAATATTCAGAGCACAGGTATGGTCAGATAAATATATGATGATGATATGGTGAAAAAAAATATGAGTGAGGTGCAATGATAGCTAAATTACTGCTACCATATTTCTTCTTGTGATTGATTTTTTGATTATTCTAAACTGATTTGCAGCCCTTTGTTTTTAACTTCTGCTGAGTTCACAAAAACATTACTGAGGCAAAACAAAGGGTTATTGTGAGTTGATGTAACTGTTGGCAAGATGTTACCAGCCTGTTGCAACATGGCTCATGTTTGATATTGCATAATAAAGACCACTACTGTGAGCGGTGACAGCACTGTCACTGAGTTGAATGGGAAACTCTGAGTGAAAGCACTTTCAGTGCTCATAATAATGTGCGAAATTCCCTTCTGTTTTGCAGCAGTACACCTCATCTCGTCGTACTTCCTGTCCTGTCATTATACAATGCAGCTGTCTTGAGAGTAATTAGAAGAGTGAGTTACTTTTTTGGTGCTTTCATGGTAAAAGTAAAAATACAGCATTATGTATTCTCGTGTTTAACCTTGCCATTTCAGTCACTACTAGAGGAAATGATTGTTTGATAAAGGAGTGCACGGTCACTGGTGGTGACTCATCTTCGCTGCAATGAAAATTGGGAGGCAGTAGCTCAGTCCATAGAGACTTGGCTTGGGAACCAGAGGGTGGCCGGTTCTAGACAAAAGTTGGAGAGGTGCCAGTTCACCTCCTGGGCACTGCCGAGGTGCCCTTGAGCAAGGCACTGAACCCCCTAATTGCTCCCCGGGCGCCTTCATGGCTGCCCACTGTGTTCCGTGTGTAAAGAGGAATCTTAATCTTAAACCATAGCAACAGGAGTTAAACATTTGCAAGATCTGCCGAGGCTGCGGTCTAATGATGATAATTATTAAGCAAAACATTTTACTATGAATGTTAACAGTGTTGTGGTCATTCATAAAGATCTCTGCATTATTGTTAGAGAAATTCATAAAATATGCCCGATCTCAAGATGTTGAAGAAAGTAATCCTGATCTGTCCCAAAAGTTATGGGTTCTTCCTTGACTCATATCGGACACCTAGATACAATAAAACGTTGGTGTTTGACAGACAGACAAACTCCTTGGCAGAGGTAAATACAAAGAAAAACTATAAATGAATAAAATGACTATATGTTAACAATGAATCGTTGTTCAACAAAAAGTTTACTTCAACGGCCTCCACTGAAACATTGGCATCACAAGAGAGGGTCATTCAGGAGTCTTCTTGTAAAAACGACTATATTCAAAGGCTGTTTGGGTTTCATGATGTGGTAACTCTCTATGCCAGTGACAGGTCATGGTATGTTGCCTTTGGGGTGAATATTTACAAGACAAACCAATTCACAAAAAACATCAACAAGGCATGAAAGCACCTGCCTAAATAAGGCTCAACTGCCGCTGGTCGAGCTGTGTGTCACGTGTGCTGGAGTATCCTGCCACACAGAGCCCTCCTGAAACCCCTCCACTTTGCCAAACACAAGGTTAAGACAACAGTTAGGACGAGTGCCTTTTTTATTAGCCATATATTAGCCTTTGGAGATTTAGAGGCAAAATGCTCCAGACTCCTCTTTAAAAAAGAAAAAAGAAAAATACAGGAACATCTGGCCCAGATGGGTGGCCACTCCAGGTTACATAAAGTTGAGTGGGAGCCGACAAACTGGGTTTAACATTTAGGACTCTCATGCTGAAGATTCCTAAATGTTAAACCCAGAGGATTCACCTTCCATCATGTATGATTATGAGTAGTTAGCAGACAGAAGCTCCTTAAAATTGAAATCTCATGCAGGATTCAAAGAAAATATATTGCTAGCTCAGGCTGGATATGCCAAGTATGGACCAGGAGCTGCAATCATCCTATCAGAACAGCTACACAAAGCAATTTGTACAGTTCAATATCCTATTGTGAGGGAGTGATCTTTTTTTGCTCTGTTGGGGAGACTTCCAATTCAGGTGTGTGTGTGTGTGTGTTTTTTTCTTGTGCTGCCTGCATGGATCTAGACGTACTGCCAGAAAGCAATGATTCCCCACTGCACTTGGCTGACCTCTCATCATTCCCATTTTCCACTTCATCTCAAGTATCAGAACAGGAAAGATAGTCTGACTCCAAAACAAACTAGACACAGCACAAACTGCCTTTGCTAGAACGACGGCTTCTAAAGAAGCACTGTCCTCAACAGAGCAAGAAATCGCTGATTAATACGATGTTATAGAATGAGACAGAGGAACTCAAACAATGAGAATGTGTGTCCCCTCAATAATAATTTGTCCAGGGTTTGGTCAGTTGCTCTTAAAAACTGCAAACAAAAGCTATTGTGTGTTACTCTATACCTGGAACATATTCCTTCAGTTCTGCCAAATAAATTCACTTGTACAACAGATTAAATTGTTTTAATTAAACTAGATATTGCATTATTTACAGTTACTGAATCATTTTTTGAGCATCATATTCCTGGTGATATGGGAAAATATTAGTCATTAACCATTACACAGATACTGAAATAAACCTGCAATGCAAGTATTACATCACAGAGTTCCAAAAAAGCTTGTCCCTCAGTCTGAGCTGTTATGCGACATTTCATTTGGTGTCACAAAGCAACACAATAAGTCTCTATTCATTTTTGAAAAAGGAAGAGCAGCAGGTTAAATATGAACAAATTATCACAGACAAAACAAAGACTGAGAAATGTCTGTAAAAGGAGCAAAGCCTCAATAAATATTTCCCTGTGATCCTGATATTAACTTTATTTTTATGAGACTGTGGTGCCATTAACAAGATGCAACATCTCAGTTTCAGTTCTCAGCATGCAGCTTTGAGTCTTATTAACCAGATTATACCTGTTGCACACCTCAGCATTAACAAAGACAGCCTGATGCACCATTAATCACTAATGGCTCTAACAGTTGTAGCTGCTCTGCAGAAACAACACCCTCCTTTCCTTTCTGTCATTGTCTTGTGGATGGAGCTTGACATTGCTTGATTTCAGCACAAGGAGCTCGGGGAAGAAGTCTTTGCTCAGGTAGCGTGTCTCATTTCCGTGACCTCTACTCGCCAAAACAATTCCAGGCTGCCTCTTGCCCCTGCGTCCGCTTCCTCCTTGTGTCTTTCCCACGCTTTGTGTGCGGACAGTGAAGGAAATCTACTTAAAAACATCGTAGACAAAGCTTCATGGGCTGAAAGTGTATATGAGGGTGTGTATGTGTGTGAACAGTGTTTCCTTTGTTTGGATGGGATGTTTATCTGAAGATGGTGAGGAAGGCTTCACTGTGTATGTCAGTGGTACATCAGACCTGGCACAGGGTGGAGGAACATCCACCTTTTAAACACCATCTTGTTTTTTGGAGTGACACTGAGACAATGAGGCTGATTGTGCTGCCAGAACAAAAATATGCATTCTCCTCCCAAAATGTTTAATCCTGCTCACCCACAGACAACAATTGCTGGAAAAAACATTTTCCCACAATATTAGAGCAAAGCGCTTGTTTGCAATATCTTCAGAGTGTCTAAGAAAAGAAATTTAAAAATGTCATCAATAACCAATTAGTCTTATATTTGAATAAAAAGTGTGTTTCAATTACCTGCCAGAGGCACATTTTATTAACTTGTTAATGATGACACAATTACAACGGGGCGAGACAACCTCTAGTGGCTGAAGTGAGAGCTGCAGGTCCAAAATGTTCACATACAATTTTCATTTAACAAGCACATTTAATTTTCTTCTGTCATATACTGTCATACGTAATCTAAAATTAGGATCAAGAAAAGGCGGATTATAATTGTAATAATTATTATTGTTGTTATCACTAATGATAAAAAACAAGCTGTTCTCTGTAGCCTAAGTATTATTATTCACTATATTAAATGCCAAAAAAGGCACACAAGTGTGCATTCAGCCATTCAGTGAAACCAATGATGGTGAAACTCTGCTCTTTCATGCACAAAACTCTGCCACGCGTAAATAACTCATCTGCATAAGCATGAATGACTTCTTACCATTTGTTAGTGATGAGCAGAAGATGAAAACGACCAGTTTGAAGCAGTCGGATGAGACCATCGTTCCAACTCTTATCCAAACTCCCCAAAACCGTGCGTCTGAATAAAGTGAAGGAGTCGCTGGAGGAGGCACACAAATCCGACTGAGTGATGAAAGTTTCTTCTTAAAAGCGAGTAAATCTGAGAGTCTTATTTCCCTCTCTGAAAACTGATTTAAATCCACAGGGTCCTCAGGTGTAGGTGCACACAGCGGCAGCGATCCTCCCGTGTCCCATGACGCGTTTCGCGGGGGAGCTCTCCTGCGCAGCTGGCTCGTCCAACTCCCGGAGCCGCAGTGAGGAGCCGGCTGTGCCGCCGTGAGCTCCGGGCAGGTGCTCCAGAATAATAATAAAAAATGTCAGCAGAGTGAAAATGAAGGGAGTTTGAAGAACATAAGTTGGATGAGAGCAATTGTCAGTTTCCTAATGAAGCTGAGCTCAATCAGACTTGCGCGCCTTGGACAGTTTTCCTGCGTTTCGCCTGCGTGCAGCAGCGCTTACAGTCCACGGAGCGAGGCACGTTTTATGAAGACACGGAGGAAGGATGCAACGTCACTTTTTGGGGAGGACAAACTCCTCTGTTCAAGCGAGGAGGAGATCAGTTGATGAGAAATAGTGCTTCTGCAGCATATATGAGTCAGATAAGGGTTGCCCACTAGAAACAGTACAGTGATGTTACCATTAAATATGAAAATAAGAGATCACTTCAGTGAGGAAGCATTGAAAATTGTTGTATTAATGACTGACACACAGCAGATCTGGTTAATATCAGCCTCACCTTACTGATCTGTGTTCAATGAATATATCAAATAAAGTCAGATTTATATATACTGGTGTTGTCCCATTTCTAACAGTGAGTAAATACTGGCTGGTGAGGTCAGTCTGCAAAACCCTGAAGCCTCGTCACCGCTGCTGCACAAATAGTTGTTCACAACGTCCCCTATGTTAATGAGTCCACACGGCCGCAACTATACAGAGTGCTGATCACCGGTTTATTTAAGGTTTATTAATACAGAACATATCATGTGTCTGAATCACACTGCACTTACTTGGGCCCCTAACAATACAAATGCCAAGTGTGAAGCCGATACAATGAACGTTTCTCGAGATGGTGAAGGAAAGACAATACAAGTATGGATAAAAAGAAAATAAAAACTGTGCGAGAGACAGATGCAATAAGAGACACACAAAAAAGTAAATGAGATAAAAAAGACATATTCACAGAATCATATGACAGAATCAGGCTGAATTAAAGGCAAGATTAAAAAGGTTTCAAGTTTAAATTAGATTTTTAAATTATGAACAATAGGACAAGACCTAATGTGAGAAGAGAAACTGATCCAGAGCTTAGGGGCAGCAGCAAGGGATTGAAAGGAGTTAATACATAAGTGACCTGGGACAGAGTATGGTAAAATGTGTCTTAATGACAAACTGAAGTTAAATTTAAAGTAGATTATTAACCTACATTTTGCTACACGTGTTTGTTTGCTCTGATCAGATCAATCTAACACATAACTGAGGTTAAAGGTCACAGCAGTTATCTTGTCAAAAGAGGAAAAAAGACAAAAAAGTAAACAGTCATCATGATATCAGACTGAATCAATGTGCTCAAGTGTTTAGAATAAATATTTGCTGGATTTATTTTTAACTTTAGAAACAGGATACACTGCTTTTTATATCAATGTAAATAATCCTCTTTTGTGCAGCGGTACCCTGCAGTGTGTGGATGTGATGCAGACTGTTTTCTTTTATCAGCATAACAATCGCTTTGCTGCTCTGGGTCATAGTAGCAAGGGATCGTAAATAAGAACATCCTGCCCTCACCTTCTTCCGCACATGTCAGGACTGGAAGGCCACCATGTTTTGGAGACTGGGTCTGGAGCGTTGGTGGATGAGGCCCAACAGCAGTGAAATGGGATGAGCAGCACTCGTTCATCACTGTGGCAGGAAAAGCAGAGAACATGGGAAACCATTTATAACATCCCGGTTGTGGGAATTATTTTGCTTTCTGGATTTCTCGGAGCACACAGTCACAACTCAAGAATTCAAAGATTTCCTCTACACAAAACCACTAAAGGGAATCTCTGTGTTGTGGTTCGAATTAGTGTATACAAAAAGTTTGCTCTCCTGCACAGTTTATTCCAAAATGGGGAGATGATCGGCTTAAGGGTTTTGGCTCAAAGCTTGAGTGAGACCGTGAACACACTTGCCTTTACAATCTGGTGGTGAAGCAACAGTAAATCCTCCTCTTTCTTTCTCTGCAGATTTTGGACTGAACTCAGGCATAACGCTGACAACACTCTTAACCAATCACAGTCTTAAGTAAATCTTTATATATAAGACCTATATTTATGCTATAAGACTTTGAGGAGAAGGTTAGAAGATCACTAAATGCGTATATATATACATACATATACATGCATACATATACATGCATACATATACATGCAATTAACTGCCTTTTCTCTTTTCTATACAACAACAATGTTCAAATGGGAGTCTTCAGTAAGGGAGACGTCCCTCTGGGCCAAGAGGGCAGCAGATAAGTCTCCTGATGAACAATTGGTGGAAGTTGCAAGCTGAGAGTAAAGTGAGGGGGGTTTAAAGGGTTTTATTTTAGACTTTGGTGTTCAAAACGCACTACGGGGGAACTAACTGGTTGTGGACTAACAGCATGCACGCTTCCTTCTGCCTCAACAGCAGCCTCTCCTCAGATAAAGGAACCAGCAGAAATAATGTCTTTCTTCAGCAAGAGGAGTGGAGGGAGTCTGACCGACTGTAGTCAGTACTAAGTGGAAACAATGTTACAGTCCCAAGACCCCATTCATTGTGCAGATGTGGACGAAAGAAATATCAATGTATGGGGTAAATGTTTGAGGTTTTATGAATGGTCTGTTTTGAGATGTGAACAGAAGCACCTTGTAACTGAATTATGAAAGAATCTATATCAATTAAGTTTATCACTATAAATAAAGTTTATTATCATTGTCACATGATGCTTGTTTATAGAAAGATGAGCTTGGAAAAATGCTAACTGTAACTTCATGGAAATATTACCAAATTTGACAATATAAGCCAGTCCGATGGTAAAAATAGGATGTGAAGACACTTTAAGTTTGAACTTTTATGTTGTTACCTTCAGACTCTTCTCTTCTCTACAAACAAATGAAGAGCTAACTAGAGAGCTAGCTGGAGAGCTAACTGGATAACTAGCTGGAGAGGCCCAGGTGCACTAGCTCAATCGAAAAAGACAACACAATGGTTGCGCGTCTACATTGTGATGTACGGTAAAGTGTTTGGGCGCGAACAATGATTTGTGGTGCGTTCAAGTACCTAGTAGACTCCGGAATCTCAAATAAAAATGGTGTTATATTTAAAACAATGCTGCAGTAAGTTAAGAATTAGATTTCATTCTTAAATAGAATGCTTAAAAGTGAAACACGATGGCAGAATGCTTTGGGTTTTGTGTCTGATTATTAAAAATGAAATAATACAACGTGTTCAAAGGTGCAGAGGTGCATTGAGACATGTACAACCTTGTAACGTATTTTTAAAATGTGCCTGTATAGCAAAGGTCTCTATTTTCCCTGCAGGATGACACACATCGTAGCCTCATATTTGTTAAACAATAATGGAATCTCCTTTCATAAGATGCACGTTTTTCAACTGAGAAAAACAATAAAACAACTCTTTAAACAAGCGACATATTAACGAGAATATAAATTTCTGGTGAATAGGAATGCATCACTAAGTACAGTACAAAGTAATGTAGAGGCGCAGTTGATCTTTAAGTGGAGACGTCGCGCCCTCGCCTGCTCGGGGAAATATAATATGGAGAAGTTTGTTTCAACCGTGAAATGTAAGTAGTCCTCCACTCTATTTATTTTACTTTTATTTTTACCACCAAGTATTGATTTTCAGCCATTTTAGGCTACAAATGGTTGCGTGCTAAAGTTAGCTAACACTTCTCAACACTTAGCCAGGTCATCATTAGCTAGCTAGGTTTCTATGGCTACCAGAGATGGCTGCTGTTTGCCCCTCACTTACATTAGTCCAAAGTTAATAAAAGTAGATGTGTTTTATTTTGGAATCCAGCAGGTGTCAGAGTTTGGGATGTGAAGGTGGACCCAAAAAAATGCAGAAGCAAAATTCAGTTGCAAAAACTTTAGTTAAAGGCAAAAGGTACTTACAGAAACAAAGTCCAAAAATTCACATACAGAAAAAACACTGGAAGCAAAAAAGATTGCAAAAAGGCTCAACTGAAAAAAGCATACTGAGACAAAACACTAGGAACATGAAGAAGACAGGAAACGAGACAGCAAAACACTGTGAGGGACAGGTGAAGGACAATGACATCTGACAAGGAGACGCACAGAGACTTCTATAGACAAGGGAGGCCGGTTGATTGAACACAGGTGAGACACATGAGGAACAGGTGCTGACCAAAGGAAGTTAATCCAGAGACACAGGAGCCTCAAGCCACAACCTCAAAATAAAACAGGAGACAGAACTCAGAATGAACACAAATTCAAAAACAGGTCAAAGTCAAACTAAAGTCCATAATCAAAAGAGTCCAACACGATCACAAACTCCCCATCTCAGAGTCCAAAGTCAACAAGAGCTAAGAAGACATTTGACACTTTTACTAGTCAGAATATTCAGGTTGTAATAAATGTTGTACATAACTCATAATAACTAATAGAATGTTTAAATGATCTGATGAGACAATTTTAATTACTTTTTTATAAACAATTTTATCTCCTAATTTTTTTGAAGAGTTGATCGCTCTTTGTTGTATACTAATATTTTGGGATTTGGGAGCAAGTTATGTTCATCTGATGTTACATACACTGAGATTGTCATTTAGAAGAAAATGTGTTTACTTACTTTTTTTAATAAGTCACCCTAATAATCGCTCATTCACTCTGTAGGATAATGCCTCTCGTTGCTTGAGTATACAAGTGTTAATGTCAGACATCATTGAACTCTAGTGTAGATGGTGTGTTTTGCTGTCACCTCGTTCATGCCCTGTCAACGTGTCTTGATGTCTTTTTTTTCTTCATACGCAGGTCTCATAGAGAACCTGTTGCACAAACAGCAGACAGGTTACGATGACTTGATAGAGCAACTTTTCTCTGAAGTGTCTGGCCTAGAGGATTCCACCAAAATACCAGATCCACAGGTAGATAGATACAAGTGTGTGTGAGAGTCTCTGTAGCCCACGGTCCTGGTCAACAAGCTATGCTATTACTCTTGTAGAGCAGGATCTACTGCACAGTATGTAATGCTAACAGTATATTTCTACTTTACTCTCTTGAAAAGCAACATAGTGTCATTCATCATTCTGGTTTTACCATCATTTACATGAACACGTTTTGCATCAATCAAAGATGATGTTTTAATATATTATACCATTATATGACTGATATGTGACCAATAAGTTAAATAAGAATTGTTAATCTTTCTTATGACGCAGTTTGAGGAGTGTGCCATCCACCTGTGGAACTGGGCAGTCACTAAGAATGTGGGAACCACTATAAGTAAAAATCAGAAGGCCAAAGGTACACTTCTTGCTGTAGTAAATAATTTGAATGATGAGCAGAACATTTGGAAAATACTCAGACATAGTATATGAAATGTTGACACACTGTCACGATTATAAGCAGGGGTTGTCGTGATCATCTCACAGCACACTCAGCTGTTCTCACCATCTTCACAGTACGCCATGTTGCATGCAGTCTGCTGTACTGCTGTGAGCCTGAGAATCCAGCAGAGGGCATCATCCGCAAGCAGATTCTGGTAAGCTACACTGTGAGTACACCCTCTGTGAGTGGTCAGATATTCAGCAGGACAGGGTCAGTTTGTCAGTGTCCAAACTTTACAGATGGCCAGCAAGACAGGGAGAACGTGGCTGGACTGCAAAAATCCCCAGATGGCAGATCACTTCTTAAAACTTGCAGTCAAGGTGAAGAAAAAAACATCAACACTTAAACTGAGAGAGCTTAGATCTGTGTCAGTGTGATGTCTTTACCATTACTCAACACACAATATCCTTAGAGCCTGGAGACCCTCTATAGCCAGCTGACGTCCAGAGGGGATGGAGCAGCTGACATCACTTCATCCAAGGGCGATGTGGAAAAGGATCTGCTTGGAATCCTCTCATGCCAGGCAGAGTCGGTGAGCTGTGCCGCATGTGATGTTCAACACCTTCAATGTGAATATTTGTTCGTGTGATAATTGGCATCTGAGAAAGTGCTATTCCGACAGACTTGCAGTGTGAAGTGTGAGACAGTTAAAATGTGAACTGTGAAACAATGAGAGGGCAGAATCTTATTCTCTGCTAATAGGGAACGGTGTATTGTTTGCTGACATCTAATGAGAATTCACATCTTCTCCTTTACAGGCCATAAGTCAAGGGAATAACCATGAGGCTGTGGTCTATATGCAACGCTGCAAAGACATGTTGCTGAGGCTGCCAAAAGATGTACAAAAAAACCTGTGTTATTACTGTAACACTGCTACTATACTGTATATGTTGTTTTCTTATCCCTTTTATACATATTGTTATTGAGAGTGTGTTAAATATAAACTTATTTTCTCAATTTAGACTACGTACCTCTCCCTCATGTGCTACAACTTTGGAATAGACACCTACAATGTGAGAAAGTTTGAGGACAGTGCCTTTTGGTTGTGGTAAGAATAATAATTTGTGAGAATTAATCTCAGCAAAAACAGCAGAAACGTTTTGGACTAATTTCCGTTTTTCTTTCAGCCAAAGCTATGATATTGGGAAAATGAATGTGAAATATTCCCCTGGATCTAAAGTTCAGGTAAGATGATGCGATAAAAGTTTATTTCATGCCACGGGTACAATTAAAAATAGGTGTCTTCAATTTTTCTTCTCAATAGGCCAAAGTGTTACGGCTCCTTGCCACTGTTTATTTTGAGTGGGACTGTCAGACCTTTCAGGAGAAGGCTCTCGATGCTGTCAGCTTAGCCAACAAGGTGGAATATGAGAAAATATTTTCACACTTGAAATTACACATGCATGATGAAGCAAGCACCTACAAAAGAAGAGGCCCAGCTGCAGTGTATCTAATTGCTCTGTGAAATTTGACAGGTACACGTGAGCGCCTCTGGGCTGTACTTAAAGATCAGAATACTCCTGAGATGTAGGGCCTCAGACGATCATATCAGAGGAGGTTAGTTATAAACAGAACTCATTGGATTATTTATACAGAACTATACTAGTTATGTATTCACCAATATGTTCTATTAATCCTCTCTGTGGTGATGTAACTACTCCCTCTGCTTGTACAAGTCAGGTCAGGTGCTGCAGCTGCTCCAGGCGTCTGCCTGTGCAGGACCTCTTAAGTGTTAAAGAGAGACAATGGGATACGTAAAGCAGCACTATGCAATGTCTTATCTAACAATAGCAGCTTCATAGTTAGTTTGGTGGTTCACTAACTTGGAATAGTAGCCTGTTTGTGTTCAAAGTTACTTTGGTGAGCGGATACGATCTCCTGTATGTGTGTTACTGAATGATAGTCGCAGCTTCAATTGCCAGAATCAGGCCCGGAAAGTTCAATAGTATGCTAAGGAGTAATGCTGAATTGTAGATCAGTTAAAAAGACTTAGAACTCATGAAACACCAGCTTTTAACTACAATATTCAACGAGAAAACTTTTTAAATATGAAGCATTCTAAACTCAGGTGTGTTTGTTACAACAGCAGCGCTTCTCATTCAGGAAGCTGGGGATCATGGGGAATTTTCACCATTTAGTTGTGTTTCGGACCAGCGAGTGGGGCTACGCAGTAGATCAATAGTAATAATAATTTTTTTGAATCCCAAAAGAGTTAATCACAACACGTGGCTGCAGAGGGCACTGTTGCTCAGTAAAAGTTACACAGTATTGCTTTAAGCAAAGTTAAACGTGCACATTTGAAAGCAGATCATACAAAGTAAATATGTTTCCAGGACTGAATGAGATGCTGGAATCTGAGGTTTCTCTTGAGGTGTGTCTGAGCGTAGTGAAACTGCTCATGTCTGAAGAGAGGTAAAACCTTCTGCATCTCTGGTTGGGCACTCATTTGGATTTTTGTAGAAATGCATAACAATCACATGTCCAGACTCATATTAACCAATTCTGAAGGATATCTGCTTTGTTCTTTTAGAGAAGTGCTGGCATTTGAGTATTTGAAACTAGTGTGTCAGCGCTTTGAGTCGTCCCCTGACCTGGGAACTGCTCTCGTCTTGAACATTAAGTTACTGTTGCAGAGAGGCAAGGAACTGTTGAGTAAACAGAAGATAGAAGATATCATCACTGGTAATTTCATTTATATGATAAGTCTGAAAATGCCATGATGCATTTTAGAATAATGCACTGTAGCTGTGGATCTGTTTCAGTGTTAACCATTCTTTCCTCCCAAACAGGCCACTATACAGGAAAACAGCTGAATCCACAGGCCCTCACCACTCTTCATGTCATACTGTGGGATAAAGCATCGGAACACTTTGAGGTATAATGCCAAACAAAGCCTGGTTTGTTATTTAGATACATTATAGTGTCTACACATATGTGTAGTTATCACCATTGTGGTTCAGTGATTAGCTATGTTGCCTCATAGCAATAACCCTGGTGGGCTGCAGTGTGCCCACCTATCTCTGTGGATAAGCATGCTTTTTTCTGTGTGTGGGTTTGCTGTGGGTGATATGGTTTCCCAAAAACACAGAGACATGCATGTCAGGAAAATACTCCTACACTGATTTTGAACAAGGTACTGACCTCAGAACTAGTGTTAGTCCCTGATTCCTGCACTGAAGCTGCATACTGTGAATATAATAGGATGTGTTTAATACAGAGATTTGATTTCCACAAATGAAGTATAACTCAGTGCTTATGTTTCTGTCCAGGCCAAGAACTATTCTGAGGCCCTGCAGTGGTATAACTACTCCCTGAGTTTCTTTAAGGCTGGTCAAACGGAGCCCAACTTATCCAAACTACAGAGGAACAGAGCTTCTTGCTTCCTGCAGCTAAAGCATGTGGAAAAGGTGAGGACACATGAGTCACAACAAAGTCAGAGACATAAGTGATGTTCAGTGGCTGTGTCAGGTGACGTGTTCCAGAATTCAACAAGTAGCGATTTGTCTGTGTCACCAGCCGTGATGGCAAGTGCTCCTGCCACGAGATGTTTATGAAAAGTTGTCTTCCTCAGGCCAAAGACGCAATCAAAGAGGCAGAGAGGTGTGATCCTGACAGCATTTTCACTCAGTTCAGTGTTTACAAGATCGCAGTGCTGGAGAACAATGTGAAGAAAGGTCTGCAAAACATTACCTCTGTGATTCATGTCAAATAAAAGCATACATGGTCCCAATGTTGCAGTCCAGTTGTTGAGGCTTTTTATTTGCACCAGCTGTAGAGGCACTGAATGCAATGGGACGACTGTCCAAGTGTCCTGTTGCCAACGAGGACAGACTGCTGGTTTCTGAAAATGCTGCTTGCAACTTCCTCAGTCTGGCTGCTCAGATTGCTTTGGAGGTAACAGTTATTACTCCGTTCTGTACACCAGTTGCTAATTGTTTGAGGTTAAGCACCATCAGCAAACATGTTGGGCAGCAACCACAGTTGTTAACAGTTTGCGACGGTAAGGAGTAGAAAGATATTTTTCTTTTAATAGAAAATGTGTGGGATGTGTGCTAATTCTATTGTTAGTATATTGTATGATTGTGATGAATATGACGCCTGTGCCTTTGTTCCCACGAGACAGAATGAACAGCAGGAAACTGCCATGAAGGCACTGGAGAGTTTGTGTGAAAACTCCAAAGATGAAGCTCAGGTTCTAACTGCGCTCAGGTCTGTGACAACTGAAATATTATATCAAATATGCAAATGAAGAGTTTAGTAACAAAAGAAAGGATGTACCTCCACCAAGGCCCATAGATATAAATCATAAATACGCCAGATTTTTTAAATAAAGATCCATTCTCTGAGAAATTAAGTAATCTTAAAGCAATAGATTAAGGTGTAGGAAGCCAGAAGTGAAGGATGTCAAGGGCATGGACCCACATTGAGTTAAATCAGTGGGCTTTATGTATTTTTATAAACGGGGAAAGTGTTTTGTTCAACTTTCATTGTTTTTTGACTTGACTCAACATAACATTACATTCTAATAATTATACAAAAAATCTTTGAGGACAGAGATATTGACTCATGAATTTCAGTTTCCTAACATAATATTTCAATGCATTCAGTGTACATGTGTTCAGAGTAAACAAAGCACTGGTGGAGTTTCACACATGAAGTGACAACATTTAGTAGAAGGCTTATGTGCTGAGAGATGAGTGTGTTAGATTTCCATACACCCCTGTGATCCACTGACCTATATTCCCTTGCTTCTCTGAAAGTGTGTCTCTGTGTAAAACAGTTAGTAGGTTAAAAAAGGAGGTCAACACCAGTCTCTCCATTCATCTTTTTATAGGTGTCTGGTTCGACTTGTGCTCTCCACAGTAGAAAAATCGAGTGATGGGATGAGGTGAGTGGAGGGGGAAAGTAGCTAATAATTTACAGTTACAGTATTACTGATGCATCTTTCAGTGAAATAAAAAAAACTAACCTTGCTACCTTCAGTCCCTGTAGCAATGTGGGGCTGGATGCTCTGCAGCCATATTTAAAAATGGGTGAGTATATACACAACATGGGTTAATTGCATTTTTTGAACAAATGTCTGAATTACAGTATCTGCTGTGCATCACAACCCAGAATGTTTTGTTTGGTCATCACTGCAGCTCTGCAGAAAGTTTCACACCAGACTCATGTGACGGTTGAACAACGCACAGATGAAGCTAACTGGTTCAGGAAGATTGGTATGAAGATGTTCCTGGTCCTTGTCACTTAAATCTGACATGGTATGCCATCACTTGAAATCTTGGCACACCTTCATCATGTGTATGTGTGTGTGTGTGTGTGTATTTGTGTATATGTGTATATGTCCCTGTTACAGCTTGGAACTTGGCTCTGCAGTGCACGGGCAGCCCTGACAGAATGAGGGATTTCTTTGTGCTCTCTTACCAGGCAAGTAGCCTCTCTGGCTTTGTCAGGTGAATTAATCAATATCTACAGTATGTGGGTTCAGATCAATATCGCCTGAACAGAGATTTAATGTTTCATTAGAAAGTTAAACATGTCAGTTTAAGATAAAGAATCACGGTGACTCACAAGGATCCCATCCTGACGGTTCCCTCTGTCCTCTGACTTTTTGACCCCACCTTCACAAGAGTACCTGTAATTGCTCATGGATTTTTGTGAGGTGGCCTCGGTGCATGTAATTGATTTAAATACATGTATTCATGTTCATTCAAGTTTCTACTGATGGTTCGTTAACAGATGTTTCAGAGAAACTGGGATGGAATCTTTTGTTTTAAGGCAAATCAATGAAATTGCCATTAAATAAAGAAAAAATATAGAGAGACAGTTTTTAAAATGAGGCTATTATATCATGCTCTGGTTCCTTTGTCAAACGTGTGTGCATTTACATGAACCTGCAGCTGTCCCAGTTGTGCCCTCCTGATCGGACACTGCTCCTGGGCCAGAAGACGTGTCTGCTAATGGCTGCTGCTGCCTCTCTGGAGCTCTGCAGGAAGTCTCCTCACTCTGACCAGGTGTGCCACCCACTCTCTCTGCTCCCATCTCCCACATTTAGCACCCTCCCTATCCACATGGATGGAAATGTACCAAGCATAGTGGAGAGGAGAGGTGACTAACCACATTACTGGTGCTGGCGTAGGTGTTTCATTATAATCCTTTGGAGAGGAACTGAACACCAGATGGCAGTGTCGAGTCCTGAATGCCTTTTCTGTGTGTGTGTTTGGTTGACAGAGTGAGGAGCTCACTCAGGCTCTGGAGCGCATTCAGATCTGTTGGGACGTCTGGAAAACCCTGAAAGCATCAGGTACATTGAATCACTGCATTATCCAAAACTGCCATGTTTCTGTTTATTTATTTGTACATATATACTATTTTTATTCTAAACAAAAAGGAAATAATTACAGATGAGTCACCATATGAGGAAGCAAATGTTTTTTTTGTTGGTTTTTTTTCAAAAATGAAAATGGATCTTTTGAAATGTCTTCTCAACATGAACTTACAGGAAGCTTCTCAGCAGACCCAACAGACACACTGCTGCTGCAGTTTGAATTTGAAGCTCGCGCTAAGCTGAATGACCCCAAGGTTGAGACAGTACTGGAGTCCGTCCTGGAGCTTGAAAATGTTGAAACCAAGCTTCTTGAGAACATTGCAGGTAAAACAAAACAACGCTTTTGGTCATGCTAAAGAAATAGACATATAATTGTTTTGATTTATTGATTGATTTATTTTGCCATTTTTTTGTAGCTTTAGCCATGGAGCCTCCAGCCCACTTCCCTCTGCTGTGTAAGAAGGCCTTGAGGGTTGCTCTCTCTCTGCACAAGAAACAACCACAGGCTGACCTGGCCCGCTGCAGGCAAACCCTCCACTACTCCGCATGAAAACACCCATGACATTTCTTTCTCAAACCATACCCACATTATTAGGATTAGGATAAAATAATTTCTGATTGTGCAACTGTTTTTGTCCAACCATCTTAGCAAGTGTGTTCACAGCCTGATCAAGCTGTCCCTCCCGAGCGGCGTGTCAGAGGTGGAGGCCCATGCGCTCGAGGAGGTGTGGGGCTATTACGAGGAGGCCCTGTCCATCATTGCAGCCACAGTAAGTCAGTGCCAATCACCCACCACCATCCCTTGGCTCCCACCTCCTGTTCCCTCCAACAGAGCTGCTGCTGCCTGGTGTATAATTAACCCTCTCTCTTCCACTCCATGCCTGCCTGCTGTTCTAGAAGTCTCTTTTTTATCAATGGGCTTTCAGCTGCACTTCAATTAGCAGATGCTTCCATTCACCACCCCCTTCCTGCCAATTTGAATGTTAATGTGCTGTACAAATCATCACACTGCCGGTGAGCTGCAGCTCTGAAAGAAGCATCAAATTATTGAGCCATTACACTGCTTCTGAAGCAGCGCAGATTTCCCCTTTCATAGTTAATACTCGGATGGAATTCTTTGGATCAAAGTGAAAGCCCAAGATTAAAGTGTTGTGAAAAACATTAACATTATGCATTAGCAAAGGTTAACATACAGTAGGACATGATTAGATGAAATTTAATAATGTTACTCGCAGGCTTTCACCCACTGAAAACACAGATTTCCTTCCATGCACTTGGCTCAGGGGAGTCACCCAGGTGGCCTCTTTTAAAAGGCCTTTTGAGCATCTTCCTGCTCTCCTCTGTAGCCCGACAACTTCCCAGAGATGGAGACTCTGTGGCTGCTGACTCGGGCTTGGAACACGGGGATACTATTGTACAGCCTGGCTCAGTATCCCGAGGCAGAGAAGTGGTGCGGCCTCGCCATGAGCTTCGTCTCCCACCTAGGATCGCTGCAGGAGAGCTACGAGATGCAGGTAGACGCCTGGTGGAAGGGACTGGGGTGGCCGGAGCAGTGAAGCATAACAAGAGCTTGAATTCACCGTCAGTGCAGCAAAGACCTTTTTAAGTTTCAATTTCTTGTGTGTCCACAGATGTCTGGTCTCTACAGTGAAATCCTGGACAGGTTGGACAAAGCCAAGAATGTCACCTTAGAGGAATGACCAAACTGGGACAGGTCAGTCTGGTGTTAACGCCCTGTACTGACAGGGACATTTCATTTATTTAGTTCCCCTCATTTGTTGCAACTTTACATTTTTAATGTTGTGGTAAAATGTTCATCACATATTCCAGTTGAGAAAATTCTTGCTCTAAACCTGTGTAGTTTGAGGCCATTCTAGTTGCCTAGTGGTTGAGACACATTTCTGGTTTGATCACCATGTTCCCTTCCTCTTCCGTGAGTAAAGTTCAAAATTTCATGAAAATCTTTTGTAAACTGAGTTCAAATATTTATATAAAAGGCCACAAAGTCTGTTCAAGTGGAATAACAAGCACATCGAAAATCATAACTGAGTCACATATTTTATTTTCAAACAAATAAACTCTTGTCAAGTCCCAAAATAAAACCCAAACAAAATTTGCAGGACTGCTCCCTCATGACTAGGACAGGGAAGACCATGAGGTCAAGTGTCCTGATAGGCTGTACCACCTGCAGTGACAGGAAGGAAACTACTGTACAATCAAAGGGTTCATGTTTGCAAGCACTTACTGCACAGATGTGCTAGAACATAAACATCACCCAAAAGTACAAACAAGAACCCTGACCCACCCGCCCAAAAAATAAAAGCATATATGTCATCATTTCTCTCACCAGAACAAAGACCCTCGTCAATTATACACACACAGAGGCATTCAGGTTCCATCTTGTTATATAGCACAACCTCAGTGGAAAGAGTAAAATGAAATCAAGTTCTTTGGGCTTTGACATGGCTGACTGAGGTATGAATACCACACACATTGTTAACAGTCAGCTGTATTTCAACTTAACACCAGAGAGGACCAATTCTAAACTTCTAATGATGTATTGATCAATGCTCCTGGTTTCTGTGGTATTGTGTAGGTTTTTGCCTGCATCTCTTTTTCATTATTTTACAATATATTTGTTTTATCTATACACCCAGACACGTTCCACAAGAAATCACATGTAGACAGGCCCTATCTGAGGGAATCAAATTCCCAATTGACTAGTTAAGTGTTCCAATAGGCATTTGAAGAGAGATACCAACAATACAGCACATTTGTATGGAAATTAAATCTCGAGAGTAGTTCAAAGTTTACTTACCTGACATTTGTGGTCTATAAAACATGTTTGTCCCAGTTTTTATTCACACATGCATGAAGCACAGGTGAGGGAGATCTAAGCTGGGGGCTTATTTACATTGTACAGCTACCACACCCTTTGAAACAGTCTGCAAGCAGTTTATAAATGGCTCTGTTCCCTTCGGTTATTCCCTGAACTCTGGTTTTGACACAGGTAATGACAGCTGGTTTAGCAGTGGTGCCTGGCAGGTGGGCACACCTGTTCAGAAAATGCCTGCAGGTACAGGTGCTCTGTGGGTGGGAGAGAGCAGGGGACCCCAGAGGTCTAGGTAACCACTTCTTGTTGGGTCTGGCTCTCTTAAGAAAAAAAAAAAAAAAAATTGCGTGCACTCTTCAAAAAGCTGCGGAAGGAAAGTGAGAACGTTCACAAGATCAGGGGGCCACAGTATTCCTTCTTCGTTTTTGCCCTCTCACATGCACACATTAACATACAGTGCCAAACTCTGCATGGCGGGTGAGTGGAGTCATTTTGATCCTGGGGATGACGTGATACAGCCGACTCAAAGTTACCACGCCGACAGCCTTGAACGAGCTCCCGGCTGCGCTGAAAAGATGCGGAACACAACCCAATGACACAGTTCAGTCGAAAACGCCTTTAATCAAGTGACAGTACCTCGAGTACTATGAACTTTCTGTGTCATCGCCCCAAACGTGGCCTTCACTCGCAGGGGACATGGTATTTGTACGTCAAGATTCCTGAGCCGGTGTAGCTCACCCCAGACGCACTAAGAGCTCAACACAGTGGTTCAGCACCTGCCAACAACAGATTCATGAAGAATTCATATGTTTATAGATACACAAAGCACGTAGGTTTAATCCAACCCAACTTTAGTGTTGTTGATGACAGGGGGACATGGGGACGATCCAGAACAGGTTATATTGACTCTTTAATTGTTAGGACATCCAATACAATTATTGTCTTGTTCTACCCGTTTTAAGGCCACCATCATGGCGGCAGATAGGACAGTACCATGTGACCATTCAATCAGAAGAGAATCATCTTGGAAGGCAGAGAGTGTAATAGGGTGGTCTGCTGCTCAACGTGAGCTAGGAGGCTCTGGCTGTCCAAACTGTAATCAAATGGCCAAATTTCTTATTTAATTACACAGCAAAAAGGTGGAAATACAGGGGAGGAAAAGGCGCCCACAGAGGTGAGACTTCGTTTTATCTATTGCACTCAAGTCAGGCCTCCTGGCAGTTGGAGGACACAAAATAAGTCAGGAAAGACGAGAAGGTCTCCTCTCTTTTCCTTGTCAATAATGTGCAGCCTCCCTCACAGACAGACAGGTAGTCACAAAACAGAATTTGTATTTGATGTAAGGCAGTTTGGTGTTTTGCAGAGAGCCCAGTTACACTTCTCTACCCCCATCCTTTACACAGAGCAGCTAAAAACCACAAGCAAAAAATCCCACAAAGAAAGAAAAAAGAAATCTAACAGCCCTCCAAATTGACAATTCTAGTGAAGTGTAAAATGTGTAGTTTTTAATATGTAGTAAAATCTCAGTAAGATTTTGTCATTTATCTTGTGATTTCAGAATATAAATGTAGAGATCCACAACACATTTTTCCTCTTGATCTGCCTCCGGAGATGTCTATCAGCTGCAGCACAGACAAATGGCAGACGACCAAACAGCAAGCTGGTTTGTGATAAATAGATCACCAGTTTGTAGGCTCTTCCACTGTAATTTCCTCAGTCATTATAAACGAGAGATGCCTCCTTGAACAGTACCATCAGCAGGGCTAAATTTGATCCAGTTTAGAAAAAGAAAAAAACTAAAAACAAACTTAATTGGTCTTCAACTTCTCATCTTTCGCGTCTTTTTAAATGTGATTTTGATGAACATTTACAAAGTGTTCCAACTTGGTATGATTTGTCTCTTTTCCCCTGCAACTTCTTCGAATCCCAACTCCTCGCTCCAGATTTCTGTAAAACATTCTGATCTTCAGTCAGTCCCAGTCCACAAAAGGAATTATTCCTTTTCCCTTTTGTTTTCGCTAGACAAATTCCTTTGGAATGGCATTTCCAGTCTTGAATGGATTTGTTGAGAAACTCATGCAGGGGTGTGCACAGTCACAGTAATGGTGATAAGACTTCTTTTTCATTTAGAGAGTAACATAATGATGACACTAAAACTTGATATGAAACATATCTGCAAAAAGGAGGTGAGGACAGGGAAGGGGGGCCTATTTGGGCACGGGTGGGGTCTCTGGGAGGCAAGAGGGGGAGGCTCTGCACCGACGCAGAGGAGGGTGGGCAGGGAGCTCAGAGCTTCTCTGAGGAGGGGATCCAGATGTAGGGACCGGACTGCTCCTCGATGATGAGCTTGATTTTGTTGTAGATCTCCTCTAGTGAGTCACCCTGTACAATAGCTGGACACACAAACACAGAGGGTAATGTAGCATCAGACTGAAAATTCATCGGCAACAATATTGATAATCAATATGAAATTATTCATTATGGGTAAAAAAGCCAAGTACTTGATGGTCTGTGTCTTTATCAATTTATATTTAGTATCTACGTTTTTCATCACTGGCGGTATAAAAGAAATTTAAATGCATTCGCATCCCTTAAATGTCAATAAATAATGACGATATGGGATAACACTAACTATAAAGATGATGTCTCTTTTCCAATTAATTGAAATAGTTATGTTTTATATCTGCCCCAATACAGAAATTAAAAAGATTTGTCAGTTAAACTGATCCAGGGAAAAGTAATCTGCAGCTTTTTCATCATCGATTCATTGTTTTACCTGCAAACTCAACATCAGAAAGTTAAATCGTTGTGACACTAACCTGTGAAAAACTCTCCAAAGTCCTGCTCCAGCTTGACTGCCTTGTCGAAGACTTTATTGGCCTGCTCATATGTCTGCCGCTTATTCATTTCCCTGAAAAACACAAGTTTAATATAATTATTATAGACACATTTGGAATAACCGATATCTTGATCACAGAGTGTATCAAACTTACATTAGGGCTTCAATGGATTTTGGTTTGATAAAGATGGCGATCGGATAAAGTTGTGCTTGCTGCAGTCGTTTTATGGCGTTTCCAGACACGTCCAAAATGCAGTGTTTCCCTTGCTGGTAGGCAGAGAATGTTTGGTGGAAACAAATTAGACTTTTGAATAATTTCGTGATAGAACATAAACTTTCTTTTTTGTTTATCAGGCACCTTGACAAGCCTCCGGTTAGACCCCAAATACAGCAACCTAATCTAGTAACTCAACACAAGAGACAAACACAAGTGTCGGCCTGTGCCTACCCTCTCCGCCACAGTTCTGACGGACAAGATGCTCGTCCCATAGAGGTTCTCGTTGAACTGGCCGGCCTCGATAAATTTATTATCCTGAATGTCTTTCTCCATTTGCTCTCGCGAGGCCACAAAGTGGTAGTCCTGGCCGTCCATCTCATTCTCTCGCCTTGGACGAGTCGTATCTGCGGAGGTGAATGAAACATGTTTATTTTTTTGCAACAGCCGGGTGGAGTGTTTTAGAGCTCCAGCAGAGCTGCTCTGTGTCGTGTACTTACGGGGTACACAGGAGCCAAACTTGTGGGGAAACTCAGAGATGAGGTCATCATTTATTCTGTCCTTCATTGGGCCCAAAATGATCACAGGCCTTGTGTAGTGGACTGTGTTAGAGACGGAGAAAGCAAATGAAGATCAACGTGAAACTAACAATCCATAGTCTTTCTGCTTCTTGATAAAATGTGTAGAAGCGAGTTACTCACTTTCCTGTCGAATGACTGGCTCATAGGAGAGAATTGTGTCCTCTTGTCCCTCTGAAAAAACAAAATCATCAGATTTTACATCACATATACAGAACATACAGAAAATATATTAAAATGATGATAACATTAAGGGGAATACTCTGTCGAGCCTGACTGATTTATGCCATATGGAAACTGCCCTCCTTAAAGTCTGCGACGACCTTCTGCTGGCTGGAGGCAAATCCTCCATTTTAGTTCTTTTAGATCTCAGCGCAGCAGAATCACCAATATTCTAATTCACAACTGGAAATGTGGGCAGGAACCACCAGTGTGGTCAGAGACCGTTCACATCTGGATCAATCCATGGCCCAATTTTATTCTCTATATATCTTAGGAATCACTGCCAATTTTTGTATCCGAATTAATAATAGGCAAATATATCTGTGTCAGGAATATTTTACTGCCCATTATCGGTATTGTCACTGACCCCAAACATCCATATCAGTCTGGCTCTAATACTAAGTAACATGTCATTTCACATGTGTATTGACCATCCACAATGTTCTACATCTATGTGAGCAGTGTAAAACAAACCCTAAGGACTAAGAGAGAGAAATGAAGGCAACTCACTAGAACTGCTTTCACTGTCACTTGTGTTGGATGTCAGGCATTCTGCAAAAGCACAAGAGAGCAAGTTGCACATTATCTCAATAAAAAATGAACTACAGTAGAATACAAATAAATCATCTTCTTAAAGGGTGAAAGTTATTTTCACCTTCCTCAACAGCCAACAGGGAAAAAAAGCAGTTTGTTTCTGAATCCAGGCCATTAAAGAAAAAGGGAATAAAGAAAGCAGAAGTCTTGTCTGGTACAGTAGCCATGCTCTCGCAATATTGGGGAAGTGGTTTAAGGTGCAAGCAATAGGACATTAAGTGTTTCCTGTGACAGCATCCCAAATGACCCACAACTCCCTTACCAGTGTTTCCTATTGCTAGATCTGTGCCTGTGGCAACAGTTCTCATATCAGGGAAAATACAAAGAAGATATACAAGCGCTACACTTTCCATGGGAGGGAGGTAGGGAGGGAGGAGCTGGATGACTCTGGGGAAGTGGAGGGAAAAGTGTTTCCAACCAGGCAAAGCAACACTCTGCTCTGGTGACAAATACATCCCAGCTCCTTGTGACCTTATCTGACAAAACTGTGCTAAACATTTATTATAAAGACCCCATGGGACAATGAGAATAAGTGTAGCGCTCACTCACCCTCCCGTGGGAATGCATATTTTATATGTCCTGTGAATCTGGGTAGGCGTGTGCGTGGTGTGTGTGCACGCACATAGGTCTGTGTGTGTGTGTGTGTCATTCTAAATGTGTGTGGTTTGGCATTCCCAGCTGGGTCTGCAGTGACAAAGCATTTTTGGGGGACAGCTGCTTGACACAGTACAACCACACACTTACTCAAACTCTTTGATCCATAAAAGTCATCGCTTAACCCTGGGAAGTCCTAGGTGTCCCGACAGGTGAGAGCAGAAACCAAGAGAAGAGAGCAGACAGGAAGAAGAAGAGGTTAGTGAGAGTTGGGGCAGAGAGGGAGAGGAGTGCTGTGTGGTGCTCGCCAGGCCCACTGACACATGGTGCTATGCTGTACTCATTAAGCCTGAGCCCCACTTTGTTCATAGTAAGCCACGGCCTTTCAATTACACAAGCCCAATCCCATTAAAATGGGATTTTGACCTGTTAAATGTTAAAGCTTCAGTCCAGTTAATGAGATTCTTCTTGTTGTGGGTCAGTGACTGACTGGAGGATTGATCACGACTAATACAAGGAGTAGCATCACAGTGTTAGAAGGCCTGTATGTTAATACGGCCAAGAACTTGTGTGCATGCGCGCACACACACACACACATGCACAGCTGGCAGCACACACAGCGAAACACTCCTCTGGAGCCCATAGACAGATGGACAGACACACCAGAGAGAAGCCCACATCTCCCGCTTGATGACGGCTCTGCATGTGGAGCATCTCTCTGGGACAGTGAGTAAGGGATGAGAGTGGTGCCATCTCACACACACCATCCCTGGAGGTGAGCGGAAAGATGGAAGTTGAGAGACAGAACTGAAGCATGAAGGTGGAAAGGACGAAAAACAACACCACCACCCCCCTCAATCACACAGCTGGTACTCACGTTCAGACTCCACCAACTCCTGCACAATATTCTCCTTGCTCTTGTAAAACGGGAACTTGCGTGAGAGGTTGAAGCTTTTTTTGCGCTTTACTTTGACTGGCTGCTTGTGTGGGTGAGAAGGGGGGAAGGGGGGGCAATGAGAGGGTGAAAACAAAAACAGAATGGGTTTCAATGAAGGAACTCGACACACATGCAAAATAAAAAAAACTAATGAAATGCAAACAAACAATACACATCAAATAATGAAAATGAGAAGCAGGTAATGCATGAAAATGGATGGCATATCACTGTGAAGCAAACAGGCCTCCATTTACCAGCTTAAAGACATACCTTTTTATATAAATTAAATCTCCTTGCATAATACAGATAGATAATTAGAGCTGATTTAAACTTCTCCAAATTAAGTCTGGCAGATCAGCCGCTGATAAACGTGCTGACATTTTGTTAGTGCACATTTTTTAATATCATTGAGTGCACAAGCTGTGGAGGTTACAGAGACCTCTCATCTCCACAGAGCTCCTGTGTAATCTATACAGTAATATGAGTGCTTTTTGTGCTCGCTTCAGCGAGCAGGTGCTGGTCCCTTTCCCACACTCAGGGGGAAGTAGGCCATCTCCCTGGGAGCCCAGCAGCAGTTCTGAAGACAGCCTCTCTGGCACCAGGGCAGGGAGCAGCTGGCCCTCTACACTTACCCTGTTAGACTCAATCATGCCTGTCCTGGCGTGGAACTTGACTGTTTTTAACCTGGCCCGCTCTTTCTTCTCCACTCTGGAGGTGAAAAAAGGGAAACAGATTTAGGCTGGGCATGAATGAGTGTAGTCATATTAGTTTTGTCTGCAAATGGAGAGTGACTGTACCTTTTCTTGCTTGGAATGACCCCAATCTGCTCACTCTCTCCATGGGGTGTGACCAGTCTTGCCTGCCACCACTCATCATCAGAAGCATTTATGACATGGAGGATATCCCCATAAGAGAAGCTCAGGCCTTGGCTGGGCAGGCAGCTGTCCCTCGTTCGGTCGTAGTCAAACAAAGCTCTACAAAAACAAAAGCTTTGGTTACACTCTTCTCTTTTTATCATGAATTTATGTGTAGAGACCTAAGAAGCACTAAGATCTAATTACTCTGTGTCCACCCTACATTTTGTCACATTATTACTCATTACATTACCACATTGGTGCTTGTTACCATTTCCTATTAGAGCCAGAAATGTATATTGGTTTTATCAATATGAGACTGTAACAGAAAAATCAATGCTGGTGTTTATGCTTGCTGGTATGAAAACATATTTTACAGAATAAAGATGTGCATTAACAGTATGTTTCTCATTGTCACATTTTACATGAATCATTTCTTTTTTTTTTTATTAAAGTTCTACAGATGAGGTTGTATTAGTGTTTCCTTTTTTATTTATAAGTTATTAACAATTACATCTGTTTGTTTAGGGTTTGATGGAGGAATGAGGAATCATTCAGCCAAAATATCTATCTTGGACTCTTTTTCCTCCCCAATGTTAGCACCGACCTCTAATTATTCAGTTGGGCTGTTTTTATTAACATTTCAGTTTCCATGCAGGATGTGATTGCGTTTTACAAATGTGTAAGAGGACATTGGAGAGAAAAAATAGTAACTTGTGACACATTCAGACAAGTCACTTACTGTATTTTACTGGCTAGATAACGACATTCTTATTAAAATTACTAGTGTATATTTAACTATAAAAAGATATGGTGGAGAATCGTGTCATATGTAGAGAACCAGTATATCAAAGCATGTCATTTACATTATGTTTCCTCTTGACATTTCCACCTGCTTATGCCACATAGTTTCCACTACACACAGTCAGTGTTTATTGTTTGTCTGGGAGCGTCACTCTTGTCAGACAGGAAAACCAACAGCCACTGCTGCAGATATTCATACCTGCTTTACTGACTTAAGTTTTCCTTGACCTACAAGCCTATATCTTCAGGCCATATACACGGGTTAGTGGACTGAATGGCAAAATTAAATGATTTCCTGCCAACTGGAAGAAACTGCACGTGGCAATAAGTAAACAAAACTGCCATGACACAATCAGGTGGAATCTTACTTGTTAGTGTTCTTTACAAGGACGTGAGAGCAGTTTCAACATAGACTGAAGAGTTACAATCAAACTGGAAACAATAACTGTGTTATTGCACCTTGACATGCTTGGGTGTTTCAGAGAGATTGAGCACATGTGACAGGTTTTTTTTGTGCACCTTAGAGGTTTAACGCCTCCACATTCCTGAGGCTGGGCTGGGAGAACATGGCGGCTCCTGCATCAGCCGGCTAACTAGACAGCTTTCCCAACATAACTACAGGCTTAGTCGCCCACACAGGAGCAAGTCGGGCTTTACATGCCTCATAGGGGCCAGTCTATAAGAGAGGCATGAGTCAGACTGGTTAACTCTCCTCTGACTATAGTATGTTCCTAATGAGATAACACCTTTATTCTTTTGATTTATCAGAGTAAGGTCCATTGTTACTGAACTAAGGCCAAATTAATCTAATGATGTCGCTATTAGACTCAAGTGAAGCGCATTATTGCTTGAATAGAAACATGTGGAGGTACTTGTGGACTATGGAGTTACAACACACGTTACGTTGTTACAATTTACGTTGTCATTATTGTAAAATCTATGCAGGGAAAACTTTTGACAACATCTGCTACCAGGCTTTATTTACCCACACTGGCAGGTAGAGTGTTTCTTTTAACTATAGACCTTAGAACTTGATGTAGAGAGCTCAAGTATGGTTGTGTCTAGAGATGTTCCAATACCAGCAAATGGAGATGCCTCCGATACTGCTGAAAATCAGTCGGGCATCGGCGAGTACACAAATCTACGTATAAATCCGATACCATATCTTGTGAGTAGTTTCACACAGGTAAAACTGCAATTTTCTTTTCCTGGAAGTCACTTCTTTGCTGCCAGCAAGTACAAATTTTAGAGTGGCAAAAAATTATTTCCAGTAGTGTTGCATTAGCCAGAGCTAGCTAATATGTCAGCAATTTGGTAATATTTCACACTGGAAAGTCCTACAAGTGAAACGGCCATGCTTGGTATTTGTCGACATGTTAAATCCAGTTATCGGAACTGGTATTGGGAAGTGAAAATTTATATTGGAACATCTTTAATTGTGTCTGTGTCTGATTGTGTGTGAGTGCTCCAGCTTTACCTGACATAGAGAGAGCGTTTCTCACTGGTGCGCAGGGAGCCTGATCCTGAGCTCATGCTGCTGTTCATCATCTGCTCCCTCAGGTCGTGGATCTTGGACTCAAAGCGACTATATTCTGCAAAGTATGAAACAATCCAAACAAGCTTAATCCATGGCACCACCAAAAATAGGTCCTTAGAATAGGAGAATACAGATTATACAGAATACACCATCCCTTCAGGCTTTCAGATTGATACACCAGAAGGTGTATCAAGCTCTTCTCTTATTTCTCTGGAAAACTGTTGGCAATCTGTGTCGTAGACTGTGCTGCAGTAAGTTAGAGTGAACAGAGGAAAGGTTCAGTGAATCCTAGGGCTGATTAATGACCTCAGGAACAGATGGTTTATCACAGATCTGCCTTACACATCAAGTAATGTCTCATGTCAGGTAATTAATTAAACAGATTAATTAGGTTCACATAGGCTCTTCGGTGTGGTTAATAAGAAGGAAAGAGCTCCAACAATTCCGAATACATGACCATTGTAAGTGTGTAAATCCAGTTTGCCGCTCAGCAGCACAGGGATGATGTTTGAATATACCTGGACGTCCTCATTAAGAATGCTCTCATTAGCCTGCTGTGCCCTGTGTGCTTTGTGCCCAGGCCAAGGGAACAAGCTAGGCCACCGCACCACACAGCACACGGCTAGATAAACAGAAGGGCAGATGCAGCTAGAAAAACAAGTAGGCTAGGTCGCTCATGTGACTACACAAAGGAGGCGCAAAAAAGGCTGCACTGTGAGGAACTCATTTTGTCATATATCTAAACATTTTGACTATTTAACACTATAAAGTGTTGTAAAAAAGGTAAGGGAATGGAGAATTAATAAGTGTTTATATCTCCGAGCTGTAGCATTGTTAGATGTATACAAAAAGCTAGCATTGCTTCACCAACAGCATTCAATTATGTTCACTATAATTCAAATAACAAAACATTTCTATGCTCCATTCAAAGAAAATGAAACAGAGATTATCATGCACATTTTTCCATTTATCTCCCTCCCTGCCGTGCCTGTAGGGGTTGACTCCTACCTTACAGTGTAATCATCCCTAGCTGGTTACACTTCATGTAACGTGAACAAGCGATCAAAGTCCAGATTGTGTCAAACAGGTCTACAAGTAGCCTCAGAAAACACCCATGACTACGAAGAGGTCTCATCCAAGTTAATCCAATCTCCAGGAAAATTCTGGGCAGGTGTAAAAACAAGCTTCAAGTTGCTGAACTCTTAACCCTTGCTCTGCTGCCGGCCAAAACCTAATGGGGATTCAAAGCAAAAACAGATCCTGCCGCAGGCCTAGTGACGGCTCTGCACCCTTTGCTCAGCTCAAAGGGTTAACAATACAACAGAGTGACGCTGCTAGGTGAGGTAACCAGACACCGCCTGACTGCCTGCTACCAAGAGCAACGCACTAGAAGCCCTGGACCGGTGACAGCGGTTGCGGAAACAACCATTCAGACTAGACCACTTGGCTCTCAGTTACAGAAGGGACAAGAGAATGGAGCAAAAGAAGAGGCCACTTTAGAGGGGAGGGGCCGAGGGACAAGACAATGAGATGCTAAACAGAGAGAGTAATCTTAGTGCCTTGCTTCGCAATACCACCAACCTGACAGACTGGCTGAGAGCAGTGCCTGTGAGACAATGGTTTGAGTAGCACAGGTACAGCTAAATGCTTTGCTTGTTCACATTCCTAACATCCAAACGAGTCATTTATATACTGTAGACATTCAAGAGGAGCAGGAAAGGCACGACAACGAGCTTTAAGACTGTTGTGAATGGAGTGGGGATCACAAGACAAAACCCAAATTGCTGCCACACCTTAATAATGATGGCATCAGAATACAAGAAAGTGTGCATTACAATAACCTATGTGTACAAGCAGTAGGCTATCTTCCAAAAAAAATAAAAAACGATCTTTATTAACAATTATTATCCACAATCTTTCACTAGTAAAAGCAGTCTATTATTTTAGTCTACTTCCACATTTAAAAACACAATGAGCTCTATTTTACAACCAAGCACAACACATGCATCTTTGCTAGTTAAAGATTGACACAGTTGTCATTTTGGAATGAGAACCCATGGGTGTGTTGGTCTTACAGGTATAGTCGGGTGCATTGTTGGCACATTTCTATCTTAAACTCAGTGCACTTTGACCGACAAAACCTGGTCTGAAATTAGTGGAGCTGTATTTCACTGTTAATCTAAGAGCTCACCATCAATATGGTAATTTGCACCTACAGAGGTGTTATTTTTCAAATGTCATGCTTGAAAGAGACCCCATAAGAGAGACATGTTATCAGCATAGCCATCAGTAGGTAAATCTTTCTATTGGTTTGAGAATGTAGCTGGGATCCGTGTCATACACCAAGTGTAAATGTCATAAGCTCCTTGATTCACTTGAAAAGTAGATCATGGATGTCTAAAATCAATCACAATATAAATTTGCCAGATCGTCCATCCCTTAGTATACGGCAAGTTCTGTAACCTAACAGGAAAACACAGTATAACCACTCACAAACACTGACCTATCTGCAGTATATGTGCTTTGTGTCCTGTATTCTAGTCAGATAGGCCACAGTTAAGGAAGTTTAAACCTGTTTCACCAAAAAGAAACAATACTCGGCTTTCACCAACCAGATGTCAAATGTAACACAGGAAATTCATATCAAGTCACAACCAAAGCAATGCCATTTAGTCCTGAACTCACCCACAGGTAGCATTTCAATTTAAATTGCCCTTAACTGATTCCTGGTAAGTTCATGATCAGTGAACAATCAATGGTTTCAGGATTTGAAAGTAGGGCACCCTTGAGGCCTAAGGGGTTGAGGTGCTGACAAGGAACCAAAATATCTCTGATCTACATGTGGCTTTTTATTTCCCATCTCTCTCTTCCTTTATTTGCTGTTACCTCTCCGCTGTCAGTTATCAAACAATGACACACAAAGCCTCACAATAAACATTTCTGAGAATCTGAGGTACAAATACCATGGTTTTACTTCTATGAATCTTTTTTCTATTTTTGCAGTGGGTATTATAGTCAGAAATTAACACCTGTACATTTTCTGAGTCCCTAAAATTAAAACGAGACAAATAAATCATAAATGTCATCACTCAAAAATGCTGCTCCCACTCATTCTTGAAAAAATGGCCAAACAAAACCGAAAAAGTAAAACATAATTCTGCAGATCTCACCATTCATATTGGATACGACACATATCTTGCAGGGGACTCAAATCTTTACGCTTCACTTTGTCTCAAGGACATAAAGCTGTAGCCTACAGCTTCTCTAAAGTCAGAAAAGGCTGGGCTACTTCTATCATCCAATGAAACAGTGTGTCTGGTTTTATTAAAGGGTTTAACCATATCTACCTGGTTGAGAATGAGACGTGTGCAATATTGATGAAAACATTGTTGACCAGCGCAGCTCTTTACAGTGATCAAATCAACATCAATTATTCTTAAATATGCCTATTAAGAAGCACACTAGTGAGAGATCACAATTATCAATATCCAATAAAGCAAGATTACAATTGTATTTTACTTTAAAATAGTAGATTCAAAATAACTTTGATGGTACACAGACTTGTAATAGGATGAATGGTGTCACTTTCATTCCCTGGAATCGTGAGGATATCCACTGTCCAACTGTCTTTCACTTTGGCGAATGGAACTATGCAGTTGCAAATCTTTTGTTTTCTTTCCATGTACTCTTAATCACTAGCATTGTGAGCCCAACAAAAATATTTCCACTGGTGGTAAGTCTTGCTTTAATACACAAGAGTGAGCCTATATTTTTAGGAGTGACCCACAGGAAGCACAGACAGCTAATAGAAACTGGGACTATTCTGTATCTCACTCCCACTGCGTGTCCTCATTAGTCATACAGCTTTTTTATTTTGGGGGACAGTGGCTTCTCTTTTGATCCAGTTATGCAACACAGCAGGCATGTACTTGTAATGTGAGAGTGTGTTATGTTGTCAGGAATAGTCGAGCCCATGAAAACATAGACCCCAATAATACACTGCAGGAGGAAAATGAAGACCCCGGTTTAACTACATCCACAAATCTCTTTAATGCACACTAATGTGAGTTTGATGAGGGTGCATGTTTAACATTTCCTCCACTGCCCTCCTCCCATTTCCTACATGCAAAGGCCTTGGTGTCATTACACCACTTGATAGTGGGGCAGGCCAGCATGTGGAAACACCCACCCCCACTGCCATTCCTTCGAACTGAATGAGAGACTTGGCGTAAAAGACTTGGTGATGCTCCAGCAGGCATCCTGCTGCAGCCTGTGTGCTCTGTTGCGGCTTTTTGTAGTCTTTAGTGCTGGCCCTCCATCAGAGGTCCCTGGACACCCGGGCCCCAGCCCCTGAGACGACCCTCTAGGCAGTTTGCCCAGCATAAACTAGCATTCACCCTCCACTTCCGCCACCTGAGCTGTCCTTGTACAGCTCACTGGTGGAACCTCCTGCTGATCTACTGATGACAGATCTCAGGTCGCCAGTGGGGATTCAGGAACTCAATCCCTTGCCAGTGCTCAACTTGTGTGTTTAGAGTAGTTACGCATTGTACACAAACAGATAAGTGTCCTTTGCTGGGTAACAAAGAGGGAGCAGAGCTGAAAGCATGATTTGGTATGGAACACACAAAGGTCCCCTTCAACTAAATTCATCATTATTCAACATGCTGCCCGAGTGGCCAGGCATGCCAGACAACATGAACTCACATAGACAAGAAGGAAGCATTGTAAACTGCATCTGGTAGCAAAGGGAAAAACTGCACTGCAATGTTGTCGGTCTTGATCTCAGCCTGTGTGCTCCTGTGGCTTAGCTGCGTGCCAGCTGATCCTCACCGACCCTGTTCCGTCTCACTTTCAATGACCTTGAATCGTTATTGGACATTTAAGTCGTGTGTCTTATTGAATGTGAAAACAATATAGAGTGTGAGCATGCTGCAACTTATGCCCCGGCACATTCCTGACATAGTCCGACCTGACAACTGAGCCTGGATCTAAAGCTTACAATATCCTTCCCATTGTTGTTGTAGCATTACCACAGCACGCTCAGGTACAAATGAACAGAACTGAGAAAATATGCTGCCGCCAAAGTGGCTGTGATGCCCAACAGAGTCATACTTCACTATAACAGAAAGACAGAGGTGCCATTATGTGAAATATACTGTAAAATTGAATTAAGACTTACAAGGCCAGGCCTCACACTAAATCTGGTTTAGTCTGCAGCGAACACACACATGTGGTAAGAGAGATGTATGTTTCAAGTGTGGTGTGGCAGTGACGCACAGGTGGAACTTAAAATGTTAAAGAGCTGACGTTCACTGTCGAAAGCACCAGGCTGACACACACCTGTTTGACCACACCTCTGTGTCCCCACCTAAAGCTTTAGGTTACATAAGAACAGACAGTGATTGTCCAACATGTCTGAATGAGTCCCGATGCAGATACAAAGCAACATGAGGCTCCTTCATTCAGATCTGTGTAGAAATGAAGAATCCGGGGCGTGAATTAGATATGAAACCAAACTCCTGTGGATCCAGGTAATGACTGGAGAGTACCACCGTGTTCATTACAGCAGGGGTGAGGCTAGCACATGTCTGCCAAGGTGTTCCCACGTCAAGGCAGCTTTTTAAAACACGTTTGAACTTACACTTGATTCTCGTGTTCTGGTACACGAGGGGAACATGGTTCTTCGTCCTGTAACTTCCCCGCTGTAGTAAAACTAGCTAAAAGGATAACCACCCCGCTACAGTCACAACAAACACTTTCTACAACGTCCCTCGGTCGTTTTCAGTGACTCATCGTTTCCCACAAACTTCCCTCCTCGCCTCACCTCACTGGAAAGAAGCTGTGGTTGTTATTTCGCTGTCGCAGCCGGTAGTTTCTTCACCCAGCCATTAGGAAGTTCATGCGGCTTCTGCTGTGCTGCTGCTGCGGTCTCCTCGAGCCCATCCCCCATCCATCCACACACAGACACACACACACACACACAAGTTTGTCGGTTTCGCTCTCAACGTCTTTCAAGGAAAAAAACTTCCGCAGTGGAAGTCGAGCTCGCACCTTCCCGCTTCAGTCACCTCTTCCCATCGCTGTCCGGCTCCGTGGAGCAGCTCCGGAGGGGACCGGGGAGTTTGACCGGGCTGGAGGGAGACGGCGGCGGTTAGTTTGCCCGCCTTCTTCCACTTTGACTGCTCTCTCTCCCTCTCCCTCTCTCTCTCTCCCTCTCCCTCTCTCTCTCTCCCTCTCTGGGCCTGCTGCTCCAAGCAAGAACCGCCCCTCAACCAAAACACTTCCGCACACCAGCAGCCAATCAGAGGCCGTAATACAGATCGTTTCCCTCGTTCGCGGCCGGAGCCTGTCACGCACCCGCAGGTACACCGAGGTGGAAATTCGTGGTTTCAGAGCGACTTCATAAAACTGTGAAAATCCAACAGTGACCCAACAATGAAGTGATCACACTCACATTCTTACATCTGCTGTTCCATCATTTTACAGGCTATGCTAGTCTAATGCACAACTTTGTGTAGCTTCAGGTATTTATCTTGAAATCTGTATTTATATTTGGTTTAGTTACTTGTGTCTTTCAATCACCTTATACTTACAATATTTGTACTATCAATATCTCCATTAGCACATACTTCTTTACAGTGACAGCTTTGTAGTATTTCTGGTGGCCAGACTTTCATCTCACGGCAGTGTATTTATTCTTTAATGCCCTTGTGTTCGACTGTTTTGTGTGCAACTGGAGGGCTTAATTTCCCTCAGGATCAATAAAGTATCTATCTATCCATCCATCCATCTGTAAGTATTGTCTTTTCATACACAGCCTGGTATTCTATAAATTATTCATGTGCACCATGCAACTCAGCAGTTGTCCATAAACAAATCAAAGTCCCCCTCCAGTGAAAATCAAGTTTTTACCATGTCCACCTTTACCATATGTAGAAGTATTTCATCCCTAAGGGCATGGGCACATGAGAGCGAAGCGAATATCGCAGGTCAAAATTCACAAAAGATGAACACCACATTGAAGCCACATTGCGATTTGCTCACCACAGAATGCAAATGTCGTATTCACCCTTTCGCACATCAGATCGGAAGTGAACGTGAGGCAAAGGTTCGTAGATTCATGTATGTGTGACCGAGCCGTAACTCTGCAGTGAAAAAATGCAAGTCTATCAAAAAAAGGACTAAATCAGCTAAGGTTTGTGATGTCACAACCTTAAGAAAACAATCCTGTCAACTTGTGGAAGTTAATATTTTCCATTTAAATCAAACCTTTAATTTGAACATGATGCTCTAGTTTATGAGTTATACATTTGTCTATAAAAGCTTCCCACAAAGCCTCAAATTTAATATTAGATATTAGATAAAATGTTTTAAGATCCATCCTGTCCACTCCTGTGTGATTTGAGACTGTGGGGCCATTACCTTCAGGCCTGTACTGAGCAATGATGGTGACAGTCTGTCCGGCTCTCTTCAGTGCTGCAGCCGCCTGCTCATGTGTGGCATTCCTTAGGTTCACTCCATTCACCTGCAACAAAACAGAAACTTAGCAAGAAAAGTTTCAGTGATGCAAAGGTGTGCCACTTCTTGAGAGTTTTGGAGGAAACAAATTCAGCTCGATGGACCAAAGATTATCCTCAGACTGGATGGCTTCAGTTCAGCCTGTGGAGATAAGATCTGCCCTCAGCATATGAGGATATAACATTAATTATGACTAAATAAGAACCTTTTACACCTTGATAGAACATTATTTTTATATGATGTGTAAAAACAGGGATATTTAGGGCAACATTTGAGTCTGAAAAGAATAAGGGTTATGAAATACAATTCAAGGAATTTAAACATGTAATTTATTGGATATTGATTTACAAAATTCCCATGTCTGGCAGATCTCTCCTAAGCATTCTATGAGTTATTGTGAAATGAATATCTTGGACATTTCACCAGGGCAGATGTTTGCTGGCTCCCTAAACACCGAACCATCTTTATGCTATCGTCATTACTCTGACAGCAGGAGTTGACTGAAAATCTTCCAGAAATGTTGTTGATGTGGATAAAAAAAGAAAACACCTGAGGTTGAGATACTGACCGACAGAATCCGGTCGCCCCTCCTCAGCTCGCCACTCAGATCAGCTGGCCCTCCTGCAAGGATGAAGGAGACAAAGATGCCTTCTCCATCCTCCCCACCGACGATGTTGAAACCCAGGCCTGTGGAGCCTTTGTGCAGCAACACCTTCCTTGGCTCCCTGCCAAACAGAGTGACACGTTGAAGGTCAGGGCAGAGAACCAAGAAGAGATAAGTAGAAAGAGATGAAAAATATAGATGAAATAGACAGAGTGCAAACCAAGAGGTAAACAGAGGCTGTATCCCACAACAGCCATTCTAATGGTTTACAATGTGTATGATCCCAAAACATTGAGCGCACTGAATATAGGCAGCTACAGGCAGGCCTACAGATTAAAGAACCATGATACTCGATCACCAACAGGTGTAGTCTGCAGCTCTCTTACTTTACCAATGTATCAAACTCATTTTCATTCCACAATCCAAACTCTAACACACACAAATCACCAAATTAACTAACTATTTAAAGGAGACATTTTATGCTCATATCCAGGTTCATGATTTTAATTTGGGATCTTACTTGAAAAGTTTTACATGCTCTAATGTTCAGAAAACACATAAGCTGCTGCAGCTCTTCCTTTAAGCCTCTGTCTGAAACACTTGGTTTTAGTGCCTGTCTCTTTAAGACCCGCCTCCAGATAAAGCCCAGTCTGCTCTGATTGACTGGCTGGTCCACTCTAATGTGACTGATCAAGTGCATCTCGGAAATGATGGCCTCCACTCTCGCTTTACCTGGCTTTGTTCGGGGATGTGTCAGAATAGCCACTGGGTGTATACAAAGGTGGGGCATTGTGATGTTTAAAGATATCACATGTGACACCACAATGTCATATGACATCACAATAATGTTAAAGTATCGGTCAGACTGACAAGGCATTTCTGGAGCTTGGTGTTTTCTATGAGAGAGAAGTGCTCCCTTCACTGCCTACTTTGGGCCTTTTTACTTGCAGACATTTTACATATATAAAAAAACCTATTACACACTAGATGGAAGAACGGAAAAAGCATCATGTGTCTCCTTTAAAGTTAGGACAAAGGGTAACTATGACTCCAATCATGATAGAGTTAGATAAAGCTATGCTAGTTTAATTAGCTCAAGATGGACATGAGGACAGTAATAAAACAAGGTCTGAAGTGATATCATTACACTCCTACTCAGTCAACTATTCACTATACGCCAGTAGAAACAATGATTAACCACAAAACAATCATGCTGTAATCATGTTGCTAATAAAGATAATTTGGATTTCTTTTGATTACCACAGTGCACTCATTAATATGTGAGCTATGGCCCAAGCCGCCACACGTCTGGATCCAAATGCTGGTCATCAACAGACTGTAGCACTTTCTGCCAATGCATGTCAGTCTCATTGCAATGTACACACTTAAAACACCCACTCGTAATAATGTGCACAGAAACAATGAGCTGCCTTCTGCTTGACAGACTCGCTGAAGCTCTGCTTTAGCTTTAGCCACCATGACTCATCCTCCAGCAGGGTAATCAGACTGCCTCAGCTTTAAGATGCTAGAGAGGCTAAACCGCTGCTATGGTCCAGCAAAAACCCACTGGGAACACACTTCATTGGAGTGCAAATACACACACCATAGGAAGCTCAACCCCCCCACCGCCGCCACCACACACACACACACACGTGCGCGCACACACACAACACACACACACACACACACAGTTAATATACAAACACACACATAAGCTTAAACACAAGCATGTGCACACGCATTAAACACACGGTTTCTTTTCTAAACAGAAAACACTGCATGGTTTCCATTAGTGGTCTACTCTTGCAGTACTCAGCCTGCGGTCTCCAGGAACAATTCCTACTCAATCCCTAATGGCTGAGCTCGAACTTGCTGTTAAGACAATTTCCCCAACAATGGCAGCTGGGGCAGCATTCCAAACATTGAGAATCATACCCAGAACTGACTGGAAAAAGTCCTGATGACTGCATTAAAAGAGATGAGGAGCAAATGGAAAAATCCTAAATGGTAAAACAGTGCCTTCAGAAAGTCTAACCAGACTGTTAAAGTGCACTCATTTGTAATTAACTGTACTTAGATGCAGAGTTTTTGCAAGACCATAAAATAAGATGCATGAGTAGCGACTCTGGGTCTGCAGGATTCCTTACATGAACCCTTATATTTGTACAAAACAGAATCAGGGACATTTGACGAGGCTTAAAACATTTGATGCATTATGTTCTTGCTTTTTTCTACAACCTTTAAGATATTTTAGCACCAGATATTAAAAAATGACAAGCAGCAACTGTCTTTATGCTACAACAACTGACTTGCTTTCAAACAAGCCAAGCTTAAAATAACTTTGCTTTCCATCTGGAGCTTTTCATCCCAGCTCGACAAGGCACACAGATCTCCATGGTTACCTTAGGATCCGGATCCGGTGCTTGCTTCTGAAAGAGCATTTCCTAACTGTGCGTTCAGGCAGGCTCCTCACCAGCGACATGGAAGATGAGATGTTGACCGTGAACATGGTGGCTATGGCACCTCACCTCTTACTCCACAACCCCTCTGCCTATCTGGCCTTCCCCTGAGAGAGGAGTGACAATTTTAGAAGCTCCTGTGGGGGCCTGATGTTCCCTATCTCATCCTTGTGTGCTGGGAAACAGCTCCTCTTCGGGCTGTCAAAAACACTCTGTCCCAATATTCGCCTGCAAGCCAAGTCTTAACTTTTAACCCTACCGCTTCCAGGAAAACCATCTTTGTTCCATTCTGCAGGAGGAAACCAAAAACTCCCCTGACTCACATCTGGAATAGCCAGGACTGCTTTACATCCAGAGCGTCGGGACTCAGGTGTGCATCCACCTTTGGTTGCCTTTCACAATCTGCTCTCCCCTAAACTTTGCTCGGATGCTGCTCTGGGTCCAGCCCCCCCCTTGAGTACAGCACAACAGTATTTCTGTCTGTTAGCCTGGCCCTCCGGAGACGAGGCAGACAAACTCTTGCTAATTTGTGTGAGTGTAATTTGTACAAGCGGACTTTCACAAGTCTCAGGCCTTTGATTTGAAGACCCCAAAAAGTGATCTGGTTGCACGGGGGACAATGAGTGACTTATTTGGAATATCTAAACACTTCAGTCCAGAGTCTTTTTGTTATCTTGCAGTCCTTCTCCCCATAGGCAGCATGCACGTGTGTTCCTGCATGCAGCGCTGGTCTGTGTGATGTGTATCACCAGGACATTTTCATGGAAAGTGGGAGTGAATTCCTACTCTTTAAAAATGCAGCTATCAAGTCCTCCCTCCCTATCACAAGACCTCCCTCCCCTCCCCTCCCTTCCCCCCTTTGCCTTTTCATCCATGCTAGGAATGTAAACAGTTATAGGGCGGTAAAAAGCCTTTCTCTCTGCCCAGCCATTTCTCCTGCGACTCTTTTCTCTAATTCAAATCCCACCACTGTACCCTGTGTGTCTCAGTGTTTTGAACTGAGGCGGTTGCAGCTCAGTCCTAAAGCAGTGAATAGATATCTGGGCTGCGGGGTTCAGTGGGTCATGCTGCCCTGGAGTCAGCCCAGTAATTGGCTCTGCTTGGCTGATTAATGGTGGACACTGCAGATGGACGCCATTTTCCACAGACAGACACTGCCTCTCACAGCACTTTACCACTCCCTCTCCCCGAGTGGATCACGTCAGCTTATGGAACGATAAACATACAGATAAAATGAAAAAGCTGCTTTTTTTCAGCCATAGATTTTCATTGTCATTCTCTCTCCTTTTAATGCACCAGAATTTTCCTCTAATTTCACAAAAGGAAAATGTATTCACTGCTAAGGTGATAGACAGTTAAAAATGTTTCGTGCCTCTCAGAATAAAATTGGAGCGATGAATGATTAACACCTAAGACGAGTACTCTGCTGAATCTGCTGTGATTATTTGTATTTTAAACTCCACTTTGTGCCTTTGCAGCTTTTAGAAATGCCGTCCAAAGGTCATAGCGCCGCTCGCAATTGATGACTGAATTCTTGTGCTAACCCAGTCAAAGGTTTTGTGTTCGTGCGTGAGACACATAAAGTTACTGATTAGCTCACTTGCTGCTGCTGTCCTCCAGCTTCTGTATTTACACAAGCTGTTGCTGAACAAAGTGGCCTAACTACAAGCATTGTTGTGTATATAACAACTACAGCCATGACGAGCTAAGGAGAGACACTTGTTTAGTGATTGTGCATGTATGTTTACACTAAACATGCATATTTTATCCAAGAGGTTTGATCTGTTATCAAGTCCAGTTTTGAAAGAAACACAGAGGGAGCTGTGTACAGTACTGACATACCTCCAGGAAGGGGGTAATATCAGATGGAGAAAGGGAGGGTGTCTATGATGACACCACTGAGGGGGATGTGCAGATGGGCAGAGGGCGATACAAGCTCTGACTCATTCCTCACCACCAGCCTGCTCCACTTCTGCTTACTATAGAATCCATCTAAAATAACCCCTCCTGGTCGGAGCCAATGGCGAAGCTGCTAGGGCCAAAGGGAGGTGTCTTCCATCTGCCTGTCAGACTGATGGAGTCGGATGCTCATCTGCCATGACTGGGATCAAGTTGGTTGTCGAACATGATGTCGAAAACCATGCCACTCTTTTTCTGATTCCACAGCAGACATGACACACAGACCCACCACGGGCGACCAGGTGCGTGCATGGTCATGCACCTGTGACCTGTAGTCTGATGCACAGAATGTTTACGTGTGTCCATGTCACAATTGCACATTGCACTTGAAGCTGAAGCATCTGCGTGCGGGCTCGTGTGTGCCAGCACATTATGAGCAAATGTCTGAGTGTACAGTGCGTGTGTGTGATTGGTGCTGGCAACATGGGGGTGTGAGAGGGGTAAGACCTAAAAGCATGGCCTGGTTTTCTCAGCATGCAGATGAATCATGACAGCTGCAGGACTGTCTGCTGCTACTGCTCTCCTGGCCCGCACCGGATCAGACTCTTACTCCCCATTATATTTATGGTAACAGCAACGCTCAGTGTTTATATTTACATACACAGAGCAGCAGGCAAAATAGTCCAACGCTGCAAAGCAGAATATTTGTGTTGGGTGGCTCCCATAATCCTTCCCATCCTCCTGTACAGTCGTTTTTTCTAAACACCACAATCTGCCTTAATTTACAGCCAAACGGGAAGACCAGATTCTCTGCTCTTCTCTCGTCTTTCTTACACACATCTAAACACACTCACACACGTAGAAAAAAGAACATACGGGCATCTGTGTGACATTTATGCTACACAAAAAAAGAAAACATGTACCACAAACACATTACATGAAAGCAAGGGTTGACAGAAAAATTGGGGTATTTAGCCATGATATATTGCATGAAGGATAAGATTGGGATTTAATGTAAATAAATATTAAAAAACAGGGGCTATTTTGCACAGTTGGCAATGCCTAACAGTGAAACCACAAACCACAAGCACTGCCATAAATATCAGGTATATTATTGTCTTCAGCACTAACCATCAGTGAAAGTAACTTGGCGCAAGATAGAGGCTTAGTTTTATCTGAGCATCCTGACAGATGGAATTGAGCAGCTTGTGGGAGCGTGAAGCCCTTTCGGCTGCACTCCTGTGGAGATGTGTTTGTGAAGAGCAGGTACGACTCCATTTTAAACTGTGAAGAACAGGCCACTATTGTTTGAGCTTAATAGATGTGAGCAGAGTAGTAGAAAATTAAAGGAAAAGCAATGGCTACTGGTAGGTCATTTAAAATGTGAAAAGTAGCAGTAGTAGTGTATGTGTAATAAAACACACCCACAAAGGGCAAGAAAAAATCCGCTCGTTGTTTTTTTCATTTCTGCTGCACAGTTTATTTGCTGTTGTTGTTACAATTTTACTTGTGAAGTCGTGAAAGAAGCAGAAGCTGCATATGCGTTGGATACTGGGTATGTCATACAAACAGTAAAGCAGCCACACACTTTAAGCACAAGCAAATAAAAGCAGTAAATAGACATGAGGTGGAGGAAACATTTAGATGCAAACATACAGACAGAAAGAGACAGAAATATTAAAAGAGTTAAAAGGAAGCCCTACTTAAAAATGAACAAATATATCAACCCACCACCCCTCTCTGTGCCTTTCCTTTCCTTTAACCTTAAATATCCATTGCTCATCTCCATCTGTTTCCTTTTGTGTGATTTATGTGTCAATGTGTAAACAAACTTCTGGTGAAGGGAGGTGGACTCTGTCCCTGTCTGGTCCTACTGCTGTCTGCTGCCAGATCAAAATGCTGAGCTAGAGTGGAGGGTTAGCTAAGCAAGGCGTGATGGACTAGGTTAGTACCTGCCAGAGAAGGGGAGTGGACCTTGGCACAAGGGAGCAGGGGAAGGACAGAAGCCTCTGTAGAGGGCCAGGGGCCCCTTGCTGTCCCCAGGTTTGTGGATGACACTGTAAATAGGCTCAGCCCTGCTGTGGGGTACAGGAATCACAGTGAACGGGACAAGTGTAGGACACATATAAAGCACACATACCAACAAAGATGCAACAAATGCACATACAAGTCATGTAGACAGCTTGGACAAGGACATTACAGAACCACACAGCTAATACTCATACAGTCACATCATTCACTCCACACAGACATGAATAAGTGCCTGCATGCCGCCACACACAGAGAGAATCCAGCCGCCTCCCGGAAATGTGGGCTAAGATGACCTAAGGCCTCGTGGGACACTCCAATCAAGCTCCTATGAATGCTACTTGTGATCCAGTACTTGGATACAAGGTCAGAGGTTAAATCTCAGTCATAACAAGTACAAGAAGTGACAAGAGGCCTCTCTCAGCACACAGCCACCACACACTACTCAGCTAGTACGCAGCACCATGACCCTGATGAGATGAAATGTGTAAACTAAGCATTTGTTCCACTTCATCAAATGCAAATATGTGCACAGATCATCAAAGGAACCATGAAGACACCAAAATAACAAAATGGAAGCGGCGAGAAACAAAAGGAAACTTATGAAAACTTAAAATTCATGTTTTAAAAACCAATGTAGCCCCATACAACTGTGCGCTACATGTTTCCTTCACAACAAATTCACCAGCAAATACCAAAAAGGCTTTTAGCTGATCTCCAGAGGGAAACCATGTGCTGGGATTTTGTTAAATCTGCATTCATAGAGGCTGTATGACAAATGGAAAGAGAATAATTTATGGAGGAACTGTGATCTACCTTGTGAAATCTTCCTCCCCGAGCATGTGGCGGGGAACTGGCGAATACCTGGACGGGGTAACCTGGGGCGGCGGGTACACAGGCTTAGGCTCCATTGCCCCCATGTAGTTGTGGCTGACGTGGTTGTCCACCATGGTGGGGAAGGCTGGAGGGAGGGCCAGGCCAGTAGGGGGAAAGAGAGAATGATTACCACACGGGTGCATCAGGACAACTTCAACAGCTCAGTAAAAAATAAGGTCAGTTTACCACTTCCATCCAGACACAAACCAGAGGGTCATAAAGGCCTCAAACACTGATGACATCCCTTTAAGCTTTTTGTAGTCAATTGTGCAAATGTTAGCATAATAACATGTTCAAACCAAGATGTTACATTATTCCTGCTTAACATCAGCACGTTAGCATGTTAACATGAGCATTTAGCTTAAAGTACAACTGTGGCTCAGAGTCACTATAGCGGCTTGAGCCTTTGTCAGAGTATCACATCCAACCATGGACTGGAGATAAAGATAGTCTATAGAGGCTATATAAATATCTTTACATCAAGATATGTGTCCAACATTTTGATAATATTATACGAAAATTCCAGTTTGTAAAAACTTGGATGTTATTCTTGAAGTTTTAGGCTTTATTGCTCTTATAGCTCAGTTGCCAACATGGTTGTTGAGATGTGGGAATACAGCACAAAACAGCAATATTCCTTTAGCGCACAGGCAAACTGTAGGAACACAACTGTGGTATGTATTTAAGTCCAAGCTGAACCCAAGAAGTCTAAGTTTGCCTGACCTGTGAGTTTTTTAAACAATTTTTAATTTTCTGATCATCTGACTACTTTTTATGTATTTGGTTTGCCAGATCTTAGCAATCTACCTGGTGAGGATGGTATTATTATTATTAACAAAAAATCTGAATTAAGAAGAAAATGTTCCCTCTGAATTTCCATTCTTGATGAAGGCAGCTAAGCATGATAAAACAGGGTCTCCTGTCTGGATCATCTGACCACAGGTTGCACTGTCAGAGCTAACGGAGTTAAGTCTGCATTAAGGGCTTGTTTTAAGCTCAGACAACTGCAAACATTCAGAATGTACAAAGAGCCCTCAGTAGCCCCCTCTGATACTAAATCACTGTTGTGTGGAAATTGGAGATGCTGCAGCTCAAGATCGTGGGCTCTCATGAGCAGGTGGGATGTGAGAAAACGTCCACACTCAGTGGGAGGCAGAGAACTGCGCTTCTTGTTGTTGTGGGAAGGATCATGCGTGTGTGTTTGTATGTGTGTGTGGACAAAAAGTCACTATATTCACTATGTGGGTGTCTGAGCATAGCAGTTTTGGGGAGAGAACAGTGATCCAACAAAAAAATGTATGTAGGCCAGCTGGAAAAATCTCTGATGAAGAAAAATCTGAAGGACCTTGACTTAAAAATCACTCTTTAGTTTACGTCAAACATTTTATATAAGTAAACCTGTTGTAGTTATCTGGCTACTGACTATGTATTTGTGAATGTAAATTTTGATCTCTGACTCGGACGGTGTATAAATAGAATTAGCCTTGCAACAACAAGATGAGATAGATACGTACTGCTGGAGTAGTCTGGTGGGGCGTACATGTCGTTGAGATGCACAGGGCCCGGCTTGGCCACCTTGAGGTAAACCATATCAGAGGTGTTCTTCAGGGCAGCCACGGCTTCCTCATGACGCACATCCTGCAGCACGATGTTGTTCACCTGAATGCGAGGATTGTCGAGAAAAGAGAGGGAGTGTTAAGGAAAAAAAAATTACTGTAACAACACCTGAACATCTCGTGTCTTGGCTGCATTGTGACAACATCACGCATCACGCCATCCATCACATCAGCCAACACAATAATGAATCATAGCTCAGAGGTATTGGAAAAAAATTGTACATTTCAACGACAGAGTGAAAGGTTGGTGTGTTGTGCGGCATGAACAGAGGTCAATAGCTGTAGACAGAGGTTTTAAAGATGCTCTACAGATGTCTTAAGATTATTTCCTGGAAACGTGCTGTCAGTCAAAACTTTTTTAACACCTCATATTTTAGCAGTTTTTCTTTAACCAGAAGCAAACAGCTCACTGCACTGTCGATAACACGTTAGAGTACAAGGAACAGGTACAGTACACTATATGTGAAATTAAGTGTGGAAAACTTTAAATAGCATGGGTCAGTTGCAGTGGATAACACACTACACTGTATATCTGTGCCGCAATTGATGTTGTCTGGATGTTGCCAACATGTCTGCCAAACAGCTCTCAAGCAGAGCTAGATATCGTTTCATGTAAGGTAGAGGACTAAAATCTTTCCTTTGGCAAAAATGTTTAACACAACTTTTTATATTTCAAGTGAGTTCCTACAGTGACAGCTGATATTGGTGTGCATTAGCTGTCAATGGTAAATGATGACTTAATTTGTTCTTAACTCAAATCAAGTGGACTAGAGCGGTCGATCCTGTATAAAACAAGTTGAAGACATGTAGCATGATGGCTTTTAGTGATACAGGCTGAAGCTGGTGAACGGAAACATGTGATTTCCGCAGTGATATGAATACGTTATGTCCTACATGCTCCACCAAGACGTCATCCCTCACATGAACGTTACAGACATTTTCGTGTTGTCCCCCTGTTGTCCCCCTGTTGTCCCCCTGCCACTCTCATATTGAGCGGATGGGCCTTTTTATTAGCCCATGCCATGGGACAATAAATTATCGATCATGCACAAAGTCATAAACGCTGATGTGTGCTGCATGTCTCACTTAGCTTAAAATGACAGAGCAACCAACCAGATAATGCAGTGTAGTTAACATGTCCCATAAACAGTCAGTCATCTACAGAAAGCAAATACTGTACCTGCCCGACAACAGCAATACAATGTTTGTAACCAGTCCTGACATTTTTTTTTTAAATTTGCCAGTGAACTAATTAAACCTAAAATGAGTTCAGTTTGATGTGAACACTCGATATGTGACAGAGTCAGAGGAAGGGTCAGACTCATACAGCTAGCAGGCGGTCTCCAGTCTGCAGCCGTCCATCTTTTTGCGCAGCTCCTCCCTCTATGATCTTGGTAATATAGATGCTGTTGTCTCCTGGGATATGCTGGTTCCCAATGCCTCCAGCGATACTGAATCCCAGCCCTGGTGGAGAAATACACACAATCAGAAAGTCAAGACATGTGAACACAATGACCTTCGGTTTTTATGTTTTAGATGTACTCTATGTCTGCGTATGCAGCCTCTCAACTGAATAATCACATCTTAGTCAATACTATGTTAAAAGTCTTTATTTAAGTACACTTTTTCAAAATTGAATGCTCGTATTTATGTCTGAAAACATTTCTTAACCTAAAAAAAATTGTTGTCATTCAGTATTCTACGTATTTCCTAAAAGGATGTATGCAAATTAACTTTTACATTTCTCTCTCTCTTCTCTGAGTGTGTGTTGTGTTGTCTCTGACCTTTGGGCCCTTTCAGCAAGTTGACTTCCAAAATCGTCTCGGGTGGCGCCTGCCTCCGTCGAACCAGCAGCCGCACAACCGGCCCTGCCTCCTTCAGTGCCTCCACCGCCCGACTGTGAACCACCTCAGACACGTCCACGTCATTCACACGCAGCACGCAGTCATTTACCCTGTGGAGGGAAACCTTTTAATATATACTGTCTGTCGCACACACATCAGCTTGTCAGTCAACAGCAAAAGAGTTTCTTAGCTGCACAAAGGCAGGGAGGGACCCTACCATGGCCAATGTAATCAGAAACCCCCAAAGCATATGAAAAAAGATCTCCATATCATAATTTTTTGCATGTTTCAGGCTTTGGTTTTCCAGTGAATCATAAATCTGAGGAACCACACAGAGCCAGGGTGCAGAGGGCTGTAGAAACTCTGCCTCCCACACAGCACTGCCTGGCGGGACACAGTGGTAGTGAGCATTAAAGACGAGAGAGGGGAAGTTAGGGAAGTTAGGGAAGAGAGGAAAGAGCTTGGGTAGAGTAGATGGAAAGAATGAGGTGAGGAGGAGAAGGAGGAGGAGGATTAGGGTAACACGGTGAGAATGGGAACTTACCCCAGTCGTCCATCCATAGCAGCAGCTCCTCCGGGGATAATCTTGGTGATGAAGATTCCTGGATCATCAGGAATGTGGGGATTGTCTATTCCTCCAGCAATGCTAAAGCCCAGGCCAGAGTTCCCCTGCACACACATTATGATTGACACTTTCAATAAGGAATAAAAAACAACAACAACACACACATTTACATGTGCCCAATGTGGACTCAAGGTCAGAACAATATGGTTCTTAAGTGTATTGGTATCTCAGAGGAAAACATGATCGATGCAGACCGCTGCAGGGATTTCTACAGGCGTTTCTGATGTTCATCTTTGTCGACACGCATGTGTGTGTGTGTCCTTGCATGTGACAAAAGATAATGCCATGCACTCCATTAGAGGAGGGCACTTCATTCAAAATGTCATGCTCATTCCATCAACCTACAGAGAGGCATCAGTGTTAGAGACGTTAACAGAGAAGTGGATTTATGATCTAAGGTAGAGATGACCCAAGAAGCATCATTTCTATTGCATGATACAGAGCCTCTCGCTCTCTGCAGGAGACGGGCACTACCACCTCCCTGTGTTCCTGTTCCTGGAACGACAGAGGACCCATTTGGATCCAGCGGGTCCAGGCACACTGCTGCATGTGACAGCCGTGGCCAGAGACAGGCAGCAAACAAGACAGCTGAGAAAAGACTTCACTTTATTATTTTCTATAATTAATGAGAAACAGTCGAAACAAATTAGGACAGAGGGAGGCTGAGGTCTCCCAGTGTGCTGCTCTGCAGCTGAGTTGAGTACACTGGGCCTTACCACCAAATGTTCCACACCCACAGACCTTTTAAAGTGTGACTTTGCATAGTTTATTCAAGCCCTCTGCATGCGGAGATGCCACTTAGAGTGTGAGGGGCAGAAAGATACTGTGCATTTATCAAGGGGTCGGAGGTGCATTTATATGTGGGTGGAATAATGAGAGAAGAGACATATAGCTCTGCCACTACAAGCTGAAACACAGCTGACAAGTGTAGTGGTGCCTGCTGAACAATTGAACAGGAGTGCACTTTATATTTCTGGCGTCTGCTGACGACATGTGCATCAGGATTATGTAAAAAGAGACTCCTTATCTGTCTTATTCTGTCCTTATACTCGGATGACATCACATAAAAGACTTGTGTCTTGCTGCGGTGATTTAACAGTCATAACCTCAATAACAAAACTCATATCACATAATATTTTCCTATATTATATTAGAGATTTCTTCATTTTTCTTTAGGCTCAATGACTGTTTACTACCACCTAGTGGAGAGAAATCTACCCATCATGCAGAAAATACATTATAAAATGAAAAAAGATAACAAGCAACTCACCCTCTCTAAAATGATCTCTTCGTATTTATACATCCCATCACTGCCATTTACCTGTCAAAAGAAAAAAAACAGAATGGTTGGTTACATCACTGAGCCTGAATCATGTCATTTTCTAAAAATACATTGAGCAAAAAAGAGAAGCAATTTTTTAGTTAAATCGAAAACATATGAGACACAAGAGACACAAGCACAGACTGAAGACAGAGAACCATGAATATTATCATTGATAAAATATGCACAACATGCATTCCCCTGATTGTTTTATTAATTAAAAACACCACTATGGATTTCTGTTTTTTTGTAATCCAAAGCATCGTGCTTTTCGTAAAATGCACATGCACTGTGACACTGAATGTGCTGCTGCAGAAGGCACATTCCCAACAAACGGGCAGGGTCAGTGGGATAATGGATGTTGGTCCACATGGCAAACCAAATGTTGCTAACAGGAGGAGGCCTTATCATCCGCACATGTAAACACGCTCATGCTCCGACACGGAGGGAGTGTGAATGAGAGACATGTATACTGCACAGAGAGAGAGAGAGAGAGAGACAGAACAGATACTTACATAAGGGCCTGCATCTAGTGAGTCTGCGTTGACGATGATGGGGGGAGGGTTGGCCTGTGAATATGAACAGATACACATTATCTCAGTGAGTGTGTGTGTGTGTGTGTGAGGCTGGCAGCATGCAGACATAATGCGGTACGCACACTGCCACTTGGGAGCAAAGTGAACGGATGCCACGGGAACAGTCAGTGAGTCCCCTTGGGGCTGAGGCTGTGTGTGTGTGTTTGTGTGTGTGTGTGTGTGTGTGTGTGTGTTTGTGTGTGTGTGTGTGGTAAAGGTGTGAGGACTGACAATGAGGACTGGGGCAGAGAGACCGCTGCTTATTAACCGCCTCAGCCAGACGTTCCACAGTTACCTCATAAAAACAAACTGGCTCGTGTTCTAGCTGTTGGGACAATACGTCTCATCCCACATCAGCTCTTCATTTTCACTTTCACACACACAGATATAACACTGTGTAATGTCACATTCAGTGTGCAAGAGGTTACTGTTCAGTGACCATTCAGTTGATACTGCAACACGACATTTGCTTATTTGTATACATCATTCTAGGTTTGTGTTATTGGAAGTGAAACAAGCGGATTGATCAGTTAGACAACTGATTGTTCAGTTATTCAGCATCAGTTTGAATAATAAAGAGAAAATACCAACATGAGCTCATTTCTTAAATGCAAGGCTTTTCTATAGACTGAATAATCTTTCAGTATTGGTTATACATGTTTATAAGATGTCACTTTGGATTTTAGGACATTTTTTATGGGACTATTTTACTGTTTACTGATATCATGCAGGTTGTTTGATTATTTAAATAATAAAAAATTAATAGTGTGCTAAATGTGTGCTTCATCAGGAAGTACTGTTTTATTCTGGTAATAGTTATGATGATAATTTAATTGTTGTTTTCCATTTCATTTCAAAAGGAAAAAAATAATATTAGATATTGTGAGTGTTCACAACTTTTATTCTTTTTGATCATATTCTTAAGATAAGGACTTTGTCCATTTTTTTATTTATTGTAAAAAACACTCACCATTTCAAATGATAATGTTTGTTTAATGTTTTCTGTGAATTCTGAAACATTAGAAAAACATATGACTTTAAGAGTAAAAGTCAACTGAAAATATAATGTATAATTAACATGGTTTCTGTTGAGACTTTTCTTGATCCTGGATAGTTTTTAATGTTTCCCTCTGAGACGTGAACACTGCTTTCATGGAAACACTGACACTTCTCCTCCAGTGTTTGTTCCAAGGGTCAAATGTTAAACGCAGACTAACTACTGGCAACACTGACGCTTAGTTTCAGTATCAGTTGAACCAAACCCAAGTTTCACAGTTCAACTCTTCAGCTCGACTCTATTATGCCACCTGGTGTTTCTTTTCTCACTTCAGAGCAGCTGTGAGCTGAGGCCAGAGGAGATTTGTCCGAGTGGAACGTGTGAAGGAGGAGAAGCTGGTTGGTTTTGGAGCAGCTCGACTGGCTGTCTACTTTTTTATTGATTTGACTATGTTGCCCCCTCCCCTCCCCTCACCCATTCATCCTCTCACCTCTGGTTTAATACATGTGGATATTTTTAGATTAAGTATTTAAATGTTAGAAAATTAAGGCTGATTCACATTACAAATTTGTTTCACAGACTCCAGTAGTGAGCCCCACTTATATTGTTATGTGTTGGTATTGATTTTTTTTTACATATAATATTTCCTGAGTTTTTCTATACACCCCTGTGATCCTTTTTAATCAATTATTATCAACTATTTTTCTTACAGGCATGTACTTCATAGAGAGCGATATAGATGAAATCCTCTTTCAAAGTAAATGTAATTTTATATATGAAACAATATACATACTAGATATAAGTAGATTGTTTACTGTATCAACTTAAAATATAAATTTTTTTACTTTACTTTACTCACATTGATCATATACAAATCAGACGTTGGCATAAGCAGCTTTTTGCAAAATTACTCAAACATACAGAAATATATTCAAGGGATATATAACATCACATGATTTTATACATCATCATATCTTATATAATGAGAAAATTATAGTCAACTACTCCTCTGATCTATGTAGCCTGCTATCAATTTTATATCCTAGTCTTTTTGCATTGCTATTACTGTATACTGCTTGACAAGTGACTTCAGCGGAGGCTGTCGCATACTGTCGATACCTCAGCATCCATGAAAGAGTCGAACACAAAACACACCCTTCAAAAGATTGCTTTGATCAAACCCGTTCATCACCTCACAAGCTGTTCAGGTGTGATTTCATTTCTCAACGCTGGTCATTGAGCGAGTTCCCCGGTAATGAAGGTTGCTCTTGAGATAAACCTGAGCCGTAGATCTGACCCGCTCTGCTCGGCGGTGATGTGCTATGACTCTGGACAGCTGTGGCTGGGAACACCCCTCCCTCCCTCCCTCCTCCCAACCCTCCCTTACAGTCAGCACAATCAGGCCTTGGTTGTAATCTGCATATGGCCGAACAGATGCTCACGTCTGTGCTTGTGTTTGCACAGTCCTCATTTTTGCTCTGCACTTTTTCATCTTGGACCCCAGCTCACAGCACACACCCAAAATCTAGGAGAGGGTTTAATAGTCAAACAAACGTGTGGAGTCACATCCACAGCAGCCATGTAAGTGACAGGCACTCCTGAAACCAAAGCCCAAACAGAGAGAAGTGATGAAACAGCCTGAGGGCTACTGTTGTCCCTTGGTGACGGACTAAACCACTGAATCAACTACTGAGACCACATGTGACAAAACACACCTATTACAGTATAACGCCTGCAGTGCTCGTCAGAGTGAGTGTCACAGAGTACCGATGCAGCACGATTTGATCACTGACGCTACAAGGCCGGCTGAAACACAATAAACCCAGCAGTCGTAAAAACAGCAGTATTATCCAGGCCTGGGATTGCTGCCGTTAATCCCTCTATCTGAATCTCACATAACAAGCAAACAAAAAGGAATAATGGAAGATAATCTCAGCATGAATAATCTCAACATGAGTTTGTTTAACCTTTTTTACTCAGGTAACTTGGATTAGATTGGATTACCCCCCCTCCCTCCTTGGCGCTGTGGATGATACTCTCACTTAGCAGACAGCTCATTAAAGACCGTGAGATCTGACCGGCACTGAAGTTTTATGACACATGGAGGAGGTCTGTGCGGTAACGGGCCCACAGAGGACGAGCAGAGGACAAACACTAATTTATAGTATCTGGGAGGCAGGTTGAGGATCACAGTCAAGCTGTGAGGGGAAGACAAAAGCAGTCTCTTATTGATTGATGTCAGTCCAGGATGGGATGGAAATGTCTGTCAGTGACTCGCAGGTGAATGTGGGTCAGAGAACTTGATGTAATTCAATAGGTAAAACAGTAAAAGGTTGCAGATTTGGACTTAATCCCGAATTGAATTTCAATAATGCAGACTTTAAACTTGATTTGAACTTGACTACTCTGGAATATGAGCAACCAAAGGCCATGCAGGGCACAACACAGCATGCAATTTTTAAATGTTAGGCCTCCTCATGGAAAAGACAAGGTGTTTGCTATGAGTAAAAACCCAATTTACACCATAAAGACCTTATAGAGTTGCTCACCCTAACCCAGCTTTATTTACGCCCGTTATTACTCAGCTTGCAGGTGACTACATCACAGAATGTCAGCAGGAGAGCTGGTTGGAACAATGGATTGCTCCACATATATGGCACGTACCAGGTCGCAGCCATTTCCTATCTACTGCTAATACTGATATAAATACTTTTGCCAGGTTTGTCTAAGCTGGTGTTGGTGAGGACAAGTAGGTGACCTTTCAGCTTGCTGGGTGGACTCTAAATAAAACGGTCACGCTTTATGGATGGTATTAACACCTGATTTAGATGCAGGCCACCTGATCCAGTCCTACTCTCAGCACAATTCAAGCTTTACTCTGGTATTTGTACCTTGATTGCATATTAATGTCTTGTTTAAATGTGGCTCTATGTTGTTCACGTGTGGGATGGACAAATATGTCAGGGATCAACCAAATCTAGATGTGATCATCATATTTATAAATTTCTTTTGAGTCATTAAAGGCTCCTGTCACAGTTTTACTTCTGCCCACCTGCAATGCAGATTGCAGACATACAGTAGCTTTGGTATTAGGACCATCCGCTGATAAATGGAAGCATGTGAGCATAGTGGACACAAAGAGCTCCTGTACAAACAATGACAATGAGTCCAGACTGCCTCCCCAGCATGAGATCATTACAACAAGTCCCCACTGACCACCAGGAGTGATGAAAACTCACTCGCCACAGTCCTTTCTTTCTCTCACTCCCTCGTCTTATTCACCCATCTGTTCATAATAGTTTCCTCTTCATCAATCTATCATCTTGCTCTTCTGTCAGCTGAGATTGTGTATCTGTCTCTTGTCTCCATCACCGTACATGTGTATCATATCCCTTTGGCATTACACCACACAACACTCACTTGGCTGCAGACCCCCAGGACAGTAAGGCAACAAAGACTCCCACTGAACCTTGGCAAGTGCGAGGCACAGGCTTCATCCAAATTGTTAAATAATCAATGTGTCCCCATGGTAACCGGTACTCGCACACTATTGGTAGGCTGTCCCGCTTGGCCACCTCCCCCTGCTTCACCTCTCAGGGCTCTCACTGCAGCTAATGCAGCTCTGTGCTCGCACATGCCTGGCCATGGGCTGGATGTGGCTGACTGCCTTCAGCACTGCCTGTCCACATCACACACACACACACACACACACACACACACACACACACACACACACACACACACACACACACACACGCACACAAGCTTTTAGAATCCATACGTCATCAGTTAAATCAAAAGGAGCAATGTTCAAATATTATGGCATCACTTCAGTGTTTATCATCACATGGTTTGTCAAGCAGCTCTGGTGGACATGATTAAAAGGTTTCACTCTGTGTGTTGGCCCTGTGATACGCTGTACTGCCCCTCTCGCCTAATCTAAGCTGGGATTGGCTGCAGCCCCCCTGGCCCCCATGACTCTACAAGGTTAAGCGGT